ACATTTGACCCACGTGTGTGTGTGCGAGTGTGTGTGTAGGTATATGACGCTGTTTATTTCCGCTGGGGACAGTTTTTGTTTACTGTATTTCGTGTCGACAGTTTCGAGCAACAGGTTCTTTGTAGCGAAATTCTTGAAACTTACGCAACTCAATGCTCTCTTCTTCCGAATGATAGATGCCTTGCACATATTGCTGAGGCATTGGTAACAGCAATTTGTCTCATGTTTGTCTCATTATGTTCCCAATTTGGTTGTTTCTCTGCGAGTTTTAACTAATGCTAATAGATAAATCATGGCAGTGCTGAGCGAGAGACTCTAGCATAGATAAATATTAGTTATTTTCATTGGGAATTTCAGTCAAACTTTCTACCGAGTTTCACTTTCCACTTGCTTAAGCTTAAAGCAATAACGTCGCATCGAATGCGAAAGAAAGCCCAAACGCAGAGCCAACTAAAAGAGAGAGAGAGGGAGAGAGTGAGTGCGCCTTTCATGCCACGGGAGAGAAGAAGACAGCGAACTGATATGTATTAAAAGAAATTATGCAAATGAAGCCAAAGTTGAAAACGTCGCATAAATAAATCGAATTTGTATTCGATTGCGCAATGAACAGCTTCAATTTACATACATATATGTGTAGATAATAGGAAATGATGTCCAAAGTCTGCGCTTTCAGGCACTGCACAACCTCGAATTGGTTTTATTGCTGAAAATTGTTTTATTTAGTTTCCTTTGCTTTCAATTTTAGCTTCAGATTTATCAAAATTGAACTGGCACTTATTATTTTTTATTTTTCAGTTTGAAATGCCTTACTAATTTCAAGACTAACTTAAAGCTATACATTTTCCTCTTGAAAACCTAATTGGATATTTGTGAGGTATTTCTAATTAATAAAACTTGAATGATGGGTATAACCCCAGTAGGCTTCCAGTGTTTTGCGCTCTTTTCAATTAGTTTTGTTAGCAACTAAAAATGATTGTTTATGTAAACCCGACGCTATTTGTAGCAAATCATTATTAATAACTATTGCTAGCACGATATACGATCTGTGCTCAGCTCCTCGTCGATTTTTTTCTGTTAGCACGTTTCTGAGCTGCTAACTCGATCTGAGATAAGTGTAAGTCATATGACTTACTGTCTGGAGGGTGTGTGTGTGTCAGAAGGGGTCGCAATTGGAAACCGGTTACTGCCCACAACCATTGTTTTTTTTTATATTTGCTTTTATTTTATTTTTTTTGTGTTTGTTTTCGTTATTTTTTGCTGCCATCGTCGTTAGAGTCAATCGTTGTACTTTATATGGAGAATTTTTTGGTTTTTACCGCTAACCGCAGGCAACAAGTTGAAAATGTGCTTTTGTGGTAATAGGTTAGCTCTTTAACTGGCAAACACACACACACACACACTTATCCGTGTTACATGCATAGTTTGCATGCCATTAAACCAGGCAACAGCAGCAGCACTTGTCAGCATCGGCAACTGCCTCAACTGTTGCCGCTAGGCGGTGCCATGGGCTAGCAACTTACAAGGCGTGGCGCGCTGCTCTGACACCGATCTAGTCGTGGCACATTTTCCATACCCATTTCTCTTACTCATTTGCTGCCTGCCATCTATCTCTGCTCCCGCTCTTCTTAGCCATGTCTCGCACTTTTGCCGGCGGCGGCAATTTCTACAAAACTTTTTTTCTCTTCACAATTGTTTTTATTGTTTTTGTTGTTGTCTGCTGCTGTCTTGTTGCCTGCTTATGTTTAATATTCCCTTTTTTCGCTGCCTGTTGTAGCTAGAATCATTTCTAGTTTAGCTGACGTTGCCATTTCCTATACCCTAGACCGGCAGCTAATGGGTTGTATTGGCAAAAATTGATTTTATTTTAAAATTGAGTTGTCTAAGTGTGTGGACATTGAATGCAAGCGCTGTGAATGCTTCACAAATTGCCTGAGTTTATGGCCCTAACATAAAGTGTGCCTTTGTAGTAGGTAACTGGTGGTCGTTGCCCACTTTTGGTTTGGCTTCTTTCTCTTTTTGTTTTTTGTTTGATTGTCTTCTTGTAGCTGTTGCCAGTAGATTGCTTCAAAACTGGGCCAACGCTTGCTTATATATCCCAGCTAACCTCGCCTCGCCCCACCCGCCTTTACAATATGTCGGCTGAAGCACTTTACTTTTGTTTGCTTGCCCATCTTGATGGGCGTATGTGTGTGTGTGTGTGTGTGTCTGTTGTCTACTCTTGCTTCGATTTATATTTTATGTGTTGCACTTTTTGAAAGTTGAATTATTTTTTGCAGCTACAAGAAACTTGTGCATCTGGCATCTGGCATCTTGTAGGCTGCTGTTGCTGCTGCTGCTGCTGATGTTGATGTTGTCATCGTTTTGTGTTTTATGTGACTCCTCTGCACGCCCACGCCCCATGCCCCACGCCCCTATAGCAGAGAGCTGTGTGTCTGGCTTGAGGCCAAAAGCTTAGCCCACGTTTTTCACTCTACGCACATGTTGCATGCGTGGAATTAGCCAGCAAGAAAATAAACTTTTGGTCCACATCTTGTATATATGACTATACTATATATAGGAACTCGTACATATAGCGCCAGCCAGTGCGAGAGATAGCACAAAATTTTAAAATAAATGACACACGCTAGATATATATATCAAGTATATATGTATGCATATACTCTATATTTACCGTCTATAGCTGGGACAGTTCGATGACGCAAACTTGCTGCGAGACATTACAAATACACATACATGTGTGAAGAAGGACAAATGGCAAATGTTCTTAGACCTGTAGAGCGGAAGTGGAAAGGCTGTGGTTATGACCAGGTCTGTGCCGCGATAACCACACAAAGTCCAATCATCCGCCAATAACGCAATCATATCTATTCATATCTATTTGCATAGAAGTTGAGGCAGCTGAGGAACTAATTGACACTGAAATTGATAATAAATTCGTTTGTGTGTGCTAATTAATAAAGCTTTCCGCCCTGGCAACACGCACACACACACAACATTTAAAATCATGGAACGCCCACAAACAATCGCTCGCTGCATTTGGTTGAAGATTTCTACACGTGGGCCTAAGTCAGTTATATATACAGACTGTGTGTGTGTGTGTATGTGTGTAACTGCAGTCTTCGATTTACCAATTAAGGTTAACAATAACAATAACAAAATCAAAAAGCATTTGAACAGTTAAGACCTGGCTGGTTCTTTTAGCTTTTGCCGGTTTTCAGTTACAAAAATGGTCAGCAAATGCGTCAACAGGTTGCTGAGAAACAACCCACAATAAAGCCATCATATGTGTGTGTGTGTGTGTTTACTGGTCAGTGTGCCCATAAAAGGTTTTTATGTGTGTGAGCTACACTTGTTGAATATGACCATAGCTATATATTATATATCTGTGACATACACTGAACGAAAAGGCAGAAAATGAAAATGAATTTTCATACATTTTATATGAAACTTTAGAAGATCTCACAAAAGTAAGGAATATCTAGTCTATATACTTATGATTTCTTGCAGTATTGAATCTTAAGCTAACATACATATTATATATTCATTTCAAGAGATAAATTTCTATTAATTTTATTAGTATAAAAGGTATGCATAGGATCCATATATTTCAGTATATATATATCTCTATCACATCCCAGATTGACAGTACTAGCTGTACAGAGGAACAGTTACCTGCAATTTCTAATACCCACAATTCCTTATTAAAGTTCTCATTTGCTTAAACTAAGTTATTCACAGCAAAAATGTTCCCTGTCATTATTTTTCAAGGGCATTTGAGTTTCGTCTTGTTTGTTATTGTTACAAGTTATGCTTACCTCAAATTACCTGTGTTACCTTATTTGATATGCGTATCGCATATGTGCGTTTGTGTTAATCATTCATAACGGACCGCTGAGACTCAGCATTTAAGTTATCATTTCCTACAGAGGAAGTACAATTGTGCTCTGCGCGCTTTAAGCGCATTTTATCTCAGCTCTGGCAATTTAGACGAATTTTCTTACTTGTTTGTTTCAGCTTATCTAACTGCTGTATATATAGAGGTAAAATTAGTGAACAATGCTGATTCGTTATCTTTTATCTGTTTTCAAATATTTGCACAGCTTGTGCTTGTTTAGCTTTGTGGCGAATATGCTAATAGCAAAAAGATGCTAGGCTAAAATTCGCATTGCGTATACGCACAGTTGTGCAGCTTGCAGCTGTGACACAGTTAATTGCACACACTCGCTCTCACTCGCTCTCTCTCTCTCTCACTGTTTGCTTTGCAGCCTCTTTTATTGTTTGTTTGTTCTGTGTGGGGTCACATTTGAGACGTGGGCGTTGCTGAAAACTGTTACAAGGTTGTGTCAGCAATTGACAACTAATCAACACGCCGAATGCCCTCCCACTCTGCCCCGTTTGCCACATTCCAGTTTGGTTTTTGTATCAAAGTGTTTAGCAATTCGTTTTTTTTTTCAAGTATCTGCAGCCTCAAATTGACCGGAGGCTGCCGTCCGAATTGCGTTCTTAACCCCAATCGGACGTGGACAGCCATGTGGCAACAGATTTAGCGCTTTGCTAAGTTTTATTCTTCTTTATTCTGACGCTGCTGCTGTTGTTGTTGCTGTTGTTATTTGCTGCTCTTCTTTTCTATGCTATTTTTTGCGAGTTCAGACATGTAAAAAACTGAACAAAAACTTAGCCGGGGCACAGGCAATGCTTGCCAAATGATTTTTCTTATTTATAAATGCGCCATTTGCTGGCTACAAATTGTCTGTCTGTGTGCATGTGTGTGTGTGTGAATTTTGTGCTCTTAGTGTTAAGTGCAAATGAAATATGTTGCCACTACAGTGGTAATTGGGCTTTGATTACGTACGTGGTCGGGCTTGAAAAGAGCAACAGCAACGGCCCACACTTCAAGCCACTTTTATTCTGACCTTGGTCTACACCCACCCACACACTCACATACACATACATACACTTGCTTTGGATTGATTGTTTAATTCGATTTTGCTCTATTGCAGATTCTACAAAACTTGGGCAAAGTTGATCGCACCGCAGATGAAATCTTTGATGATCATCTGAATAATTTCAATCGCCAACAAACAAATGCCAACAAATTACAAAAGGAGTTCAATAACTACATAAGATGCATACGCGGTAAGTCTTTGGGCTCTAGTCATCTTCGCACTTACTTGGAATTAATTCATATTATTGACATTTAATTTGTAGCCGCACAAACCGCCTCAAAGTCGCTGATGGATGCCGTTTGTGAAGTCTATGAGCCACAATGGAGCGGCTACGATGCTCTGCTAGCACAAACTGCCGCCTCGGAGAGCTTGTGGCTGGACTTTGCACACAAATTGGGTGATCAGGTGCTGATACCGCTTAACACATACACCGGACAGTTTCCCGAAATGAAGAAGAAAGTGGAGAAGCGCAACCGCAAGCTCATTGACTACGATGGCCAACGTCATTCGTTCCAGAATCTGCAGGCCAATGCCAACAAGCGGAAGGATGATGTTAAGGTAAGGTTACTCAGATATAGTAGCTGAGATTGATACACATATACATGTATGTGTAGGGTATATCAAAGGTTATAGAAACAATCATACAGACTTACATTCACTAATTGGCTTTTGTGTGCTATAGCTTACCAAAGGTCGTGAACAACTGGAGGAGGCGCGTCGCACCTACGAAATCTTGAATACGGAACTACACGATGAGTTGCCCGCCCTCTACGACTCGAGAATATTATTTTTGGTTACCAATTTGCAGACACTGTTCGCCACGGAGCAAGTCTTCCACAATGAAACGGCCAAGGTACGTTGAGAGATAATCAGATAAACCCAATACCAATACTAATAATAATAATAATTCCTTTGTCATTCTTTAGATCTATGCGGAACTTGAGGCAATTGTTGACAAACTGGCTACAGAATCGCAGCGTGGCTCAAATACGTTGCGCAAGCAAGCAAGTGAGCAACTTGTTATTTGACTTGATATAATTTATGTATGCCAATAATGTTTTTTTTGTTGTCACAGTAAATGCCATCAAGACTTCGAGTCCAGTGCAATCGCCAGTGAACAAATTGAATAACGCCAATGCCAACAATAGCAACTATCAGAATCAAATAACCACAAACGGCGGCTCCAGCCTGGCCAACAGTCGTAAGTAGTAGATGCCCTTGCGGTGTTCTGGATCTCTATATATATCTATCTATACTCAATTAATTTTCCATATTAATTTTTGATATTTATGAAATTTTACGCATTTACGTTTTTTATTTCGTTTATTCTTTTCGCTTTTCCCCCTTTTGTGTTTCAATAAACAAAAATCAAACAAATTATAAATTATAAATTGCTCAAAACTGTAAAAAAAATTCCATTACACATATAAAAAAGTGTAAAATAAATTCCCAATTATTAATATATGTATAAAACCCAAAAGAACTCCATATTATACACAATATATAAAGTATTTGTATATATTTCATATATTATTATCTATTCTATGCACTTATATTCTATTTTTTATGCAAAATTTTAAGGCATATTTTAGATTTTTTTTTTAGTTTTTGGCAATTTATAAAATCAAATTTATTTTAGTTGTCGCCAACTAATTTTGAAGAACTTTCAACATTCCAATTGTTAAAGAGCTAAATTTATGTTAATTGTATTTTGTAAAACTTTGAGTGTAAATATTTGGAAATGAGAAAACAGATTTTAAGCGGTCTGGTCTAATTAATTAGTTGTTAAATAATGCACTTTAATTGAAGACAATTTTTGAGTATTCTATTGAGTCGAACGGCTGGCCGCAAACAAATGGAATGTTGTCTGTTGTTGCTTTTCTTTTTGCAATCAGAACAACAATTTTACCCAATGTGCCCTTAACAATGCATGTGTTGAGTTATATTTTTACTTTTTCTCTCTTCTTTTATGAATTAAACAAATGTATTGTTTTTGTTGGAATGATGCTAACCCTACCCAAAAAATAAAATAACAACAAACACCACACATTAATAAATAAACAAAACATACAACAAAATCAATATGAACGTATAAAACAATACAAAAAACACACATCAAAATATAAAATAAACAAACAAACAAAACTAGCAACATCCACAAGCTCGTCAATGCTTGAGCCACGATTTGATTCACTTTCTTCAACGCCAGAGCCGACGCCAGAGTCGGCGCAGCTTTCAGACAGCCCCGTACAGCAGCTAGAGAGGGCAGCAGCAGGAGTAGCGGCAACTAATGGCATCAGCACCACAATAACCACAACAACAAAGCCAGTGGAGAACGCTGAGCCGAGCAGCCCCAATGCGAACACAACAAAAACAACAACGACAACAACCACAACAGAGGAAACAACCAGTGAAGTGGCAGCCGATGCTAAAGAGACAACGACAACAACCACAACAACAACAGCAACAGCGACAGCCGCATTAAATGGCAACAACAATGAACTGGCAGCAGCAGCAGCAGCAGCAGTAACACCACCCACAACTACTAGCACCAGTAGCAGCTCGACCACTACAGCTACCACAGTCACGCCAAAAGAGCCTGGCAAGCAGCCGAAAGAGCTGCCGGATGGTCAGTCGAATGCCAATGGCAATTCGAGTTCGCTTGAGGAGCACAAGCAAAAGAAATTAGGTAATGAAACAACAACAAACACAAATACAACGCACTCAGTTACAGATACAGAAACAGTTAGCGTTAGCCAAAACCAATTAGTTAATAGCCAAACTGTTAATAAGCATTCTAATAAAAATCCCTTCGACGAAGATGACGAGCGCATCTACGAAGTGCCCAAGGGTGAGTAAGCTCCCACAATCTACGAAAACTTCAAAACTGGGTCTGTCTGTGCATTTATTTCTCTACACTTGTGTCTGTCTGTCGTTTTGCTGTCTCTTGTTGGGCACCAACCACCAAAATCCACCAAACCCACCCATCCACTCAACAACAACAAACAACAAACACTCACTATTTATGAAAGTCTCTGTATACTCTATAAAATGGATTCACTTGGTTGCCCGATAGAGTCTGAGAGCGTCTGACAGCGGCTTGTCTATTGTATATTGTCTATCTAAAAAGCTTCAGTTTCTGTTATGATGTCCTGTATCTGTATTTCGTAAACTTAACCGCAAATTGTATACAACTGGGCCAAAGCATGTGCGTTTCGGGTGAATCAATAAAATATATATAATATTCGATTCTTAGGCAGTCATCAGTACATATTCAGCGGTGCCTTTTCATACAAGTATATAAATTTTTCGCATCATTATCAAACAACTTGGATTGCAAAGTAAACAGCTGTTAAAATTTGAAATACTGTTGCGGCTCTGTAAAGTAGCGTAGAACATGCCAATTTCTTGTGCAATCGCTGAACCATAGATGGCGCTAGCTGGAAACTGTTTACTTTGAAATGCACTTTGATCATATCTACTACAATTGTCTGTCTCACGCGTCTCATTTATTTACTATTATTTTATTATATGCTTGTATATATTGTTGTCATTCACAAAACAATTGGATATACAAAATGTAGAAATAAATACCATAAGACTGCTCTAAATATTAAGTGGGAATTTTTGGTAATAAAATGTAAACAAACAAAAACTGGTTACAGGTGTCTATCAGCAAGTAGGTTCTCTAGTCTTAAGTCGTACTCATTCATCTGATCACCAACCAAACAAACAAACAAACAAACATCGCTTGCACGTTCGCTGCCTAAGTCTTTTGTTTTATCGATGGAGCTAATTGCCGACGTAATAATACCTATTAAAACCCAACTAACCCATATAAGCTGCGAGTTGGTCTTTTTTTATGACACACATTAACAGCGAGTTCTGTTCTTGCCTATACGTTTTGTGCACTAAAAACAGAGTTATGCATATATCTTTAAATTAAATGTAATTGTACAGCACTCGATGCTATTTAATGATAAATCTTTGCTGAACTAAGAAAAATAAATTGAACTGAAATTTTATTCACAGATGCCAATACAGCTGATTTGCCACCTGGTGTGCTATATCGCGTAAAGGCGACCTACGGCTACGTCAAGGAGGATGTCGACGAACTGAGCTTTGAAATAGGTGATACCATACGCGTCATCGAGTACGACGATCCCGAGGATCAGGTAAAACTATTTTCGTTGCCACACGCTGAAATTGTTGTTTCATATATACATATTGACTTAAACCCCCATTCGAAAGTTAAAGCATGCGCTAGTTGCCCCTCCGAGTGTTATGATTGGGAATTTCATTACTTGTTTTTATTGAATGCAGTTTTTTATTGCCAATTTACAGGAGGAGGGCTGGCTAATGGGTCAAAAAGAGGGCACAAACGAGAAGGGCCTGTTTCCGGCCAATTTTACGCGTCCCATTTGAAAAGCCGATGCAGCGACGATGACGGGATAAATGCAACACCTAAGTAAACAACATGCAACAACTACAAGATCAACAACATCTACAACAACAACAAGAACACCAATTTCAGCCCCCTATTTTGTTATACAATTTATATACAAAGAGATAATACTTTTTACATACATTATACAAATTTTTAAGAACGAACTTAAATACTTTCGGCCAAATTTTCAAACAGCGCTGCGACGCCTTATATATAAATATATTTTTTTCTGTCCATAAGCCCCTTGGGCTTTGAATTTTGTAAAATTAATTGTTTGGATTAATTTATAATTCGTATTTGAATAAACAGTCGTGTATTTGTTAGAGCAGTGCTTCCAAACGTTATTATAATTATTATAATTATTATTACTCTTCTTATTGTTGAGAGAAATGATTGCACATAAAAAATATTTTGAAAATGTTTCATAAATATTATTTTCCTAGTTGTAAGAGAGATAAACAAACACACATATAAACACACTTACACACACACACAGACATAAAAATATTATTTGTTAAATCTATTATTGTGCTCATAATTAATACGAACAAAATGTATCTAAATTGTAATTTGTTAGAAAACAAAATGAAAAAGAAAAAGATAATCCAAAAGGAAAAGACGAACCATTTAACGCATATCACTCGATGAGGACCATGTTTCAAACATCTTCGAGTCGAGAGGACCTTTTGTATATGTATTTTTCAAAAGAGAAAACAAACATGTAGTACGAGTTTTTTTATAGTCAATTGAATGTTTTGTTTTTTATTCTATTATTGGAGAGAAGACACCAGAAATGAGCGTTTTGGCATTTCTTTGGTATATTGGAACACGACATAAAACTGTTTTTTATTCAATTAAATGAAATATATAATTTGTAGCTGTTATTTAAATGAAAAAAACACCCGAGTAAAACTCTCGAAATACAGAACAAGAGCAGGCAGCTTTATAACATTGAGAAGAAGCGAATCAGTAGTCACTAACAGAACCATAACCCCCTATTTTAATTTTGTTGAACAAATCGAATAGATTGACATCCAGTTTGAAAATCGTGTGCGCCAATTCAATCGAGAAGCACAGAGAACCGAAATACATAATTTTGTTTTTTTAATCTGTACTGTAAAGTTATTATATTAATATTATTTAATTAATTTAAACATTTATTTATCGCATGAATACATTGAACAAATGATAATAATTTACAGCAAATCAAATAAAACATAGATTAAACAAAAGTCACCAGAGTTTGATTATGAAAAGGAAAAGTTATGATAAGGAACTGCTCTCATAGTCAATTCTCATGAGAATGTAAATCATAACTCTTTACATTTTCTGTTACATTTCAAATTAAAGTAACGTATTCGTTATATTTATTGGTGGAGTATAAGTAACATTAAAGTCAATATCGATAGTTTTTTAATTCAACTGATCTGCGCTGGTCACATTTGTTGAATAATATTTTTTACCACATTACCGTAGAGTCGATTTATATACTTATTCGATACTAAATCGATAATTCGTTATCTGCTGAAGCATTGCTAAGTTCTTGTCGCAGCCCTGGTAAATGTGAACGTATGACGTCGAAAATTCTGCGCAATCGAAATTGCGCACGTCTAAGCGGTACCTTGTAAATTTCATGCAATCATGCTGCTATGTCGGTGACTCTTTCGTGTGTGTTGGTGTTGCGTTAATAAAAAAGTGTAAATACTTAAGAAAATTTAAGAGTTGACAAAGCAAAAAAGTCACTACGGGTCGTGTGTTAACGTTAACCGAACAATGCAAAATCAAATATGTTGTGAGTTTCAATCGAATATCGACGCACCGACAAAATCCAGCAGCAGCAATTGCAGCCAATTCTAAAATACCATCCCCAACTTACTTGGAGTTTAGTTTAATTTAAAAATTGGGCGTAGTTTTGTGCGGGCATATAACTAATGAAATCATGAACATAGGCGAAAGTAATAGCATATAATTGTTAAACAATTCGGCGTGCTAGAATCGACAATTTTTCTGGCCAAAATTTTTTCATGTTCGTTTTTGCCTCGCCCTCGCTCTGTGTGTATAGCAGTGCGCGTGTGTGTATAGAGGTGCGAGCGAAACAGCTATACAGCTACAGGGCACTATCTATCTATCCTATCAGTGATATCTGTATGTCTTATTTGCATTTTGCACTTATGCTTATGTTGATGTGACCACATTTCATTTGTTAAATAATTGCATTTGGTGTATAGCTTATTTACACTTGCTTCAATTGCATATGCCAATGCAATTGCTAACATTTGCACAGCCAATTTTAGCGGTGACAACACTGCAGTGCACTGCTTGCCCGAGCAAACAGCATGTTTTGGCATTATTTAGCACATTTTGCGAACCCGAGCTATAAATTCTATATAATTTTTTTTTTACAAAATGCAGTGGGAGTTAAATGGGTATGAAAAGTTACTGGTATTATGCCCGCATATTGTAAATATAGAAAACCACAAAGCCCACGTCAGTGTTCGTTGAAATTACTAAAAGGAATGGAGTTAATTCTTCTTCATTGAAGCACATACTAGGTGGTCATAGCAGAACTCTTCGCCATTGGGTGGGGTGCGTGGGAGGACTTCACTGGTGCGGGTGCTGCTGCTGTTGCTCCATATAAACGAAGTGTTTTCCAAGCATCCAATGAAAATGTTAATGCATATGTAAATGTAAATGTTCTTTTTATTGCAGTTCCACTGCATACCGGAAAATAAACAAATACAAGAAGCATAAAGTATGCAGAAAATTAAATACAAAAGGAGCATTTAAGTGTTGCGTGTGAAAGAAAGCAAATAAAAAGAAGAAAATAACCGTTGTGCTCGTCGTCATAAAAGTTTTTGTTTTAAATTACCAAATTACCAAATTACAAATAACAAATCTTCGTTGCATTTAAAAACTAATAAATATCAAACAGACAGTGGAACAAAATATGAAAACAAAAAACTGAACTGACAAATGCAACAGTAAAAAATTAGTTAAAATAATTATGCATATATAAACAACTACACACGTTCCTTAAAACTAATGTTTTCCAAACGCAACTAAATCAAACGATAACGATTAACAAAAGCAAAATATAAAAACAAAATAAACGACACGTCGTGAAGCAACGGAAACATCACCTCATAAAGCATAACCACATAGGAATTATACATACATACGCACATACTTACATACATACATTCATACATACTACTTATATGCATAACTTACATACATATATATATCCAAAAACGACACCGATTTAAATTAACTGCAGGGAAACAATACGATAAACCAGAACAGCAAACAATTTTTATTATTATTATTATTTAGTGCTAGTACATAAAACGACCAGAGACTTTCATTTGATTAACAAAAAGAAGCTCATCAAGTGAAGCAGCAACAATTTGGATATTCTCGTCTCATAAAGTGCATTCGTCGTCGTCTACAGCCTGCAGCTTGGGTTCATTCATATGTCGCTCATCAACATACACAACCGTTAGTTTAATGCGTAAGTATATAATAGCAATAGTGTAGTTAGTATATATATTTATTATTCATAGTCACTAAATTTCTATTACTTTTCAATAGAGACAAGTATTTGCTTTAAACTAATTCACTACTAAAAACTGCTTAATAACTTCAATTTCCACCCAACGCAAGTTAACTCAAGTCTCAAATAGCAGCTGAAATTTGTAGTGAAAATTTAATTTGCAATTGTTCAAAGAAATGAGAAATTGCTTTTATGTAGAGACTTGAAAGTTTCTGGAAAATCAAAAAGTTTATCATATAAAAGTCGTGCACTTCTTCAAAACTTTGTTCGAGTATCAAAGAAACTTGAATCTTTAAAGTTTCGTTCAGTTTAGTCAACTTAAACCTTTGAATATTCGTTCAGTTGAGTAGAGGTATAGATAGAAGAGAGCTAAGAATTATGCCACTTGTTGCTAAGCTTTTTGCATTTTATGCTTTACTTTCTTAGGTCTGATAAGAGGTATGAATAATAATGCGGATCTAGGTTCTATATATATATATATTCATGCATGTATATTGCTCATGACTAATGCCGAGAATTAACTGAATGCAGTCAGTCATTTGTTATGATACCCTGTTGCCCTCAAAAATGGGTGTGGGTGTGGACGTGTATAGGGGTTGGTGGTGGGGTCTAGTTTGTTTGACCAGGGAACTTGCGACAAACCTGTTGAAAATTTTATTTATTTGCCTTTGCGTGTTCGTGTTCGTGTTCGTGCTTATAGGGCGAGGATGATGAGGTGGCGATCTTATATAGTATAGTCTATATATATGCATATGAAACTGTTGAACCTTTTTAACGACCCGAGCTTCTGCTGAATGCCTTATCAAGCGGCTTCCAAATCATCTAGCAATTTAGAGTTTATCTCAGTTTCTTTATCGGACTAGTGCTACTGTTGTCTAATGTGCCTGATAATCGTTTCACCCACTTATTCTCTCTGACTTGACTTTGATTTATAAACCATGCAGTGCGTATATGCGGTAAAATACCCTGTTTTTGTTTTTTAAATAATTTAAAGTAACTTTAATGTTTATTATCTACAAAATGCCTAAAGACACCATATTTCTTTCCTTCTTGTTTTTTGGTATGTAGCTTAGCAATTAATTTGGTTCTTTATGTTGCTAGTTTCCGAAAACAATTTAAATTGTTTACATGCTTATTACGTGCAGTGGGCGTTTTCGGAATGCCTAGCGAAATAGTTAGGGAACATTTTTTTTGGTAATTTAATAATTTTTGCCCATTGCACACAAACACAGACACCCAAAACAGAACGTGTAATCAACCTTTTGTGTATATATCGTATGTATAAACATATATATGTATATGTATATGTCCAGTAATACATGTATATACATAAAAGAATATTGCTCATATGCTCTGCTATTTTTTTATGTATACAAAAACCGCATTAGTCTACTCAGTTATTGGAAACCACGCATACTTCTAGAACTATAAATGACGGTTATGAATAAGCCTTATTTAGAAATCCTTAAGCTTGGTACAAACCATAACAAGCTTGTGGAATGATAATTAGCATTACTCCGCCGATCATGCTTTCTACTTATGAACTCTGGTGGGAAAAGCATTCAAATTGAATCCAGAATTTCCTAGTTTTAGGCAAGGCCAATGTGTATGGGCATGATAATTCGCAAGCTCTTGTTAAAGTTTTGTTTTTTTGCGCCCAATTGGCACGGTTTGATAAATTGCTAAGGTACTGTTAATTGAGTTTTCTTGCTTGGCTCGAATGAAAATCGTTGCAAGTAAATCTATATTTTGTAATATGATGAAGATTTAGAAATTTAAACTAACTGAACATAGGTTAAATATTTGAAAAGAAATAACAATTAAATTGTTTACGTATTCCATTTCAGGTGTTTATGAACAGGCGAATTACTACGTGAATCAGTTGAAGTCGTCGTGTTCGATGTGGTCATCGTATTTGTACTCGTCATTGTCAGAGAGATGCACCAAAGTCTGTTTAGGAAGATAGTAAACTGAGTACTGAATACCAATAACGGAACAGAGCTAACCCCCGCACAACACAATAACACATACGCACACACACTCAGACTCACACATCGACAGACAGACACACCGACACACACACACACACACACAGACAGATACGGACTGCAAAGAAAAGAATCCTTTAAAGGAAAGTAAGCAATAGCCAAAGAGAGCCTGAGTGTCGTATGAAACAGCGAGCAACGCCAAAGTACAAATGCTCACGAGCAACTAAGTAAATCGAAATTATAAACAAAAGAAAACATTCAACAATTTATATAGGACAACCTTAGAGAGCAACAAACACTAACGGGATCTAAGCAATTTTTCGGCTAAATATAAATATATATAACGATAAAAGAAGAAGAAGCAGCAACTTAAGGAACAGCAACACCAAAAAACAAAATAATTCAATTGGAATTAGTGGGTTAACCCCCAACTACTACTATATAAACAGGATAAACCCTACCATCGCACCACTGAAAGATTTACGCACGTCACGGAGCGTAAGGCAGGGACTGCAGAACGCGTAAGCGTCCTTTAATCCAGTTAGCATGGAGTGCTGTTTATCGGAAGAGGCCAAGGAACAAAAGCGGATCAATCAGGAAATCGAGAAACAGCTGCGCCGTGACAAGCGAGATGCGCGACGTGAACTTAAACTGCTCCTACTGGGTGAGTATTCAGCTGCCCATCAATCTACCTGTCGCCAGGAGCAGCCTTGACCCATAAACGTATATGTAAATGTGGATGCCATTGTTTGTTGCACTCCTGGCCGAAGGCTGAAGGCTGATGGCTGCTGGCCGATGTCCGATGGAGGCGTGTTTGCTTCAATTAGTATGCGAAATTGTATTAGTGATACGATACATGCACGCATCCATATGTAGAGACATACATGTTTATGTATGTCACGTGATTGAATTTCGCCCGCACCCTGTGCGCTTAATGCAATTGCAATTTATTGCGGCTGTTTGGTATCGCAACATTTTTGCTAATTAGTAGAGTGCATTGTGTGGTGCGCTGCGGCGTTGTGGCAGGTTCAAGTGATTCTATAGCAAACTAATGCCGCATTTGCTTTTTCCATATGCACAGGCACGGGCGAGTCCGGCAAATCAACGTTCATCAAACAGATGCGTATTATCCATGGCAGTGGGTACTCGGACGAGGACAAACGCGGCTACATTAAGCTGGTGTTCCAAAATATATTCATGGCCATGCAGTCAATGATCAAAGCCATGGATATGCTCAAAATATCATACGGCGTCGGCGAGCATAATGTAAGCACTGTTATTTGTCACCTTGAAAGACTTTATTTAAACTTTTCAATGCTTTCGCAGGGACTTGCTGATCTGGTGATGAGCATTGACTATGAAACAGTTACAACCTTTGAGGATCCCTATTTAAATGCCATAAAAACGCTGTGGTCCGATGCTGGCATACAGGAGTGCTACGATCGCCGAAGAGAATATCAGTTGACCGATTCCGCTAAATAGTGAGTTGATTGTTGGATATGGATCATTTCCGTAGCTCGATAATGATAAAGAAATAAAACTGACAACAATCACATTGACAATATTTTTCTAATTAAGGAATATTTTGATATACTAAATACGATTTCATTCTTATATATGTATTATGTATAGTTATCTGATGGATCTCGATCGTGTGGCTCAACCTGATTATTTACCCACTGAACAAGACATTTTAAGAGTTCGTGTGCCGACAACGGGGATCATTGAGTATCCCTTTGACTTAGAAGAGATCAGATTTAGGTAGCTACAACGACTCCAATGATCTATCGATTTGCATGTCTCTAATAATGTTCTTTGGTTATTGGTTAATTGTTTCGTTTAATTCGTTTAATTGTTTCCTTTCTAACCAGCACTATTTGTGGAATTTGTCTACACATATACCATATCATTAAATATAAGTACGATTAGCTTTGATACTAGATCTATTAATGGTTTTCAATGGCACATACATAAGCGTCAAATCATTCAGGCTGACAGATTTTAGCGGACTGTTTGAAACTCAAAAACAACAAAAAAGAAAAGAATGTAAACTGTGTTTTTAAAAACCTTCAAAAATATAAATCTTCCAATCAGCTATCTTGACAATTTAGATCGCATAAGCCAGAGTGATTATATACCTTCTGTGCAGGATATATTGCGAAGCCGATCTCCGACATCTGGAATACTACAATATAGTTTTGAGTTGCCTCCACTTGTATATAGGTATATCAGTCTATCGCATATATCTCAATATAAATACATAATCTGCTAAAATTGATCAAATCAGCCTGAACTAAAGCAAGTAGTAACACAATTTGTGTGTGTGTGTATGTGTAACAACAACAACAACAGCAACAAATACAACATTCCAACAATATCTCTGTGCATATCATTTTCTTTCACTTACTTTATTGGTTTAGCTTCTCGCTTACTTAATTACTCACTTTATTTGGCTTTGTATTTAGTTAGTCGTTGCGGAAACTTTAAAATCTACATTGTCTAATGAATTTATTATTTCTAATATACAGAATGGTTGATGTCGGCGGTCAGCGTTCGGAGCGAAGGAAGTGGATTCATTGCTTTGAGAATGTTACCTCAATAATATTTTTGGTAGCATTATCTGAATACGATCAAATTTTGTTTGAATCTGATAATGAGGTGAGTTTAAAAACAAATTAAAAATTTTTTGCAAATTATAAATGTTTATTTGTTAATTACAGAACCGCATGGAGGAATCAAAAGCTTTATTTAGAACTATTATTACATACCCGTGGTTCCAAAATTCATCAGTAATTCTATTCCTTAACAAGAAGGATTTGTTAGAGGAGAAAATTATGTATTCGCATTTGGTGGACTATTTTCCTGAATACGATGGTGAGTTATCGATTACTGCTGCTTCTTACAACCAATCCCTTCAGAAGTATAGCTAACGCTAGACTCGTAGTTGTGCTAGCTGGTAACTTAACCCTTTAAATTTCTTTAAATTGGTAACAGGTCCACAGCGAGATGCAATAGCAGCCCGTGAATTCATACTGCGCATGTTTGTAGACTTAAATCCAGATTCCGAAAAGATTATCTATTCTCATTTCACCTGTGCTACAGGTAAGTAATGCTTCTTTGGTGCACATGTAAATAGCCTGAATGCTTTCTGCTGAAATTTAGCAATTGTAAATAGCTCAGGTTAAGTCTTGGAACATACTTGCTTCTGCTGCCTTGGTCGCTAGTCAGTGCTTCTATATTAATGGCAATTGAAAATAGTTACTAAATAACTGAGATATTTTAGATACGAAAAACGTCTACGTCGTGTTCAGCGCTGTGAAAGATTTTATTATGCACACAACACTTTCGAGCGTTCTCTTAAGTTAAACGACGCAATTATTACTCCTAATTGTAATGGAATATCGTTTGGGATGCTAACCTATTTACGAATACATAAATCTATTTCATGGCTTAGTATCTGTATGCTTTATTTTTAGTTTTTAAATTAAAATATAGAGTAAATGGCAAGTCTTTGTTTTATTTTAATTTTATTTTTAATTATTTTTTCGAGCTGTTTTAAGGCCAATCTGAAATGCATGCAAAAGTCTGGTAACGGTTACAAGGATAATAACATATTTGATTTGATCATTCACCTTAAAAATTGTAAAATTAATAATGACTTCTCTTCTCTTCTTTAGATACTGAAAATATAAGGTTTGTGTTTGCAGCTGTAAAGGACACGATTCTGCAATCCAATCTTAAGGAATACAATTTGGTCTAAACTGGATTTGGATCAGAAAACTATTTTTGTGATTTTTATTATACATATATATACAAAACGTATATGTATGTACATATATATATACTTATATATATGCATATATATAAAAATATATAAACATTCATAATTCCTTTTTCGCATATTAATAAAAACAAAACAACAAAAAGCAAAAAAAAAAAAACAAAATAAAACAAAGAAAGAAAGAAAAAAATAACTAATAATGTTTGCCGAAGATTAAGCATAAATTAGACCCAAAACACAAGTTTCTTAAATTGTAAAATCAGCGGAAAAACTGTAGCATAAATTATACAAAAACTGATAAAAAAAAAGTATAATAATTTATGATGATGATGGTGATGATGATCATGATGATAATGCGATCGCTGTATACATTTTAATTTGTGTGGAATTATAAAGTAAAACAAAAAGAAGAAAGTACGAGTAATGTAATAATAATATTTAAAATTCATTATTATAGAACTTTTGTAATAAAATTGATAGAAAAATGAGGGAAAAAATGATAACACAATTAACTTTAATTTAATCAAACGCTTAAAAGGAACAACAAATGGAAACAATTTTTGTCGTACTGAAGCATAAACATTTTACTGAAAAACAAACAAACAACAACAAATTGTAACTTATAAACAGATAGTAATTTTTCATAAACAATAAATGTTAGAAGTTTCTCATAATAATAACAACTTTAAAGATCACAACAAATCCTGTAAACTAACTTAACAAAAATGAAGAAAAACAACAACAACAACAAGAACAACAAAGATGTCGCAGATATAATACTGTATTTTTATTAAGCTACAAGAGTAAAATTGCAACTATTGTTTACTGAAATATTTATATACATAAATACGAGCCCATAATATGTGTATATATACATTACATACATAAAAACATACATACATGCATACATACACGCAAAGAAACATAGACAACTATGTAATGTTTAATAAATTTATTAATTTGTATTGCGAGAAAGAATCATTCAAATGTAAATTACAAATCCTACAACTAATACACAGACACGCACACACATATATGTACACAAAATAGGGAAACGATTATCAACGTGATGTTTAAGTACTACCGTCTAGTGTAATAATGAAATACTAAACAACAACAAATTGATGAACGCATTTGTATTGTGCAAATAGCAACCAGATTACAGCTAACTATAATTAATTAATTAACACGTTTTCATACCTGCAGCTTAACCAGTAACAACAAAAAGAGAAACAACAGTCATAATCACCAATATTACAACTAATTAATGCCTATATGTTATACATACATACAACTACGTAAGAACCTACTATCAGATGCAGCTAATCTTGATGCCATCAACAAATTTTCCATAAACTGAAAAAAGAAAACAAAAAAAAAATATATATATATATATATATACTAAAAAGAAATCAACAAATTATGATCATAATTTAAATTGTTAACAAATTGTATCATTTGAGAGGAGAATAAGTTTTGAAAGAATTGTAGCTTGATTTATGTCGCATAATATTCTTAATATAACTACTTATATATATTAATTATTATTTTGTTAGTCTGTTTTGCTTATGTTATAGACAATGTTTTGTTTTTGTTTTTAAATTTTAGTTTAATTTAATCTACAGCTATAGAATGTTAGTAAAGTAACAAAACGAAGCGCACATTTACCGAAAAGCAGCAAGGGAAGAAAGAGTAAGAAAAAGAAAGTAAAAATGAAAATGAAAAGATGAATAAACAAACACCAACAACAAAACAAAACTATTTATGTAAAAATCCAAATAAACACAATTTTACTCTATGTATATGTGGTCGAAAAGTAAATGAAATCACGCACACACACATACACACACACACCTACATACATGTATATGTAAAATAAATATGAATCAAACTATGCTTTTCATAGATTTATATATTTTGAATTGTTTTATAGAGAGCAAGCTTTTTTTTTGGTTTGCCACTTGAACTTTAATCGGTCAAGCGTTGGGGCGAGGGCAAACGAGAAACGCAGAGAAAGGTAAATAATTTCGATTCTTTCGATTACAATAACTATGTCTAATATCTTTCGGCTGTTTTCGACAGTGCAAATCTTCCTTTTCTGTGTATCTCAACACACTCACACACACGCACACTCACAGATTTGCTATAATGAACACTCAAAAAAAAAGAAGCAACTTTCCTAATTGAAATACTTATATACATAGGATTATAGAGACATTCATATAACACATTTTTCGTAACCTCATTTACATACACACGTTAGTGTAATCGGCATCAGAATAACCATTTAACATTAAAAACCGTACAACTCCGCCGTTATAATTATAATACGCATCTAGATTTTAAGTAAGATTCAACAGTGTGTTGTATAAAGCTTTAATCCACGTAAACCGAAGATGTAGTAAATGAAATGAATAACAAAATTTTTACAATTAATAAATTGATGAATTGATTAGCTTTTAAAAAGCTTGATTAAGTCAATAAATGTGTATTTATATAAGGCAAAAAAACAACAAAAAAAGCAAAAAAACATGCGTACCGAATTTTTCGTTGTTTACAAGAAGAAGAATACATTGGAAGAAAAATGCTCGGCTAGCCGAAATTATAAGCCCGAAAGAAGAAGAGAATGAATAAAGCGAAGTCATTAATGTCACGAAAAGACGGCAGAGAAATATTTATAGTAGGAATCCTACAGATGCTTTGTGCTGTACAAGGTCAGGATGACTCGCAACAGAACCAAACGAAAGAAAGAAAAAGGAAATTCAAACAGTTTAGTTCTTATATAAAATGATGCGACTCCTTCAAAGGAGTAGACAGCCAACAAGTTTTACAACGGTTCCAGCCGAGGAGCTGTACTTTTTGTATTAGCATTACATACACACACAAACACGCATACATACATACACTCACATACTTATATAGTTTTCCGTCCAATAAATTGCATCGGTGAGCAGAGAAAAGTCTCCAGTATTTTGGTTGACATTGACCACACATTCATTTCGCAGGCGAATCCTTAGAGAACAAGCTGTATATCCTTCTTTGAGGAACATACCATGCCATAGCATTACTATAGCTCCATAATATTGAGTTCCTCTTACTCCTTTGTGTTACATAATATTGTATAAAATTTCGGTTAGAAGAACATAAACAAAAAAAATAACATTTGGCGGTTTCAACGAGAACTTTTCAGTTTTGGCAAAAACAAAAAAAAAACAAATTCGTAATTTTTATCGCATTGCATATGTATGTGTAGTCTACATTAACATATGAACATAGCACATATATTTATAATAAAAACTAAATTAACGAAAAGGAAAAGGAAAGAAGAAGAAAACAAACAGTAAATAAACATACATAAAAACAATTTGGTTTAGTTAGCGTTTTGTGCCTTCTAGTGCTCATTAAATCCATGAAGAAGACCCTGGCAGAAACATAAAAGTTAAATTTATGTATATGGAAAAACACATATACAAAAATACAATATATGTATATATACATATATATATATTTAAGAAAAGTTTTTTATGTTTGGGAATTGGTTATATAATTTGTCATGTGTATTTTTCGTCTTTTGTTTATAACTTTTCAGATGAAACATTTGTATGTGATCCATTGATTGATGTTTGGGTATTTTTTTTTTTTTTTTGATTTTTTAAACGTGAATTTTAAGTTAAGTGAAAGGTTTTGCAGTTTGTATGTAAATATTTAGCTTAACTCAAGCTCAAAATGAAGCTATATAATAAATGAGCAAGAATTTGATATAAATTGATAAATAATGAAAAATATACTTAAGTATATGATTAATATACATACGTATGTATGTTGAAGTATGTACAAGTATTTTGTATTTTTATATACAAAATTCAAGAACTGCAGGCAAACGGAACATACGAGCATTTGAAAACATTTCAATGGTATATGTTTGTAATCTTGTGTAAACTAAAAAAAAAGCAGAAAAATCACTAAAAAATGAAATTTCGAACGAATCGAAGAGCATTCGAGAGGCAAAAACCAACAAGAATCTAATTTAAAATGGGGTTTAGCTTAGAAACATTTACTAACTAACGTACTTACGTATGGAATTTGAGTTGTTGGGCACCTCGATATATATTGGTTACTTTCGCTGGGTAGTCGTACTTATATATGCATATGGAATATAGAGACCGTATTTCATAAAATGCTTGAAAAGCTACTAAACTAATTCAATACATAATAATAACAAGAACAAGAACAAGAATATGAAGTCTCTCCCTTTGACGTTGAAATTATGTAAAACTAGGCTAAAACAAAATGCATAATATATTGAAAAAGAAAAAAACGTAAAAAAAAAACAAAAAAAAAATGAAAAAGAAAATATGATTATAATATTCCACGTCTTTAGGCTACTTCAAAAACTTTATAATGTAAATGGGATTTGGAGGTTGGTTGGTCAGTTTACTTGTGACGCTGATGATTTTGATGAATGAGAAATATTTTTAACGTACATATTTCTACATACATGTAAACATAAGTACATACATACATATAAATCGAGAAGCTAACCCCCCTTTCCCTCTCTCCCCCACCCACATAAAAACTGCATGCTTAGCTTAAGTCTTGAGGCAAACGCACGTCCTTAATTAAGTACGTACAAACATACACACACAAACACACACAGGCATACACGCCTGTATTCACACACATGCATTCGCGCAGTCAGATGTATATTCAACCTGTTCATTGAGTGTAAGATTTTTAACTTGTAGCATTTGAATTGATTGACTTTTTTATGGAAATTTACACAACAACAAAGTGTGGGATTTGCACTCAATGAAAATTGCGCGAGTGTGTGTGTGTACTAGTGTGTGTGTGTGTATGTTTGTTGTTTCTACACATTTGTCATAGAAATCATATTAAAAAAAGATACAAGTACTAGACAAAGAATTGATTGTATTGAGGTGGCAATGGTAACTAAGAAATTTTTTAGATAATTAAAAACAAAAACCAAAAAAAAACAAAGAAAAACCAACAAATGAAAAAGTATCTATGTACACCTAAATATATATATATATTAAAAAAAAAAAACAATATAATATAAATAAAAATATATTAAAAATAAAATGTGATTTTTCTTGTAAAAATAAATTCTGTCGCGATTTACAGCAGATATATTTAAACTTGGCTGAGGTTTGCAACTGGACGTATGTGTGTGTGTTAGCTGCTATATACTCGTATACAGTTACAATTGGATTAACAAGCCCTCAGTGGTAGACTAAAATCAGCAGCATATTACCAAAACAGACAGACTCGAGTATGACACATTAGAGTGGACCAAGAAGATAGTAGAGGGTCAATGTGGGTAAATAAATAAAATAACTTAACTATTCCCTGAACTAGTTAAGATCACAAAACTCTAGTCATTATTGTTAACTATATAAAACTTTTATTGAAAATATATAGCAACAAATCAATATGAAAACGCATCAAGCCTAGACTAATCACAACTACTGGTCTATTCCTATATAGTTCATGTCTGCTGTATTTCTCAATATACTGTTTAAGGGCGGAAGTGTGTGGGGTCTTCCGCTAGACCAAGCTAAGAAGCCGTATAGTTACCAAAATCAGCTTTCTTGCTATGAACTTGGGCATGGGCAGCGTTTCCTGAATCTGTTTTCACCTGCTGCACGAACTGTGGATCGGCTCAATGTCGATGCCTATAAACCTGTGTAGTGGTTGCAGTGCATGCGCTTTGCCACCAGTGTCAAAGCCACGGCCAGCACCTTCATCAGCCGATTCAACTGTCGGCCAAATATTATATGTTCACTGCAAACAGAATACACAACGTTTCGGACTCTTGTCGAGCGAACAACTTTCGAAAAATTTATCTTAAAATAATTATTCCTCTGTCCAACCATACTTAACAAGAGTAAAAATTTCGGTTAACTGAGCAACACTGGATAATAAGTAAAAGTAACTAAACAAAAGGATTTGCGCACATCACGAAACGTAGAAAAGATTCTTCACAATGGAGTGCTGCTTATCGGAAGAGGCCAAGGAACAGAAACGTATCAATCAGGAAATTGAAAAACAACTGCGCCGTGACAAGAAAGATGCTCGCCGTGAACTTAAACTGCTCCTACTGGGTGAGTTTTATAGTTGAACGACATCACAGAAGATACAAGAAAAATTAACATTTAAAAAAGTTGAGCCCATTATGCATTCAAATTCTTCGTCTACCCAACGAAGCCATGCGGATGCGCCTTGAAGGGAGGGTTGCTTAAAATATACTTGTATATAAATGTACGTTAATACTTGTGGGTAATACTAGGCGTTGTCCGGTCTAACTTTTATTATCGTATTTCTTTCACAGAGGTCTGTTGAGCCATGGATAAATTTTCATAAAAACTTAATTATTATAAGCCTTATGTGGATGATTTTTATGTAAATAAGAAATTCTTTAACTAACACAGTACAATAAAAGTATGTGATTTTCGACGAAATCGAAATTTCTAATTCGGCCCCCGAAGTATGCAGTGCAAATTTTCAGCTGCCGTCAATGAGTGCTCTTAGAAGTATGCAATGAAAATGGTAACATTAGGCATCTTTGGCAAGATGCTTTAATTTGTGTTTTTTTTTTTTGGCAAAGGGTACTATATATTGCTTATCTATTGGTAGAAATGCCTTTGTTTTAAACATTGTTTTATTGATATTTTTCAGGTACTGGTGAATCTGGGAAATCCACTTTTATCAAGCAAATGCGAATTATTCACGGCAGCGGCTACTCTGACGATGACAAACGCGGCTACATTAAGTTGGTGTTCCAAAATATATTCATGGCAATGCAGTCGATGATCAAAGCCATGGATCTGCTCAAAATAGAATATGGAGGGGCGGAGATTCGCGTAAGCACAAAATATAACTCAGATATTTATATTTTAAGTATTTGCTTGTGCATAGGAATATGGTGAGCTGGTGATGAGCATTGACTACGAAGCTGTTACACGATTGGAGGATCCATTTTTGAAAGCTCTCCATGGTCTTTGGGAAGATGCTGGCATACAGGAGTGCTACGATCGCCGAAGAGAATATCAATTAACAGATTCAGCTAAATAGTGAGTCCAGCTGTATCCGTTAATTCATATGAAATATTATCCATCTTTTCCACACAGCTATTTGAGCGACTTGGAGCGTATTGAACAAGCTGATTATTTGCCTACTGAACAGGATATTCTGCGTGCTCGTGTGCCCACAACTGGAATACTGGAATATCCATTTGATTTGGATGGCATCGTTTTCAGGTTTCCCTCTGCGATGTGGATCACAAATAACATATGATATAAATTGTACTTCTTGAAATCAATTACAGAATGGTGGATGTTGGAGGTCAGCGTTCGGAGAGAAGAAAGTGGATTCATTGCTTTGAGAATGTGACCTCAATCATATTTTTGGTGGCGCTTTCTGAATATGACCAGATCTTGTTTGAATCTGATAATGAGGTGCGTTTAAGTCATGAAAATATAATTTTAATGTACAATGTTTCTCAATATTTTGTATTCAGAATCGCATGGAAGAATCGAAAGCTTTGTTTAGAACCATAATCACATACCCGTGGTTCCAGAATTCATCTATTATTCTATTTATGAACAAGAAGGATTTGTTCGAGGAGAAAATTATGTACTCGCATATGGGGGACTATTTCACTGAGTATGATGGTGAGTCAATGTGTAAATTTGTATCTATATTTTGATATGAATTTTAAAATTTATGTATGAAGGTCCAAAGCAGGATCACGCAGCGGCCAAGCAGTTTGTGTTGAAAAAATACTTGGCTTGCAATCCGGATCCAGAGCGTCAATGTTATTCGCATTTCACAACAGCCACAGGTTAAGCTCTACTCTATTAATAATCTAATTTGATATGAATTGCAGATCTTATTGACCTATACTATTAACTATTGTCTATTTTATATTGACAAACAGATACCGAAAACATCAAACTTGTGTTCTGCGCTGTCAAAGATACAATTATGCAAAATGCACTTAAGGAATTCAATTTGGGTTAAATGCTTTTGATTTGTTGAACGGATGACGAGGGATTACTTAGATGTCAATGACATCAATCTTAAACAACACTTTGTCTTCTCAACTATATAATTTCGAGTTTGTTTTGCTTTATCTAATGTTAAATAAATTCCAATTATCCTTAGAGTAGGTGTAAAATTGTTTATTTCAAACTTATCTTTTATATCTAAGCTAAAGTTTAAATTTAACAGTTTTCACATATTCGTGTAGCTCGACTAATACATAAAACCGTTTCCGTTTCCTTTTCGTATTATAAAAATTAATTATCACAATGACATAGTTTTTGTGTTCTATGATAAAAAATTGAATTAAATATGTGGCAATGCTTTGAGCAGTGGCCAAAAAAAACTTAACATTTGAAAAAACAAAACGATAGCTAACACGCTTTGAGTATCACATGCACATCCAGAGTTCGAGACAATTGCATAACATTTTAAATAATAATAAACATAAAAACTCAATAGAGAATAAAATATCGAAACGTCTGTATGTTATTTTGGCACTGATTGCAAGTTGAAGAATCCTTTAAATGATCACAAAATCGCTAAGGTTTCGCTCTGGCTGCACCATGCTTGCCGGCATAAGCTGCACCAACTTATTGAAAAGGTATGCGCGGCGGTTTTGCAGTTCACAGGAGGCTTCGGTGCGCGCACGTTTTGTGCACGACGAACCACTGGGACTGGATACAGTCTCAGATATGCCGGAGGTCGCCAAGCTTTCATTTGACTCTAATGATATATTTTCAGCGGCACCTAATCCAACATTTGCCGTCATTTCAACTGAAATAGTTTTAGTGTGAGTTACTAAAGTTTATCAAGAAATAAATTAATATCTTACTTTTAGAGCTAGCTGCTTCTGTATCAAACCCTTCGGTCTCAGTACACGGCTCTGGTGTTGCTCTGGGACTCAAAGAGTCTTGGCTGTTGTCGTGCGGCTTGAAGAGAAGGGAAGCCAGCTTGTGAAACTGCAATAATGTAAATTGTTAAAATGTCTAAATGATTATTCAACTGTGAATACATTGTTCAACTGCTCAGTATCAGTGTGATCTATAACGTCAGAGATGTGATGTCTAAGATATTCCATTGCTTTTATTGGATCTGATCGTGCCATTTCCTCATAACGCAGCTTACGCACCAAATAGCGACAATGTTTCAATATCTCATCACGTTTTGGCCTGTAAAACGAAGATCATTTAGTATTTTTGCAGTATAAAAGCAAATATATGGTGATTACTTTTCTAACTGCAGTAACCAGAAGTCATCCAATCGCAGTTGCTGGTACTGAAATATGCCTGGATTACCACCAAAGAGATAATGTGTCTTTGCTAGCTCATCGTAGACTAACTGATGAGCATATCGTGGGCATGGCTCCAGGACATCGTCACCTTTGCTGGCACCCAAAAAGTTGGCCTTGTTAATGGAGTTTACGTCCTGAGCATTATGTCGGCAGTAATAGATACGTGACCATTTATGAGTGCGCAATGAATAAACCCAAAATGAATTTGATGCATCTACATGATGCACATCGCGCCTGTCCTTAACCTTGTTAAGGCTCTAAGGAATAAACAATATAAATTATAGGAATTGACAATGGCAAAATACCTTATCATACCGAGAATACATAAATTTCATCGCGATCACAATCAATGGTCGCGCGCAATGTGTAACCTGATGATGGTTCAAATTTGGCCTCAGTACTGGTGTTAGTGCCGAGATGCGAATGCTCCTTGTTTATCAGTGAAATCGACTGTGAATCCACATCGTAAGTAAGCAGCTCATCGAGATCCTCTTTCCCACGCTGACCGCCGTAAATGTAAAGCTTTCGTTGTTTCTGCAAATCACAAATATTTTAGATATACATAAAATACCTATTGTGTTTAGTTACATTATGAAACACCATGCAGTGGGTTATGCGTGATTTAATTGACATAACATCCGCTTGAGAGGCACTTGCATGATGACAATCTACGAGTATCTGCGTCCAAGTGTTTGTCGCAATATGATAAGAAAATAGACCAGAGTATTCTGGCTCAGTCGAAGACGTCGGGCTGCGCGGCGTCAGTATCTTGCCCCCAAACACATAAATTGTACGCTTATCGGCATCGATGCACATTTGGTGATCGTACACAAGCTGGGGGCCACCGACTTGGCTGGTGTCATCACAGATTTGCATCCAATTGCGGGCACGGGTGTCGTACAAGTAAAAATCACTCTTGATGTAATCACTGGTGCGTATTGAGTTATCCAAATAGCGGCCTAGCATAAATATATTTTCGCTGATGGGATCAAAAATCAATTTGTGACAGGAGCGCGGAGTGGGTCCATTGGACAATTCCGACCGCTCGCAAAGCAGTGTCCATTCGTCGAGTTCTATGTTGTACACCCACAAGTCGCTAAGATCCTGGTAGCCATCCCAACCACCATACAAATATATTAGACGCTTTTTGGCATCGACCACAAGCTGATGGCCACCACGGTTGCCAGGCTTTATCTCGCTTTGAGTGTACTTCATTTGCCAGTCGTGCTTGTAGTCTTGCTTATTTAAATACTCATCCATTAATCCGTCTTCAATACATTTTGCAATGAAGCGCTCCGCTTGTTCAAAGTCGCCTTGCACCACCTGTGGTAAGAGAGTATTAATAAAGTTATACATATTGAAAAATAATTAATTATAATAACCAGGTATTTATGCAATTCACTAATAAGTGGATGCTCTAGGCGCACGTTTGTTTGTTCCTGCAACGCCCCAAAAGCTTTCATATAACCCTGCTGACGGAAGTGCTTGAGGCACAGTTTTATAATCTCATTTTCACGCAAAGTATTATAGCTCTTCATCCGTGCGCACGTATACATGGGATCATCCTGGCCATGAAGTTCGATGTACCAGATACTGAAATTGAATGATGGTCCCCAAGACAACAATGGCACTATTTTCAGATAGAGAATGGGTAGATTCTCTGCGCCATCCTCAGTCATGCAGCGCAAATTGAATACTTCAGGTATATTATCATTTTTAAGACCCCTGCAAATAAACGATTTTACTTTAGATTTTATATTTATAGTGTTCATAGATACTTACGCTTCTAGCAACAGCACCATGTGCTCATCTTCCAATCCACCAAACACGCGAAACTTCTTTATGTTGCATACGTGCGATTTCTCAAATTTACCAAATTTGATCTTTTGAACAATGGCGGGTCGTCGGAGCTTCAATGTGAGAAACTGTGGTGGGCTGTTTGTGTACGCGGACCAGCGAGAGGTTTGGTCGTTTGGGCAGTCGACGAGAACGTTTCTGAAATCCGAAAATGAAAACAAACTGTAAAAATACCCACAAAATTGACAGCAGCGACAGCTGCGCAGTTGACAACAATTACGAAATGCAACTTTGACATGATATGGGCGGGACGCTTCTTTTATGCATCTACATACACATGCACGTGTATATGTATACGTATATATATTCACTCACGTTTGCCAACATCAATACATTTGAATGTTTGCATTTACAGTTGAAGGGCCAAAGCCTATGACTTACTCAGGCAAATAGTTTGGCGAACAACTTGAGTAACGGTATATCTCGAAATTCAGACGTTCAGAGAGCGTAAAGGGTTTCTGCGTATTTGCCCCTGGTACCACGGGCACAGCACCATATGAAATTGCTAGAGAGCCATTAGAACTGTCCGTTGGGCTCGATGTAGTAGTCGTCGATGTCGACATCCTTGTTTAGACTTGAACACTTGTAGTGCAGGTAAATTGGTTTAGAGAGTTTATAACTTAATTCTATTGCCGGCAACGCAAAATAACAAAATACCAATTGTCGTGCAATTCTTAAGTTTTATTATGACATTCACAGTTAAACGACGACAAAATCAGCAAATCAGCTTTTAACGTGAATGCTCCACACTTGACGAAAATGCCTCGAAACTTGTCGAAGATTATTTTTTATTGGACCCAATAAAAATTCAACAATTAACAAAACAAACTTAATCTACTTCGAATTACCCATCTATAAAAGTATTATTTTGTTTTTTATAATATTTATTTTTTGGTAAACAGGAACGAGTTCCATTGATTTATTTTTGTACGTAATGCTATAACGTCTAACAACAACTGATATCATATTCTGCAATTTTTTAAGTATATTGTATGGGACAGCTAAAAAAGAAACAAAAAATAATATAGAGCTTTGGGAGATGAATTTTGTACATAATTTAAAGTATTGAAAATATTTAAAAAACAAAAATAATAAATTATTTATTTATGAACCGATATGTGAAATATACAATTTTCATCATACAACAAAACAACATTTTCTTAGCTGATTTTTATCCTATGTTATATAATTTGCTCTATTTCAAATCATTTTCGCCAAGTAATGCTATAAATTGGCTACCGGGTATGCTTTCACCAGGTACTGAATTATAGAGCTCTTGTTAATGAAACGATAGTTTTCGATCGAGTCCTATCGATGGATCGAAATCATCGCCCATCACTAGTCTTTCGTTGTATGTTTATGAATAGCTGAATTTCTTGCTGAGCTAACAAAAAATAATTAAATACCGGCTCCATTTTTGCTGTTAAGTTTTGAAATGTCCTTTGATGCTATACCTAAAGATCTGCGCGGGCTACGCGCCTGTCTAGTATGCTCCCTTGTAAAGGTAGGTATTAGAAATTCGAGTCGTACAAGCGTACAGATTTTAGTTTGGGCGCTCTTTTTTCTGTAGACTTTCGATCAATTCGAGACTGATGGCTGTGAAAACTGTGAAGAGTTTCTGCGTATGAAGAATAACAAGGACAATGTGTACGATCACACAAGCAACAATTTTGATGGCATCATCGCTCTGACAACGCCCACAGACTCCTGGGTAGCAAAATGGCAACGACTTGGTAAGCAAACACAATTGAACGTGTAACCACGATATCAATATATATATTTTTCTTACCTGCACAGCACGTTTTACGCGTGGCATCTATGCAATTTCCGTATCGGGTACTCTGCCACAGTCGACCATTCGCGACATGAAGAACCGCGGAATTGCTTACAAGACAAGAGATAGAAGTCAGCGCTAATCAGCTGCGTATTTGGCGTATAAAATATGTAGTTTATTTTAAGTAATAACAAAACCTCAAACACATACATCTAGAATAAAATACAGTTTTAAGTGAAGGCGCTATCAATCTTCCAGGGAGCTCACTCGCAAGCCATCGCCACCAGCTGTAGTGACATGAACACCAAAGCCAGCTGCTTCTAACTCCTCCTTCAGTTTCCAGTACACTTCGTTGGCTTCGTATTTCTCGGGCAGCAAAATAATAGCATAGCCACCAGCACCGGCGCCCGTCAACTTGGAGAAGAACCCACGCTTGAAGGCAATCGTAAAAATTTGCTCTAGTTTCGGATGTGTGACGCCAATTGCTTTTAACAGATCGTTGTTTATTTGAAAGAGACGTTCCAGTTTCTCGAACTTTTGGCTGTCGTCCTGAGCATTTCCAAAGCTTTCGTACAGAGGCACCGCGGAATTCACAAGCTGGTCACAAGCCTGCCAAATGGCTTCGATTAACAGCGGGAACTCTTCGGCCAAGTGACGCACCTTCGCGACAATATCAGCGGTGCTGCGGCTCACCCGGCTATCCACCAGTAAAATGTTAAGCGGTTTCTGTATGCGCAGCGATTGAAAGCCTTGGCCTTTGACGAAGCGAAGAATTCCTCCATAGGTGCACACTGTGTTATCCACACCGGAGGGCGAACCGTGATTAACGCGCTCTGATTCGAATGCCCAGTGCGAAATCAAGGCTAAATTCCTGTCTTGCAAATAGCTTGTTTCGTCGAAATGACCAGCCAAAATCAGAAAAGCAGTTGCCAAGGCAGCGCCATAGGATGCAGAGCTACCCAGACCGGCACCCACGTTAAGCTCTGAATCCACTTGCACCTGGAAACCAGTTGAAAGTGTTAGCGTGGGTTGATTGGGTGACGTGAGCACAGCGCCTGCCAGAAGGTAGTATATTGAAACGAAAGCGCGTTGTGTGTGCTGTTTGGGAGTGCTGCCCACGCTACGTTCCAGCTGCTTGGCCACCTCAGCGCGCACCTCTTCCAATAGCTTAGCGGTGTTCTCCAGCTTGTCGCCAGGATATTTGGTGCGAAATTTACCCAGAAAGGCATTGAATTCACTCAATTCTATTTCTACTGTGCAGTTGAGAGCCTCCAGCTGAAAACTTGCCACCTGGCTGCCCGCCTGCGTGCGCAGTTGGAGCTTGGTGCCCAGGCCCACGACTGCAGCCAATGCGGGCTTTTGATAAACAACAGCATGCTCTCCATGTAGAATCACTTTGCCAGGAGAGTGAACCTGGAACTTCGTCATTGTTTCTGTTGAAATGCAAATAGGTCTCTTTTAGATATTTGAATTTCTAATGGTGCCCTCGAGTTCATGCAAGATGGCGGCAACAAGGGTCACTGGAGATCAGGTTCTCGCTTTATTTATATTATGTATGTTTGCTTCAGATTTTATGTAATGTTACGCGAAATTTTGCGTGTTTATTGTTACTCCGTTCATCGGCTGTTTCCCTTTCACTTTCTTTGTTCAACTGTTTTTGGTTTCGACTGGTTGGATTTCGTCTGACGTTGGCTGGTTAAATCACATACATCTGTAGACACATACACACATGCATGTACAGGTTTTAGGCTCCACAGTGAAGCAACAGGTTACGGTTGCTGCTGCTCTTGCTATTGCTGTTGCACTTTCTCCCACTCGGCTGGTGTGTATGATTTTTGCGAGAAAGCGTGTATTTCCTTAAGTTCTTCGGCGAGCGTTGTGTTAACTCTTAAATTAAATTAAGTTACGTTATTATTAGTTATTTTATATATTTTAATATTTAAATGTAGAACAAATTACAATCTGTGCTTTTGAAGGAGTGCTTTTCCCTCAAATGCTTTAGAGACGATGACAGCACTAAATTTTCCACCACATCCGTCCGATTCGTCTGTAACATGCACATACGTAGCGTCTAATTTTTCTTTTAGCTTATCTTCCAGATACTTTGAGGTATACTTGCTCATTTTGTTTGATTTTATTTAAATTTATTTCTTTTACAAATAAGAAGATAAATACTAATGCAGTCATTAGCGGCAAATTATCGAATTGAGAAGATTGCTTGTTTATGAATCTAATACGTCACAAACAAAAAAGTGGTGTATACACAAGGCTTGAATACGTATTGTAAAAAACTGTCAAGTTAGTTTTTGAAATAAAGAGCTGCAAATTAAATCAATTTTTGTTACTGACAGTAAAAGGTACCCGAAAATAATATATATTTTTATGAAAATCATTATTTATGACGTCACAAGCTCTAGACATGATTCTTGACTATCGTAACCATTGTTCTACCTGATAAACATATCGTTTATACTATTTTATTTGTGAAAGCTATCGATTATTTGATGAATATGTTATCGAAATATTCTCATTCCCAACATAGCATTATTGTGCGTGTTGATAGCGCCAAAATTACTCGTTTTTAGTTTTGTTTTTACCAAGTTTTTAATTAAAAAGCAAATATTTTCTGTTTAAACTTAAGCGAGGAATACAACCAATTTAGGAAGCGCTGAATTATAGTCCTCATGTCATTCTTTGGTGGCAACACATCGCTGGGTGCGACAAGCACGCCGGCTAAACGTAAGTAGATTTCTCATTTCATTCTTCAGGTGGGAAAGGCACGAAAAGGGCATGCGGTATTTGAATGTATTGCCGGTCAAGCCCTTTTCGCCAAATAGCGTTGAGGGTTAGCAGTTGAAGGCAGGGTAAGCAACTTCTTTGCATCCTGTAAATTTTTCAAACGTATTTCCTTTGGATTAATTCTGAAATATTTAAATAGTAATTAGGTATACCGACATCAGTGAAAATACTTATATTTTATTTGATAACTTACTCCTTTTTGTGAATAACATAGCCGACATAGGCAGCGCAAGCCAGCAGAAAAACTACTATAAAGATAATGAATGGCATAGTAGGAAATCAAACACATCCGCTGCTGTCCAGCTTCTACAGTATACTAAGACCTAACTCTCACTAAACACGCCTCTCGAACTGATAAGATATGTACGCGGGAGCTGGACCAGCAACAAAACATTTCAAACACTGACCCCTTTATGTTATACTTATCTCTTCTGTGGACAGCGGGCGGCATGTTTGGTTCATCATTTGGTGCGACAACCGGAGCTGCGGCACCGGCTTTTGGAAGCAATATGTCAACGTCTGCGTTTGGTGCCGCACCCACAGCTTTCGGTGCCCCGACTAGTGCACCGACTGGTACATTGGGTGGTGGATTTGGTGGTTTTGGCGCAGCAGCACCGACAAATCAGCCTAGTTTATTTGCAACACCCGCGATAAGTGCGGCACCACCTGCATTTAGTGGTTTCGGACAGCTGCCAACATCGAGCAACGCGCCTGCTAGTGGATTCGCGGGATTCGGAGCAACAACAACAACGGCACCAGCTTTCGGTGGCTTTGGTGCCAGCCAGCCGTCAGCATTTGGTGGTAGCACTTTTGGATCAGGTAAACTGCCCAAGTTCCGCCTATAGATTTAAAATATTAATTATATTAATTATTCTTGCAGCATTTGGTAAGCCAGCTGCGCCGACAGTGACTCCCGGCTTTGGAGGCTTTGGCGGTACAAACTTTATGTTGGGGCAGCCACAGCAGCAGCCTGTGCCAATTTCGTCGGATGAAGCGTTTGCTCAGTCCATTTTAAATGTCTCTATCTTTGGCGATGAGCGTGATAATATTGTAGCCAAGTGGAACTATCTACAGGCTATGTGGGGTACTGGAAAACTATTTTATTCTCAAAGTGCTGCACCCGTTGACATTACGCAGGAGAATTACTTATGTCGTTTCAAAGCCATTGGCTACAGTCGCATGCCTGGCAAGGACAACAAGCTGGGACTAGTCGCACTCAACTTTGATCGGGATTTAGCAACGATTAAGTGAGTGTTTAACTGTCCATCTTTATTTGACTTTTATTAATTTGAATACTATCGCGTTTCTAGGGCGCAACAGCAACAGATTGTACAAACATTGCACAGTCTAATGGGAAGCAAGCCAAATCTAATGGTACACATCGACGTTCTTAAAGAGTTGGAAAACAAGAAGTGTCAAATGGTTATCTATGTGGAGGAGAAAGTGCAGATGACGCACGGTCCTAATGATAGCAAGCGGATACTTGCCACTGAATTGGCCAGTTATTTAGGCCAGGCAGCAGTGAAAGCACAGTTGACGAATCTGGGCTTGATAGAAGCTTTGGCACTTACACTGCCTGATGACGATCAGCTGAAAGAGTATTTAGAGAACCCTCCGCGCAGCGTTGATCCACGCATGTGGCGCCAGGCCAATTTAGACAACCCAGATGACAGTCAATTTATACCTGTGCCCATGATTGGTTTCAACGATTTGAAATGGCGTGTCAAATGCCAGGAACAGGAGACCGAGACCCATGCGCTCTACATGAAGAAGGTGGAAGGTGAGTTGCAGGAACTACGGCGACGCCATGCCTCGGCAACAGCTAGGATAATGGAGCACAAACGCAAGTTGGCCGAAATGAGCCATCGCATACTTAGGGTAAACGAATTAATCTGAAATCACTTTCGGTCTCTTCTATATTATTTAAATATTTATGTCTCAGATCGTTGTGAAACAAGAATGTACTCGCAAGGTGGGCACCACGTTAACGCCTGAGGAGGAGGCACTGCGCACTAAGCTGCAGAATATGCAGGCTGTCGTTTCTGCACCCACTCAGTTTAAGGGACGCCTAAGTGAGCTACTCTCCCAGATTCGAATGCAGCGCAGCCAATTTGCTAGCAATGGCCTGCCCGAATATGCACTAGAAAAAAGCGCTGAGGATGAGATGCGAACCATAATGACCATGCAGCAGCACGCCATGGAGGTGCTAAAGGAAACTGTAAACAAAGACCTGGAAGCACTGGATATTATCATAAAAGGTTTGCCCGAGTTACAGCAAACATGATCCCTCATACGAACCGTGCAGAAATTATATAGTTGTTTTTCTAATATAGAGTCAATGAACAAGATATAATCGTTACAATTTGTTAATGCTTTTTTGTTGCTATTGCCACCGGTCTAGTATTTCCTGTATCTTTGAACTTGCACTTTTACGGCTGGCAAGATAGAAAATATAACAAATGTGTGTTGGCTCTCGTTGTAACAATCGAAACGAGTTCACATCTCACGCTGCGGAAATTATGTGAACGACAATTTTGTACACTTACATTAAAGGGTATCATACATTTGTTTATGCTTTGATGATATTTAAAAACTACTAATTTGTACAAACTTGAACAATTCAGAAATTGTCCAGAATTTATAATATTCAATAAGCTGAATTTCAATGCGAAATTCTATGTAAGTATGTTTTTGATTAGATTTAGCTATGTAAAGAATGTGGAAGATATTTTGATTAACTTTTAACTTATTTCAAGTTTTAATTAACTTGCACTTGCAAGAGTATTGTCATTTCGGCTACCTAAGTAGCTTCATTGTTTTTGTCATAACGCTTGCCGCTTTTAGTGTCAATGCACTTGGTGCAAGCGGCCGACTTTTCTTTGGGATTGGACAATTTTGCAGCGATTACTTGACCATTTGACGCAATTTCGCTCGTTGCCGCTGGTTGCAACGAACTCATTACCAGTGACAAACTCACATCCAGTTTGTTCAACTTCAGCCTGTTCGCCGCTTGGGTTGTTACATTAACATTATTATGCAGCCGGGCGTGTGTGTGTGCAGTTGTCTCGTTATATATTTATTTCTTTTGCACTGGGAAAACTTGTTTTCCAGCTAACTGTGCCTGGAGTGAAGTTGTTGCTATTGTTGATTGTGGAGACTTCCGAGAGCTTCCGTTTTAAGACTGGGAAAATGGAAAATGATTGCAGTGTGTGGAGTATAAATGAATTCGCTGTGTCCAGGCCGCCTTACTCATTGTGCGATCTTTGCAACGACAAGTGACGGCAGCAGCTCCACCAACGTATATGGACTAATAATAGCTAAGCTATAAAAGATCAACAAAACTCGCCATGTCGAATGGGTCATTGATTGTGAGTGTGTCTGGAGTTGCAGCCGTAAGATCTGTTGCCTAAAACACTCATATCTCCCCTTTAGTTGCTGTTGTGGGCATTTTGCTCAAGTGTGGCTGCCACGCCCACGACATCAATAGCGCAGCGTCGTGTACAGCTGCAGGATGATGTGCAGCTGTTGCATCCGCAAATCATAACAATTGAACGGTTGGAGAACTTACTCCGGCGCGCTGGGGAAATATTTGGTCCGGTAGCCCAGGTCGAAGATTCTGCATCGGCTGGTAGCCAGTTGGAACCCCAGATTGAGATGCAGGTGCAGCCACAGCAGTACATGTTGCCGCCCACAGATCAACCGTACAACTTCTACTTGCCACTCTACGATTACGTGGATCCAAAGCTTGACGCCAAGAGCCGACACATGGAGAAAATTGCACCACCACCGCAACGATTGCAACAGGAGCGGAATTATTACGCCGACAAGCCAAAGAAGACGCCGAAAAAGTTCAATGCGGCCTCCAAGCACATTAACCTTAAGTGGCTCAATTCATACGAGAAGGCAATGGGCGGCGCTCCACCCAAGGCTCTCTATTTGGAGCAGGATGAGCGCAATCGCATCAACTTTGATGACTCTTTCTTTGCTGTTGATATGCACGTGAAGACGCCTGGCAATCAACCGCATCAGGAGTCGAGCGCTGTGCCCGCCGAGTTGGTGCAGCATGGCGAACAGCTAGCCGAGGATGATCTTATGGCCGCGCCTGCCCAGCTCACATACAACTACAAGCCAGCTGGAACTGTGAATCAGCATCCTTAGCGATGCACTGCGGCCAGGACAACTGTTATTTAATTGTAGTCGGTTACAAAAATACAAAAATATATTTATATATGTTACATATTGCTCAACAGCGGGGATAAATGCTCAGTAGACCAAACAAAGTGTTTAGTTGATTTATAATTACGTGTAAAGCTTCAGTTTGTATTACATCCTAGCAACAGGTAGGAATGCTTTGTGTGGCAATCAGAGTCTCCTAAATCAGTTTATACGTGCTTAGCGATGCCTTCACGTACAACTTTTTCAATATCATCGAGCAGGCCTGAAGCGCCGAATCGGAATAGTTCGGGCTTCAGCCAGTTCATGCCAAGAGTATTTTTGATTAGCGTCATCCAGGCGATTGCGTCTCGCACAGTTCTCACACCGCCCGCTGGCTTCAGGCCGACAATTTGACCAGTGAGACGCTTGAATTTCTGAATGGCATATATCATGACTAGACCAACAGGCAGTGTAGCATTCACCGCCTCTTTGCCAGTGGATGTCTTGATGAAATCCGCTCCCGCCAGCATGCACACCATCGATGCTTTGTATACCTGCAAAAAAGTAGATACATCAAATCGGGTTTAAAGGATGCTATGGAAGAAACATACATTTTCCATGGAGCCTAGTTCACCAATGGCCAAGATGGTCTTTAAATGTGCACGATTGCCACAGGCCTTCCGCATCTGGACTACCTCATTGTACACGCCTTCCCAGTCGCCTACCAGTGCCAGCTGTCGATTGATAACGATATCAATCTCAGTAGCACCAGATTCAATAGCGTAGCTTATTTCCTCCAGACGCGACTTCAAACTATATTGGCCGGTAGGGAAACCAGTGGCCACTGCAGCTATTGATATGTCATTCAATTTGCCATACTGCTTTAGCGCCTGATACGCATCTGCCACACGGGCGGGATAGACGCAAACAGCAGCACAATGAATATCTGACAGCAAACTATCCTCAATAGATTTCTCAAGAAGTTGAGGTTCAAAGGGCAAACTTGCCCGCACACAAAGCCGCCTCACATTGGAGGCAGTATCATCTCCAGCCAAGGTGGTCAAGTCCGTTAGCGTTAAGGCCTTCAGAGCCCAAGCGACTTCATAGTAACCCGTCACACTGGAGTTTTGTGATAAGTTTGATGCATTTTTATTGATTTCGGGCAGTGAAAAGTTTACCTTGAGCACGGATGCATCTGATAACGTGTAAACAGATTAATAACAGTCTGTGAATTATGTATAGAAGGATACTTACCATAGGGCATAATCTTATTTACTTCCATTTCCATTCTATTGATTTTTTGAAGGGGATACTCTCTTCTTGGGCAGTTAACAAGAATAACACACACTTGGCAATAAGCACGCTGATCCCGCCCATAAACTAGCCGTAGATAAGAAATCAGCTGTTGTCAGCGTTGCCATATTGATTTTTAAAGATCAAATGTAACAAGACAGGGCTGTTATATGAATTTGAAATTTAAAAAGCCGCCATTAGTTTAAATTTAAAGATGTGTTTAGAAAATGTATTTATTGTTTTTTTAATGGAACATGAACATTAATTGTCCACTACAGAGATATAGACAACATAGACAGGGACTACATACATATGTTTGAAAGTTTCCTGTTAGTTATAGAGCACTCTATCTTATCTATGCAGTTCAAAGTCAAGTAATATCAATGGAAATTCCAATCTAAAGTATTAAGTACCTCGTTTATAAATCAGCGGGAGCTTCATCCATTTATACACCTGACTATCTTTATCTAGCCAATACAATGGGTCATCTATAAATGCACAATGCCATAATTTATTGTCAGCTTCGATTTTTATGGCTACCATATTAAATTTTGATTGTCCCATGGGTGTTTCCCAAAAATATGAATATGCGATTTGATCCCTTTCCAAGCGATTAATGAGCAAGAAGTGTGCATGAATGAATGCATTTCTGTTTTGAAGTTATTTGAATAGCGGTAAGTAGACAATTGGCTATTTGGATTGATGTACTTTAAACGTTTTCAGATACATTATCATTTGTTAAGCCATTCGGCGCTGATTAGATACAACAGGTGGTGCTCACTTACAGATTACAGATCCACTTAACGGATGTTTATAGAAAACTACTTTAACATGTGAACGCCGTGGACGATATAAATAGTTGGGCCATACGACTCGGTAACTTACATATAAGTGGGTCTAGTGCGAGGTATCAGTATGGCAGCAATACCTACAACCTACAATGAGAAGGATAATACGTGGTGTGGAGCCAAGCGGAGCTCTATCTATAACTATGATATATCTGTGGGCAAAGTCATATTCAATACCATGAAGAATTGGCCAAAAAATGTGTGCCAGGTGGGTCTAATTGAAATTAGTGCGACGAGTTGAGAGCTCACCACAGTTATTACAATGTGCAGATTAACGATATTGATGGCGTAACAGTGACCAATGCACAGGGCATCACCTGGGCCGTACGCATTGCACAGTATCTGAAAAACCGTGGCCTCAACCACAAGGATGTAATTGGCATCGCTGCGAAAAATACCACCTATGTGATGCCCTTGGGTGTGGCTTGCCTAATGAATGGAACACCCTTTCACTCTGTGAATCCACTGCTCGACGAAGGTTGGTTACTCATTTGATCGAGTGTCATTTGGACTGCCCCATTTAATCGAATCGAATCGAATCGAATCGAATTTAATTTAATTAATTTAGCCACCATTAGCTATGTGTATGCAATAACTAAGCCGATGCTCATATTCTGCGATGGTTTGGATTATCAAAAAATTCGCGCGGCCACCTTAAGCTGGCATCCTGAGATATACACCTTGAGCGATCCGATTGAGGGTGTGCCCAAGATAGAGAACCTGCTGGATCCAACTACCACTGAAATGTTCTATCAGTAAGTGAGGGAATATTGAATATCGATTCGCTTATTAAATCTATCGACTTCTGTGTAGACCGGAGCCTCTTAAGACCGGCGGAGATCAAACGGTGGCCATTTTATGCTCCTCTGGCACCACAGGCTTGCCCAAAGCCGTTTGCATTTCGAATGGTATACTCATACAGGAGAGCTTGTAAGCTGAGAGTTGTTTGCATCTGGAATTTCGAATTCTAATTAAATTTAAATGTGCAGGCTCGTAACTAGTGAATCGGTCATCTTTGTGGCCAGCTCTCTGGATTGGCTAACTGGTCTGTTGGCCTTCGTGTTCAGCACTGTGTTTGGCAGTACGCGCATCATAACTAACCGACCCTTTGAACCCACCTATTTTGTCGAATTGGTCAAGAAGTACAAGATCAACTATGCCGTGGTGCCGCCGAGGCATTTGTCTGCCCTGGTCACGTGTCCAAATGCCACAGCAGAAGCGCTTGTGCCATTGCGTATGCTAAATTATGGGGGTGGCTTGGTGTCCTTGGCCACACTGCAGCGTGCTCAGGAGATATGTAAGTCAGCCATGTTTAATTCGGGCTACGGCATGACCGAGATAGGTGCCATCACAGTGAACATTGGCATTAGTAATACTGCATCAGCGGGCAGACTCTTGCCAGGCATTAAGATCCGAATTGTCGACGAAGAGGGCAAGAGCCTGGGTTACAATCAGGTCGGAGAAATCTATGTGCACACGGGACAGGCCTGGAGCGGTTACTATGGCAATCCCGTGGAAACGCGACGCATGCAGGACTTTGAGGGCTGGTTCCATACCGGCGACCTGGGCTACTTTGACGAACAGAATTACCTGTACATCGTCGATCGTAAAAAGGAGATCCTTAAGTACCAGGGACTGCACTACTGGCCCACCGAAATCGAGAGTACGATTGCAGAGCTGCAGCAGGTGCAGGATGTTTGTGTTGTTGGCATCTACGATGAGCGCGAAGGCGACGCGGCTGGCGCCTTGGTAGTCAAGCGCAAAGGCTGCGAAATAAGCGCCAAGGAGGTGGTTGACCATGTGGCCAAGCGCCTGACTGGCATGCAGAAGCAGCTGCGTGCCGGCGTGCGCTTCGTCGATAAGCTGCCCGCCAATGTGAACGGCAAGACGATGCGCAAGACCGCTAAGGAGGTGTTTCTGGCCCAGCCCAACTGAGCCAAAGAACAAATATTCCACTTGAATTATGTACTTTACCTTATAAGACGGACTACTTGAGATCGCTGATAAGGCGCTTCACAAGAATAAAATAAACAGACTTTCAATTACATATTTTACACGAAGACCCTAACTCTATTGGCTAAAGTGCTATTTAGCCATAAGTTTAATGCTAAAATAAACAGATATGATTTTATAAGCTTTTGCCGTACACACTTAAGCACTTCAGGATTTCGAGGTTTGAGATAGTCCAATCTAAGGGGTAGCTGACTCAGATCACATGTTACTAAAATAAAGTCAGACCCAATTGTTCTCGTTGATTTCGACAGTATTGATTCCTAAAATAACTAAAAAAAGAACAAAAAGTTTCCGATTAAGCAAAGCTACAATGTTGATTTTTTCAACCTTTCTTATCTTGATACGCTTTTATATAAGTTAATAATATGAACTTCATTTGATAAAGTTGAAGCACGTGCCAATGAGGAAGCATTTCTTACGGCACTTAAGTCTTCATTGATATTGATTATATTGTCGAGCTTCGGTTGACTCAGCTCTCCACAAATCACTTTTTATATGACATAATTATTTTATTACTCAACATTGAAAAGAAATTGAAAATCTTGAATGATAATTTCATCTATAGCTTATATTCACCTTTTCTGATAGCTGGCCAAGGCCAGGAAATATTTCATAAATTGAAATAAATAAATATTAATAATCAAATATCACAATTTTCCATTCAACTACCAACAGTTTATTACCAGATTATTAAAATCAGATCTGATTTCGCGTTATATGCCATCAATTAAAGTTTTTTAACGCATTTCTGGAAGCTCGTTTTAATGATAATGGTTAAAGAGAAATACAGGTAAAGCTGATAAGAGTTGGACTACGAGTCAGATAAGTGTTGCGTAAATTTTCAATATGATTTCAATTGATTAAGACTGATTAAGGCAGATGACGTTTATGGTCCTGCTTTCCTAGCCAATCACCGTGAGCTCAGCAGTTACTGATAAAAGACAATTTTTACTATATAATTGAGGGTTCTTCCGCGAATAAGTTATTTTGTGATTGAAACTTAAAGCAATCGGACCTAATAAAGAACTAATAAAATGGAGGATTTCTTTAAAACCCATTACGATCCAGTTGAACACATCTGGAGTGGCGCGAAACCTTCGCCCATGTACGACTTTGATTGTTCAGTTGGTCGAATAATTCACAATCAACTCAGAAATAATCCCACTAATATCTGCCAGGTAAGCGGAATAGCAAATACATATAGAACTTATATAAACTATTTATTTCTTTATGTAGATCAGCCTGCAGGATGGAATAACTGCGACAAATCGGGATATATTCAATTGGTCCGTGAGACTTGCGCAGAATTTCAAGAAACGCGGATTACGCCACGATGATGTCATCTGCATTTCAGCCAAGAACAGCACATACGTTACTCCAGTGGCTGTAGCCTGTCTCTTCAATGCCACGCCCTTTCACGCCGTTAATCCCATCTTGGATGTGGAGACTCTCACACACGTCCTGGCGATAACAAAGCCAAAACTATTCTTCTGCGATGCCGCTGACGTAGAGAAGCTGAAGACTGCGAGCGCTGCATGGTCACCTGAGATTATAACGGTGATTGGCAAAGTGGAGGGGGTTACACATGTTGAGGAACTACTTTCGCCAACTAACACTGAAATATTTTATCAGTAAGTTCAGATTTTATCTACAGATCTATCTATAGACATTGACCATCTCTCTGAATTTATTACAGACCTCAACCTTTGCTCTTGGGCGGGGAACAGACTGTGGCCATTTTATGTTCCTCTGGTACGACAGGCAAACCCAAGGCTGTGTGCCTGGGCAACTACATGCTATTAGTTGGCATTCCGTAAATATTAATATATTCTCAATTTAGTTCAGATTACATGGGATATATTCCTTCCAGATTCGTTAATACCGAGACGGTAATCTACTGTGGCTCTAGTTTGGACTGGTATTCAGGTCTGCTCAACTTTCTGTATAGCGTGGGCGATGGATGTACGCGCATCATACCCGACAAGCCTTACAGTGCGGAGTATATTTTAGAGCTCGTGGCCAAATACAAGATCAATTTCATCAGCTGTGCACCGCGTCATGCCAGCGAGCTAGTCTCTTGCCCCCAGGCCACACCGGAACGACTAGCTAGCGTGTATATAGTGGCAATCGGGGGCGGTTGGATACCTCCCGTGACACTGGGCAAGTTGCAAAAGCTAATTAAAACAGGAGTTATATATTTCGGATATGGCACTACAGAATTTGGAGGAGTGTGTGCCGGCGCCTATAATGAGAAATTCGGCAACACAGTTGGCAAGCTCAATTCGGGCATTAAGATGCGCATTGTCGATGAGAACGGTAAGAATCTTGGCTACGAGAAAGTTGGAGAGGTCTATGTAAACCACGGCCGAAAATGGAACGGATACTACGGCAATCCGCTGGAAACGCAGCGCATGCAAGACTCTCTGGGCTGGTTCCATACAGGCGATCTGGGATACTTTGATGAGCACAACAATCTGTACATTGTAGACCGCAAGAAGGAGGTGTACAAATGCTTAGGCATGCAATATGGGCCCAGCGACATTGAAGCCGCTATTGCTGAGCTGCCCGATGTCAATGAGGTGTGTGTAGTGGGCATCTATGACGAGAAGTACGGAGATGCACCTGCTGCCATGGTAATTAAACGGCCTGGCAGCACCTTGAGCGCAGACCAGATCAAACAGCATGTGGCCAAGCGCTTGGTGGCTAACTACAAGCAGCTGCATGGAGGCGTCTACTTTGCCAGCGAGTTGCCCCAAACAGCCAGCGGCAAAGTGCTCCGACGAGCGGTGAAGGAGCAACTCACTCAGTCAAGCGTAGATCGATAAGAAATGTTTTATTAGTTTAGTTGCAATTATTTAAATTATTGTAAGAGATTTCTAAACACTATTGTAGATATGAGAATAGGCGTTCGTGCATCCTAAACTCATCTTATGTGTGTCAAAATGAATGTTATAAGGTACAACCTACCCCTATATAAGGTATCAGCGCATCTCTTGCTGGCTGCAAAGCCACGATAACAATTAAATTATTTAAAAATATGTGACCCTATCTGACTATTCTTTAATTTGTAATTTAAGTTCCTGGACTTTGGTTGGAGAGAAACTTGAAAATATAATATTCGATTCGTTGCTTGCCCAAACATATGAATTAATAATCGCTAAATGTGTTTCCAAAAAGTATGCTTCAATATTTTATATTTTTTTAAGTGTTAGTATCTAATAGATATTCGTATCTTATAGATATTAAAGAGTATATGAGCTTAGTGCTTATATAAAAAAGGCACAGCTTTTGGAAGCATCTGTGAACCTGTTGTACGCATTTGGAGGGTGTCAAAGTATGACTCCGATTGCTTAAATAATTCACAATAATCTGAAAGCTTAAGCAAAATAATTTGTCTTAATGAAGCGAAGATCAGCTCAAAACAGCCTTCGGCTGGACAGGTGGTTGTCAACTAGAAGCAGCTGCTTGGCTTCTCACTTAAGTTACTCCAGAGCGCCATTGGTAAGTTGCTCCGAGAAAAAGATTGATAAATTAAATGGGTTTGGTTCAGCTTTAATGGTGTAAATAAATATTTTTCGAATTTCTAATTACAAATAGGCCCTGAGTGTATATGCAGCGATTGGACATCGCGTTAAGTAGACTATAAATGAACCAAGATGCAGCTCCAGATGATGAGGAGCAATGCACAGCTGGTCGGATGACTGGCAGCTGCAGTTAGCTCTGGCTGCGGCTGATCCATGTCCATAGATGAGACATTGGCATGCTCGTGCTCCGCTGGCTGTGGCACGAGTTGCTGTCGAACTTTACCTGTTTTTATCTCAACTTTAGGCAGCGGGAAGCAGTAGACGCGCTCGACTTCTACTAGCACGGCAGTCGTGCTCTCCGTGGCTGTCTCCGATACGGTGAGTGGCACACAGATAGTCGGCTCCTCGGCTGAGTTGCGTTCCTCGTAGGGAATGCCCACGCGCGTTATGTTGAGTGGCAGCTGTGGCAACAGCGTCTCTGGCACGCTTAGCTCGCTGTGCATCTGGGCAGAGTTTAGACTTTCCTCGTAGTATTTATAGTCATCGAGGTCATCGTCAAAGCGATCGATGTTGTCAACGTGATCGATTCGATCGATGCTGCTGCTGCTGCTGGCATCCGTGTAAATGCGCTCTGTGCTGCTGGGCGTGGCATCTAGAAAGTCTGTGGGCCAATTGAGCGCCACTGTGGTGGACTCCGTGGCAAGGCTAGAGCTCTGCGTGGGCCCTGCTGTGCTGCTTACTGCTGGGCCCACTCTGGGCACTGGCTGCGTGCTCTCAAAACTTCGCGTAGGATATGGATAGGGCAGTGGCATCCAGTTGTCCTCGGTGGTTTGGACATGCTGTCGCTTGTGTATGGATGTCGTTGTCTCAATGGACTCGTTGATTTGCTTGGCCATGGCTCGCATCAAAGGATCCGTTGCATTCATGCGCACCACCTCAATCGGTGATGGCTGTGGCTGCGGCTGCGGCTGCGGCTGTGGCTGCAGCTGAGACGGTATATTGGACGACGGTATGCGCCAGCGACCGCGTGATTCCTGCGAACGCTCGAAGCTATCAGGACGTGCATATGGATTCTGATAGCCAACAGCTGCAGTGCGTCTCTCTGTGTCCGGTGGCAGCTCCTCGCTGGATGAGTCACGCCTTTCGCTAGCTACAACAAGCATAAACAGCTGAGTGAGTAACTTTTACAGTGGATTACAGCTTTGTGGGCTTAAAGTTTTGATGAACGTAATTTAGTCTGAATGAAGTTTAATTAGCTTGACTTAATCTAGACATTAAGCTCACTTGAGCAACATTAACTTGAAGTTTTAAGCTCACCTTCAGCTGGCATGCCCATTAGCATGGCCTCGAGTCGCCCATATTTGCGTTGCTTAGGTGGCTCCTCGCCGACGTCAGGTATCTGTGGATGCTCCGCCTTCCAGTTGCCGTACACCACGGCATCTTGTATACGCCCCTCGCTTGGCGTATTGCTTTCCAGCTGCTCACGCAGAAGCGGAATATGCGTGTGCACCGTGGAGCTGGCCGGCATGGGCATTGCCCCAGGCGCTGGCATAGCATTGGGCACAGCTGGACCATAGCCAGGCCAGTTGATTGGGCCGTGGCCAAGCATGGGCGGTGCTGGTGGTGGTGGTGCCTGCGGCATTTGCATATCCGCAATGCGTATGCGACCTCGTGGTCTAAGTGCTTGCAATTGCTGGGCATCCGGGTCGTCCTGGCCGAGGATCTGCTGACAGCAGAACGTGAGCAAAAGACACAGAATTCGAAGAGACAACTGTTTGCTGGCCATAGTTAAACTGGACTAAGAGCCAACAGTTCGAACGGTTTCAGTTCGTTTCGGTTTCGTTTTCTATTTACTGAAATGATGTGCCACTTCTTAAGTGGATATTGTTGCTGTTGTTGTTGTTGTTGGTTTTTGATTTGTATCTTCAATTCACAGTTAGCTTAGTTTTATTGTTAAGCTTTGTTGTTGCTGGCACACGAAACAACGGCAACAACTCATTGTTGAAGTTGGTTATCGTCTCTCAATTCCACTTGCCCATCGATATTCGCACTTTGTTGATGTTGATTTCAGATTTCAGATTTCTGTTTTTATTTTTTACTTTACTATTTTCCTAGTTCTCTGCGCGTTTTGTTTGGCTGCTTCTTTTGCACGTTTTGCGGTCTAAACACGGCGGCTTCTAAACGGCAACTGACGTTGGCCAAATCAATTTGCGGCCGCTTGGGCTGCCAGCACCAACACGGCCAGAGAAACATTCTCAATCATAGCTATAGAAATTTTTTCTTTTGTTCAGTTTTCGCTTAATTATGCGCAAGAGCGTTAAAATTTAATGGCGAATAAACATTCTTTCGTTGTGGTCGGTGAAAATGCAGCGGGCCGCGCAGCAGTCAATGACGAGGGTTCTAGATAGACACCCAAACAAGCGTACAAGCATAGGTATATAGATATATATAGAGCTTCGCATATGCTAAGATTTATGCAAATTACTTGCCAACAAGTCGTTTGTGCTACTAAAAAGTTTTCTTGCTGATTTTTGGCACCGTTTGTTCGTCTGCGAACTATTCGTAAAATATCTCCAAAGTTGACGTCTAACGCTGGGGGCCAACTTTTCACCAAATTGATTGGTTCAACGGTAAAACAGTTGTAGGCCGAAAAGTGTGAAGAGATTTCAATGGAGTTTGCCTTTAAGTCGAATAAGATATTTCGATTTCAATGACTTTCTTTTAGTTGAAGTACTCTGGTTGGAGGTGAGCGAAGTATATCAGCTCATTATAATGTTATGGCATCAAGACATCATAACGCGCCAGCTCATATAGTTTTAGAGTTTTTATTATTAATATTTAAGCTCAATAGTGTATAGATATGAAAACTATATTTTCATTTACTTTATTTTATTATCAAATTTCAATTTTTCTTTAATTTTCTCATTACTTTATTAAACGAATTCAAACTCATTTTATACATGTGTCATTATAATGTTGAGGCATCGAAATATTAAAGGATTTTAAAGTTTTTATTATTAATATCTCTCTGTCTATACGATATCTAAAATCTATAGACTGAATTTTACTTTTTTGTGTTTGATTATCAAATTTTAAATTTCAATTTATTTTTAATTTACTCATTATACCATTAAACGAATTCAAACTCATTTCGCATTTTTCGCAGACTTAAGTAGTATCTGCTCGTGCAAAGCTCTCAACTATTGAGATTTGCTTACCAATTGAAACTTTTTTCGTAGTTTCTTTCGTGTTCACATCAAAGTTTCATAAGTTTCACATGTGAATCTCATGATTCAGATTTTCCAGTCACAGTTTCTTTTTTATTTTTTTCTTGGAATGGAGCCCACTGAAGCAGCACTCGAGTGACTTCAAGTCGAAACCACTTGCAAAAATCGAAACCAAGTCAAAGCGTCAAAAGAAAAGCTGCCAAAATTATGCAACACCTGGTCTGACGGGACTGTCAAAAGTCTGCGACTTTGCCTGTGCCTCATGCACAAAGTAAGGCATATGGAAAATGGCTCTGATGGAAACGGAAAATATTGAATATTTATACAAAAAATTATGCACCATGGAATGGGATCAACAAACGGACTTATGAGGTAATTTAAGCTGTGAAAACACAAATAAAATAATCATAATAAAAACAGCCAACAGAAACCGAAATAAATAGAAAAACCCATTGCGCATTGTCACGTTTTGTGAACATTATGGAGCTCTGTGCATACTGTGTGTGTGTGGCTATAATATGGAAATGGAAAATCGTTGAATAATGTTTGCTTGGGGTCGCGTGTGTGTTTGGCTGGCATGATGGAAATTTTATTTTTCCGCTTTTATTGTGATTATTTTCTTTTATTCAACAAAACTTTCACGATCGTTAACATAAATATCTGTGCTGTGGCTGTTAGCAAAGTGTTATTCATTAATTTTTTATAGAATTTGTAGCAGAAATCACAGTCTTTCGGTTGGTTATGGTCATTAAAGGAGGCGAGTGGTAAAAATTTTGAAAAATATCAAAAATGCAGCACGTTATCTGGTTGAGAGGTTTTGGGTTGTGTTGCGCCGACTCTCTACTGATTTTCCAGCAAGCCAATGTACTGGCCATTCTGATTGGCCAAGCGTCGCTCCTCTAGCTTCTTGGCAAAGCTGGGATCGCTCTTGGCACGCTGCTCCAGGCGCTCCTGCTGCAGCTTAATGCCAGCGTAGATCTGATCCAGACCCTTTTGTATCTCCTCTGGTATGGCTGGCGGCGTGGGTATATGATCGCCAGTGGCACGGAAGCCGTTCTCGTCGGCCGTGTACTGCACATTGACGACGGTGCCCTCAGGCGATTGGTAGGAGTATTGGCCGTGTTGCACTAGAACGCCATTGGGATTGGTATCAAAGTCCTTTAGGAAGCCCGTCTCCTCGTGCACAATGTTGTTGCCGGTTTCGTATTCGGTCTTGTAGCTGCCATCCTCGCTCTGCTCCTTGTTGTACTTCAGTATGGGTATCCAGGTGCTTGTCTCGCGTGGATCCTCATGACGATGGTCCGCTTTCTCATCGCGTGGTATGTTGTTCGCATTGAGGTGTGCATGATGTTGATGCTGGTGCTGGTGCTGATGCTGCGCATGGCACGTAAGGGCAAACAGCGTAATAAGGATCTAATTTCAATTGAAAAGAAATTGAAGCTGGTATTAATTTGAGTCTCAGAGAATATATATTAGGATTGAAACTACATTAAATTTTTTAATTAAATTTAGGTTATTATTTTTAATAATATTTCTGTTAAATCTAGGACACTGTAGCAATAATTAGATAAATAAATAAATATATGATCAAAAGAAATAATAAATATATAAATAAATATAAAAATAAATTAATTAATAACAACTTATGTTATTAATATTTTATTATTATTTGGTGGATAATTAATACCTAAAAAATTCGATAAGAAAATTACCAAATAATTTTTTAATTTTATTCTAACTTATTTGCAAGCTTTCATACATTTAGAAAAGCAATAAAATATCTTGAATATTTTTTTTATTATATATATTATTAATACAATTTTTCATAAGTTTTTCTTTGTATTCTTAAAAATTTCACTAAGTATAAAAATTAGTTCAAACAATTTTATTTATTATTTAAAACTTAATTTTGCCATTCAATCTCTTTGTTTATCTTTATAAATTTATATAAAGTATACAAATTTTATAGTTACACTAATAGTTACATTAATTTATTTATTTTTTATCTTTTATCGTTTTTTCAGCAGCTCGTTAATTTCTCTCTGGGGGTATTCTTAGAACAATAACTATTTTTTTGCTTTTAATTATTATTATTAATTGTTTTTAGCTTCTACTAAACATCACAAAAACACAAACCGCATACCACAGACCCATGCAAAAATAACTATTTGTTGATCCACTAAGAGATGAACTTACAAACACTTTCATTTTGATTGTTTAGTTGACGATTCACTTGCAAGGATTTTGTTGGTGACTGTTAGATACTGTGCATTGACACTAAGTTGCAGTTGCAAATGCGCGTTTTGCTGCGGCGACCGTGCGGTTGGCAAGTGAAAGCTGCAACGATGCGAACTGTGCTGCGGCGGCCCTATTTAAGTGCTTTATATAGCCGCGACTTTTGTCAGAGTCTCCTGCGCTCGCAGCTGGAGCCCAGAGAGACGCATAAAAAGCGATAGAGTTACAGATACAGTTACAGCACAGCTACAGGTAGAGCTACATTGACAATAGTTGCAATTGCCATAGCTGCAGATGCAGTTGCTGTTGCTGCTCTTTCAGCCAGCCAGTCTCGTTGCTAGTTAGTTTTTACGAACAGCTCGAATATATTTGATTTGAGATGTAGAATACTTTTACTTTTTAAGCTAAGGAACTATAAATATTAGTGTCAATCGTTAAACATAAATAATATATTATTACAGATAATTGGAGCTAACGATCTCATCTCATATCCATAATATATACAAATTTTAGTAGTCTCTCGATGGAGAGTTTATCGTTGGATTTCACATAATACTTATGCATACTGGATATGGTAATGGGCACGGCAAAAGTGTGCGGATTGTCTGCGTCTGTCCGGTCGTTCATCTTCGTAATGCCGTTATTTAGAAATAAGCCAGAACGAGTTTTTTCTGCAAGCTTCGACAACGACGTTGTTGTCTTCGCCAAAATGCAGCCGAACCCTGAAAAATGCTCTCCCACTCTCTCAGCCAGTTTTACGGTTGAGAGTTTTGCTTGCGCGAGCGCGCGCGCTCTCTCTCACTCTGTCTCTTGCTCTATTGCTCTCCATATTTATGTTGGCTTTGTAGTAGTGGAGAAGATGTTACTGCTGTTAGCTTTTAAATTCTTGTAATAGCGACAGCGCCTGTCGGCCGGTGTTGGGGGAATTCCGGGCAGGGAGGCAACTTGGCATAGAGGACAGTGACATACAATATATGTGGCATAGACTGAAACTGAAAATTGTTGTAATACTTGTGTTGCTGTGGATCGGGTTTGGTTTTTGTTTGTCTTTTCGTTTGTTTGGCTAGCGAAGCTGCTGATGAGGCAAGACGATAATTGAGTTCAAAACGGCAATGGGTAATGGATCTTGGCAAATGTTAATTAGTTGTGGAAAATGGGTCAATCTCTGACGATAATATCATGCAAAAGCGATTACCGCGATTACTAGCCAATTTCTGTTGGAATGGAACAAAAGGAGAAAAAATGCAAATAAATTTGGTTTCAAAGATGCAAGAATCACTTGCAACACAATGCGAAGAGTTGAACAACCGCGTTGCCGGTCGACGAGAGACACAGAGAGTGAGTGAGAGGTGAATAGCGAGAGTTAGAGGAAGACTGAGCATGTGTAAAAACTGGTCAAGTGTTGCCGTTTGCCATACAAAAAAAAAAAAAACAAAACAACAAACATTTTGGGCCTGGCTTGGCCGCCTGCGCAGCCGCACCTCTTCTACTGCCAACTGTTTACTGCCCACCCAAGCCAAAAGCCTCAGCTCCGTTGGATTAAACTGGTGTAGTCTGGGACCAGTTACCAGTTGTTGGAGTGCCCGATGAGTCACCGAGCAGAGGCAATTGTGTAATTTTTCCCACTCAATGAAAACGAAAGCTGGCAAGGTTAGCTCCAGAGCTACATCCACACTGACCCACTTACACTTACACTTACACGTCCAGCAGCCACCACTAACCGCTTTAGCTGGTCTTATGCTTTTTTGCTGACCATTGAAAATGTCAAACGCTTGGCTGCTGCATTCTCCAGCTAGCATTTGGTGTAGGTTGCATCTCTTGTTGGGAATTGTGTTCTTAGCTCGTGCGCCATTTGACATTTAAGCCTGAGCGCAGAGACTGAAGATTGCAGACCGAAGACCGAAGACCGCAGACTGAAGACCGAAGACTGGTTTACAAAAAAGTTCGCAGGGAGGCAAGCGGCGAGGCAATAAATTTTGCGGCAATTTCAAGTGTCATGATGTTGTGAAATTTGTTGTCAGTGGCTGGCATCTTGAGCTTGAATCGTAAATAATGCTCTAGTAATGGATGGAGATGTCTGCTGATCAGCGTAATCATCGCCACTTGATAGACAGGCCACGTATACCCGCTTGCTAATTGCCAATTCTAACAAGCATTCCATTATTCCTGTTCAAAGAAATTCTTCTCGATCCGATTCCGATTGCGAATTCTAAATTCAGAATAAATTGTAGATGTCGCAACTTGAAGCTCTTCAGTTTATTGACCGTCCATATCTGAACAGACTTCAGCAGTTCTTCCTCTTTTAACTTCACTTTTAACATGAATACATAATATATTTATTTTATTTTTATCTGCGTGTCAGAGCTCCGCTAACCGAAATATTTAAGAATGTTAAGTCGCGCGTAAAAAAAATCAATTGCACCTTTAAATCACCAGTTGGAAAAAAGAGTGGAATATTTTCACCTACGTTAATATTGCGAAAGAAGTACAAGCCCTGAAAATTATGAAATAGATTTTTTAAATACTTAAATGAAGAGATGATAAAGAGAAAGAGAGACTTACCTTGAGCTGAGGACACTTTCCTGAAAAATTACTGTCCCTTATTATACTTTTGTATGCAATATTCACGATTGAGTGAAACATTGTGTTGTTGCTGAGCAGACAGAAATCAAAAGATGCACCAAATACTCTACGAAGTTCCTTCGACCTCGCCCGTGGATGATATACTGCAAGGCTGGCATTGATATTAGCTAAATCTTGGTTATATTTGAATTCGGCTGTCAAACGAGTTTTGTCCGAATCAACAATGAAGCATCTATGGAACACAACGATATTGCTATTTACGTCACAATTGAATGACTTCCAAGTCACAATCAAATGGTTTTGCTGTTGGATATATTTGAATGAAGGATACTTTTACACCTCTAAGCCGATCAAAAGCACGCACCTTGCTGGTTAGAGCAGCTACAGGCCATATCACTGCCAATATATAATAAAATATATCCATTTGAATATATCTAATTGAATACTCAGCCAATTGTTTTTAATAATTATTTTTAAATATCTATTGGCTTGCTACATAAATTAACTTTATCTATTCCAAATTTTAATTTCCTAATTATATTTAAAGCTTTATTGCAGCAATTAAATCGCAAATTTTTAGCTGCGTGCGATGATTTTTCCTAATACAGGACTCTATCTTTAATTAAAATGCTTTTAATAAAATAAAGCATTTATGCTTTTTATGCTTTAATAGCTTCTAATTCAGAATTGTTTGCAATTAAAGAAAAAAAACATAATTTAAGTGGTTAACTCGACTTAAGTTTTTTGATGCATCCATATATATATATAGGATTTAAAAGTTTCTTTAGGATGACTGAGTTTTGGTTGTGGGCATTTCTTGTGCATTTCAGACACATATCATGTCAAATTTATGATTTCTGATTTATGAGAGAATACCTCGGCTCTTAGTTGGAAGCAAAAAAACTAGAGTAAATATTATATCCATACTATACTAATTACTGGCCTGGTTAATTGCCGACTATATTGTTTTTTAAGCATTAAGTTAATGTACAATGATTTCCATTTTAAGATAAACCTAAACTTTATTGACATTAAATGTGCGCAGCTCAATAATCCATTGTTTTTGTAATATTTAGTTTTTGATACAGTCGCGTTGAGCGTAATATTTGAATAGCAATGATGCTGATTAAAGAAGTTCACCTGGGTCATTAGTATTTATCGGGTTATTTGCGTGTAATATTTCCGCTTACCGAAATATTCAAAATTTTTAGGTCGAGCGTAAAAAAATTCAATTGGGCCTTAAAACTTACAGTTGGGAAGAAAAGAGGAATATTTTCACCCAAGTTAACGTTGCGATAGAAATAGAAGCCCTGAAAATTATACAATATATATATTAATATATACAGAGATACAGAAAAAGATAGCGACTTACTTTGGGCAAAGGACACTTTCGTGGATAGTTGCTGTTCTTTATAACACTCTTATAGGCAATATTGGCGATTTTGTGAAGCAATGTATTAGTGTTCAGTTGACAACCATCCAATGACAAACCTAAAATTCTGCGAAACTCCGTCGACTGAGCTCGTCGAAAGTACACTGCAAAGCTAATATTAAGACGTGAGAACGATTGAATATAATTAAATTCGGCAGTTAATAGAGATTTCTCGGAATCAACAATGAAGCATCTATAGGACTCGATAATATTGCGATTTACGTCACAATTAAACGACTCCCAAGTCACAGTCAAATGCTCCGGCTGTAGGATAGTTCGATATATATATAATTAAAGACACTTTTATACCGATTATAGGTACGCACCTTGTTGGCTGCTTTAGCAGCTATAGCCCATAGCATTGCTAAAATATATAATTTATCCATTTGGCCAGCGAGTCGGCTGACGCTTCTATAGCAACTAAATATATTTAATGCATCTGTAAATGGTCTCGGTATTCACACCTAATTTGAATCTATTCCAAGCTGTGATTACTCAATTATATTCAAACATTTTGTATGCAATTAAATTTGTAATAAGCGCAATATATTGCAAACGTAGATCTTTTTCTAATGTCCGCTTTGCTGTTTAAGAAAAAACTAAAATTGCTTGGCATTAAATTATCCATTATATAACATTTAAATAACATTGATTCTGACTACAGAAGCTGACCCAGATCAGAGCTTGGCATTAACTCTTTCAGGCTTTTATAATATTAGTATATTATATATTATAATTATTATTGATCTATCAGATACTTGTCTGAATACATTTATTAGCTTATTTGCGTGTCGCAGTACCGCTTACTGAAATATTTATCATTGTTAAGTCAAACATAAAAAAATTCAATTGTGCCTTAAAATCACCAGTTGGAAAAAAAAGCGGAATATTTTCACCCAAGTTAATATTGCGATAGAAATAGAAGCCCTGTAAATTATTAAAGGTAAATGGATAGATACATATATTAATAGAGAGAGAGATAGAGACTGAGTCAGACAAACCTTCAGTTGAGGACACTTCCGTGGATAATTGCTGTTCTTTATCATGGTATTGTAGACAATATTCGCGAGCTTGTGTATAGTTGTTTTGTTGTTGAGTTGACATATATCGTAAGTTAAGCTCAATACTCTGCGAAATTCCTTCGACTGAGCTTGTCGAAAATATACCGCAAGGCTAGCATTAATTTTAGCAAAATCTCGATTATATTGAACTTCGCTCGTTAAAAGGGTTTTTGCCGGTTCAACAATGAAGCATCTGTAGAACCCAATTAAATCGTGATTTACGTCACAATTAAATGATTCCCAAGTCACAATCAGATGGTTGGGCTGTTGGAGAGTTTGATACATATGTAATTAAAGATAGGTTTACGCTTTATATATCAATTATAAGCACTCACCTTGTTGGCTGCATCGGCTATAGGCCAGAGTATTGCCAAAATATATAACTTATACATTTGGCTAGCGAATCGTCTGGCTCTTCTATAATGACTAAATAAATTTAATGCATCTGAAAATGGTTTCGGTATCAACATATAATTTGAATCTATTTCATGCCCCGATTTCTCAATTATAATTAACATTTTTAAACAATTAACTTTAAAATTGTATGCATATGCCATTAAAATGTATGTGGTCTTTCCTTCTATTTTTATACTCTTTCACGATGTGAGAAAAGTATATCGGTCTGTGTCTACATCTGTCCACACGAACGCAAACCATATCTAGATAGAGATATCTAGAGACTGAACAACTAATTCAAATGTTCAAAATGGTTTATATTAACAAATATCAATATAAAAGAAAAAACATCATGGTCTATTGCTTCCACGATTTTTTAGCTCTGTGCACTGGAAAATCTGTCAAACGTCCACTTAGAGATATATTGAAGATCGGCAAATTGGGTAGAAAAAAGTCCAATTGCACTTTAAATTCGTACTTTGGCAGGAAAGGTTGTAGATTGTCTCCTATGCTCATGTTGGGATAGTAGTAAAATCCCTGAAAATTTTTGTTTGATATAAAAGGGTTTCAAAGGTGTCCTTACGATGACTTACCTTTGGCTGTGGACATTTCTTGGGCATATTGCTGTGCTTCAGCATGCTATTGTAGGCGACTTTAACCAGGTTATTCTTATAGGCTCCCGCAAAGAACTGACAGATATCCAAGGTCAGCTCGGCGGCCTTGTAGAACTCTTTGAATGGGGGGCGCGGCAAATATAGTACGAGGTTGGCACTGTACTGTTGAAATGCCCGATTATATTCAATTTCGCCCGTAATTATAGTCTTCGCTGGATTCACAATGAAGCATCTGTGGAATGGTACAATGTCCGGATTCCCAATGCAATCAAAACTACTCCACTGGATAACGACACGCTGAAGAAGAAGAGGCTACTGTTTTTTATTGAACCTCCTTTGAGTGATTAGTGAGAATACCTTGGCTGCTAGACTAGCCGTTGAAAGCAGCAGTACGAGAGTAAATACTTTTCCCATGCTATGCTAATTACTGGCCTGGCTAATTGTTAATAACGCACTCGCGATTGAAACCACGAATAAATATATATAATTGTATAGAAATATAGCTGACTAATAACTCAGTTAGGGTGGAGTGATTTATATTGTTTGATAAAGCTTAACTTGACATTAAATATGTGCAGCTCAATAATCGATTATTGCTTTATAATATTTAGTTTTTGGACACAGTTCCTATGAGCGTGATATTCAAATAGCACACGTTCTGACTAAAGAATTTCACCTGGGCCATTAGGTGGCTGACGGGCACAAAGCTTGGTATTACCTCTTCCACGCTTATATTATGATAGTAAAGTGAGCCCTGAAATACAGATGTATATAAAAATTCATATTTTGTAAGATTATTATTATTATTATTATTATTATTATTATTATTACCTTCTTCACTGGACATTTATTGGGCTGATTGGTGGACTTAATTATGGAGCGATAGAAATTTGAAATGATGCCCTTCTCCGACGCTCGAGACATGGCACGACAAGCATCCACAGTGTTCTCAAATAACTTTTGATAAATAGCAAATGTCGTATACTTTGTGGATATTATAGAATTGACTTTTACAGATTTCAGATCTTGCAGCAAATTGAGCTCCACATTGAGCGCTGAACGCCGCGGTTGCACTACATGGCATTTGTATTCGGATATGAAGTCGACGTTCACCTGACACTCGAAAGTGCTCCAGCGTAGCCTTAAATTTCGATCCTGTAAAGGACAAAAACAGTTGGGAATAGCATTAAATACATACATTTTGGCTGCCTACCTTGGCTGAGTTGGGATTTAATGCGAGGCCTAAAATAATTAAGCCTATCGTTCGATACATGTTGTTGGCCTGCTACGAAATGGATAAGGCCTAAACTAAAACAGCAGCTCATGGCATGTTTAACCTTCTATTGGCCAAATTGCTCTTATAATAGTATGCAATGGTGTGAAACGAGAACGATAAAACAAAACAACTTATCATACGCAATAATAGCTTATTTATTTTCGATTTCTCTCAGATTTATCTATGTATTTATATTATTTTTTGGTACGTTTTTTAGTTCAGCATAACTATGTATGCTTCTATTTTTTATGGGCATAACACAAAATGTAGTCGTAGCATACTTTCGGGCAGTTTAATATGTTGTAAATATTTGATTTACTTGCTTATAAATACTTCTTCTTTCGAGCGCGCTCTTTGGAAATTTCGTATAAGCGACCCACGGCTGTGATATTCATGACCGATGCCACTCTGGGCAAAAACCAATTGAGGCGTATTAGAAAATCGGATTCAGAAAGCACGGGCGGCAGCGACTCCACGATTGTCACATTGCGCGCACTGTAATAGCCCTTGAGGAGGAATAGAAATCGGTTAAGTAGATGTCCTCCATAATATATATGAGCTCTTCCACTTACCGTGTGTATGGGACATTGGATGGTTCGATTGCCCAAGCAGGTCATGGTGCTGAGCAGCTCTATTAGAGTCTTCCTCTTCTGCTCTCGCAGCAGCTTGCACAACTCAAATGAAACCTCGAATATCTTGTGCATTTTATTCCTCTTTGGTATGGATACCTTCAAAGTGCCAGTTAGGCTAGTGATCTCCTGCACCAGCGTCAGAGCTGCGTTGGTGCTTCTATTCCGTGGTGGCACCACACTACACTCCGCTTGCCTAATGTACTTTGGATTGCCCACACACTCCAGTTGCTGAATGACAACAAAGTAGCCCATGTGCTGAACAAATACAAGACGGTCTATACACTTCGCTCTGCCTCTTTTTCGATCACTGTCATGTTGCTTACCGGTAAGATATGTGATGTGAGGGAAAGACTCAGCATGCTGGCCATAAGTAAGCTGAATCTCAACATCCCGTTGACTGTTTGCATCTTCAACACCAACTGAACCTAAACTGATCAACAGTTTGGCATTGGACTTTTCCGATAATAAAGTGATTTGGACGTTTAATTATCGGAACGATTGAGTCATTAAATGGATATTCATTTTTAAATGCTTATTTGTGTACATATTTTGCGAGGTGTGCTTATGCAGTTGTGTTGATAGTTCAAAATGTTGAGCAGAAAGAGGTTAGTAAACTTAAGAAAAGCATAAATATTCGAAACATCTAACACGTCTATATAAGCCACATTTATCTATGACAGAAGTGTGACATAGGTATAAATAGGCCAACATCTCTATTTTATATACTTAATCTTATGTTATGTCAGTCCCAAAATATGATATAACTGCAAACACCTCGTAATGCTGAGTTGTTTGCACCGATTGCGACTTGTGGACATTAGCCAAACGAAACTGATGCGCAAACAAATCTGAGGGGATCGATCATATCAATGCTAGTAACTGCGGTTGCGCAGCGATTAGAGCATTTAGATTAAATTGGTTTTCATATTGATTCGGTTTTTGGCGTCGGCTTCAACTGGCTTGTGTGTGTAAACAATATGGAAGCTGATCATCATCAGCAGAGGCGGCAGCATCAGCAGCAGCAGACTCACCGCAAGTCGGCGTGAAGGGCAGTTTGGTAATTTTGTAAGCACCACGAGGCTGAGAAGCAACACTCGAACACTCATAAGTGAGTGCTGTGCAGTGAGCATATGAATACTTGGATAAGTGGCAATGAGACACAAACTTAATTGTTCAATATTTATTCATTTATTTATTACTTCTTCGTTGCGGTCTTTTATTCGGGTATTCAGCTGTGTGGGAGTGTCTGAGTGTGTGAGTGTGAATGTCATTGCCAAAGTGACATAAGAACTGAATTATTGCAGACCCATCGTATGGCATAGGGCAGTGCTGTGCTATATCCAGTACGTAATACTTTATACTTTATATAAGATATGCATACATACTTAATGCTAACTACTTAATTACACATTCGCAACTATTGCGGCGCAACTGGCAGATGATCGCCTTCTGGCTGGAAGCCATTCTCGTCGGCCACATAGCGCAGCGTGATGATGTTGCCCTCGGGATCGCTGTAGCTGTAGGAGCCGGTTTGGACCAGGACGAGCTCTTCGTGCTCATCGATCACTTGACCATCGCTGGTCTCCGTCTTGGGTATGATGATCTTCTTCAGGTAGCCAATGTTCTCCACTCGGATGCCATTCGATGTCTCATAACTGAACGGAAAGTGTGACTTAGTTGCGAGTCCTTGCGCGTTTAGGATATTTCCAACTCACCTGCTGTTGAAGCTGCCGTCGGCATTGTTTACAGTATCCTGCTGGATGATGCTGGCCGGTGTTGTTGTTGTTGTTATCGAGCTAGCAGCGCGCGCATCCTGCGGACGGGCCAAGACATAGGTCAACAGCACAGCTGAGCACAAGACAAACACGAATTTGTACATTCTGTTGCGTTTAGAATTGTCTAAGGGGTTATCCAATTGCAGAGAGTTAATGCACAACTGTTGACTACCCAGCTGCCGCTTGGCCTTTATATACCATCTCGTTGACGAGGGCGAGCACCTGATTCGCACTCGCACGCACCGCGCCAGCTTCGGTTGCCACAGCTAACGATTACGATGGGCGCACTAGATAAGCAGCAGAGAGCGTCAAGTACTCGTACTCGTACTTCACCATAAAAAACAAATTATGAGCGGGCGCTTCTTCGTCTCATTCCGAATACCCTATAATCTAACAGAGAGAGAGAGGGCGTGAGTACATTGCTAAGAAGTCTAAAAGTCTTAAGCCTTATTTCTGCTAAATTTGCTTGTCAGATCAAGTCTTGCTACTAAAGACTTTTGTTTAGCTGAACAATTTGAATATCAACTGCAATTTGGTCAACTTCACTATGTGTTAATATTCAGTCAAATTTTATAAAATTTTTTTGCTTTCTGGGTATTTTGTAGTCGATCACTATCTGCTCAAGTACTTTGTTTTGTTTTGTTTTGTTTTTGGTGTGGCCATCGTTTGAGGTTTTTTATATTGTCCATTTCGCGCGTCTGGCCGATGAGTAAACATCGCCGCACCGCCAAAGAGATGAAGATGAAACGACGATGTCAGCGGGTGATACCCGAAGCTGGGTCTACGACAGCTCAGCTGTGACATGTCTCCGGTCGCTGTCTCCAAGACGATGTTGATGGCATTGCCAGGCCGAGTTGGCAGCTACGTGATTTGCCTGCGCTGAATATAATTCTTACTCAACTGCTGTAAGTTCCGTTGAAACATTGAGGATGTGGGGGAAGTGCCAACGGAGCTGGGAAGCAACTTGCTCACAAAGGAATTAAGTTAGTATAACGACGACTGTTATCAATGGATCAGTGTTTAACTGCGTTCCTTCACATTACTATTGATCTAATCAAATTCACATTTGGACAAATGCCAAAAGCTAGGCTTATCTATTATGCAAGACACGTTTCAATTATGGAAACAATTTGCCGAAAACATTAGAGCACTCATAAATACGCGGACGGGCTAACGGTGATCGCAAACAAAGGGGCAATAAAAAATGTAGAGTACGAGTATTGTAAGAGAAATGATAAAGTTGCTTATTACGTATACGCAATGAATACTAACAATGGGTCAATGAACTTGAACTGTGACCAGAACTTCTGAAAGGGTATGTAGCGAAGGAAGGCATTAGAAAAGTATTGTAACTCTCCTCCCTCTCTCAATATTTCCCTGTCTCTCTCTTTTTATAACATTCAATTTAACAGCTGTTTTCTAATACAATGAATTCACTTCGAATTAACACTTTCGATTTCTGCTTGTGTTACACAACATTCAGCTGAAATACAAAATTCTTAGCAGCATTCGAAGTCTTTCATGGAAATAAGAAATTGCTTAGACAAACATTTGCCCCAGACACGCTTTAACTAATAGGTCTTGTCTTCGGCCCACTCCTAGCGTATCGCGTATTTGCCAATTAGAACTTAATTACGATGAGTTTAACAAGTCGAATCTTTGGCTTTTGGCAGCTGCAGAATTGCAATCGAGCAAAACTGCTAACCAAGGCAAATTTAACATATATTTCGCATATGGCAGTTCACGCCTAACAAATACACAGCTCGACCAAGTTTACAGATCTGAATCTCGCTTAACATTTTTGGGCGGGGCACCTAAGGCAGAAGTTACGCAACGGAAGAATTTAATTATTCAAAACACGTTTGCGTATTTGAATACCATTTCGCACTGTCGAGAAAGTAATCAACGTGCGTGAAAACAACCACAAAAAATTCTTTCTTTTTCTCTGCTCAATAACTCAGGTATATCTTGAGAGTTGGTCTTAGGCTTCTTCAAGGAAATTGTTAGTTACACTTTTTGTTGTTTCAATTTTCTAGTTGTGTGTATATTTTGATAAAACAAATAACTTTAACTTGACTTGTTCAGTTCTTTTGGTTCACAGTTGTTGTTGACTTTACATTAAAGATCACATATATATGTTTGAGCAGCAGTCTGTGCGCTAGTGCTTTTTCTCGCTGGGCTTATAGGGATGCTCGGCAATATATTTGAGGGTTTTCAGCACTGACTCGGGCGTGGGCGGCGGTGTGGGCAAATGATCGCCGACTGGCCGATAGCCGTTCTCATCGGCTGTGTAAGATATGGAGTATACCTTGCCATCATCGCTGGGGTATGAGAAATATCCTTGGACGGCCTCGCCGTACTGATCCTTTCCGATCTGTTTCAGTTCGCCCTTTTGTGTAGCTTTCGAACCGTTGAGTAGTTCATATCTTTTGAATGGAACACGTTAAAACTTATCGCAGGCCAAGATCCAAAGCTAGACTTACAGGTAGTAGAATTTGCCATTGTATTCCACATTCGACTCGTTTGAGATGAAATCAACTTTATCTTCTGCATACGCCACAGCCACAAATAGAGCGCAAATTAGGATTAGTTTCATTTTTGTGTTTCTTTTTATCGATTTGTTGTTTCGCCTATTCCAGAATTAAAATATCCACGCTGTGCAAATGTCTCGGGCCGACTGACATTTCCACTGCTAAACAAACAGACTTTTATAGTGGGACAAGATTCATAAAATACCCGTACTCAACTATTTAACATATAATTAAAGTTGCAGCTATAAATAATATTGAACTTGTTTGGTTTCTATCTGGCCTTTTTCAGAATGAGTGTGAAATTTGGTGCAGATGCTTGGCGCTAGCAAATCTGACGATGGGCATGACATCTATGGGCATGCGTACCTTTTAAAAGGCATCGAGACTATTGCTCCATTTTAAGAGATGTGATAATTGTTTTAGTTAGTATTCGAAATTGAGCTAAGGCCCCACGAAAGGGTATGTGCAGTTCGTTTTTTTCTGTTTTGATCAAGATTATGTGCACATCTGTCTATATAATAGCTGTCATCAGCGTCAGCATCGGATTCTGGTTCTTTTTGGAACTAACTTGACCACATTTTTGGACAGAATTAATATCCATTTATATATATATATAGCCCGACCAAGTATTCAGTAAATTTGCATACAACAAATTTGTCAGCATTGCCTTGAAATCGAATAGTTTTCATATGCTATTTTTAAAAATATGTTCTGAAGCAAGTGCTTTACTTATTATGATTGAAAGTCTCATAAAGACAAGATTAATTAGGTGATATGTCACAGCTAAACAGTTTCCGGCTTATGAATTTGGTTCCCATCAAAAGAAAAACCTGTTAATGTGTTTTTTTTTAAGAATCTTTAATTCTTTATTTGCAGCTAAGGCTAAAGATATTTGAGTTTGTCTCATATCATTCGACATGTACAAAAAACCAACAATTCATATAAATGTATGCATAAGTATCTGTATAAGTAAGTACATCTTCGTCATCCATATCGCTTATACTCGTATTACATGCAAAAGATTATAGTTATATAGACTATTTACACAAGAATTGCTGTGCACAATAATTGGATTATTATAGCGTAATGCATTCATTATTTCTTGATCGTTCACGTTTTTTTTACATTTTCTTCTTGATTTCATTAGTAAATCGATGATATCACATGAGTCCGAAAATGGCAAAGTTCCGGCGACTAAAAGATCTTAAGCACAGTATAAGTTTAAAGACGAAAAAGAATAAAAGAAATCGGATAAGGTATTAAGAAAAAGTTCAGAAATCAAAACAAAAAATATATAACATATTTGGGTGTTTGAGTACATATATGTGTGTGAGTGTTTGTGTTTGTGTGTGTGTGTGCAGGTGTGCAGGTTGTGTTCTTCAGTCAGCTGCTCGATGTTGGTGTTCGTATTAAGGTATTGATTGATTGATGATATACGGGTTAGCAGCAAATTGCTTCATTGGGTGTAGAGTATCAGAGTAACGTTAGCGTGGTCAATATTTGTTCTATATAAACTCCAGATGCATCTTAACGACGACGCTGCGATGGGGGCAGGCTGAGCAGATAGTCGAGCGCCTTCTGGATCGCTGGTGGGATTGGTGGAGGAGTGGGCAAATGCGAGCCCTGTGGCTGGAAGCCATTCTCATCATCGGCCGCATAGTTGAGCGTAATCACCTCTCCCTCAGGTGAAGTATAGGACACGGAACCTTTGACAATGATCACATCCGTAGAATCCGCAGATGTGGCCTTCTTCACGGTTCCAGTTTCCTCCGCCTTGATTCCATTAGCTGTTTCGTAGCTGAAAATTTTCAGAAATTCGTTAGTTTTATTCTCTTTGTATTATTAATTTTTTAGCAATTGCAATATAAACAAAATTCACCTTGAAAGCTGTGAAAAATTTCAATGAATACTCTTGCTTGAATTTTTATAATTTTATTGCTAAATAAGTAAAGCAAGAAAATCAAATTTGTAGGTCAACAAAGTATTTGCCTATGAAAACTGGTCTTTGGCCACAGATCAACTGATTAATCAGACCGGTAAGAGATCAACTTTTTTAGCCTAATCTGTTTAGAGCTAAGACTAATTTATTTCTGTATTGAAAGAGTATTAATTCTGCGTTCTTTTTTCTGATTTGTTGTGTCTTCTTTTGTGACATTGTTCATTTGTATCTGAGGCGCCTGACTAGTCATTTAATTATTTATTTATGTTGTTATTAACATTCAACTTGTTAATAGCTGTTATAATGTTAATAAATTCATATAAAATTTACATATTTTTTACGTATTTATGATTGGATTAGGCTGGAGAACCAAAGTCTACAACGATCTAAATGTTGCTATACTTTTGGTGTTAATAATATAAATATTAGATGTTTTGTGGAGCACATGAAAGATTGAAATTGCTATTGAAATTAGTTTAAAAAATAATCTTTAAATTAAAATTAATTAAATGAAAAATTATAGAAAAAATTATATAGTAGGAATTGATTGCGATTTGTAATGATGCTAATCTATCATATGTTGATAATATAAGTTATAGCTGTAATACTTAAATGATTTCTCTTGATAATCCATTTAAGTTTGCTGACCCGGCTATAATAATCTCGAAAGCCATTTTAACAACAGTCAAAGCAATGCTTCTGTTAACTTTCATAAAGCCTAAAGGTATGCAACACTTTTGCAGTGCTAGTTAGTTCCGTTTGTGAACTTGGCTAAGCCTAACCAGTTCATAACTAGTTCCATTTTTTTACTCAACAGGCTTATACTTACGCATAATTGTAGGCACCATCCGGCTCGATATTAGATTCTTGGCTTATAATCGCAATTGGCTCGCCACCCTGGGGCTTGGGTGCAGCGTGTACCAGGCAGAGCAGCGCAGCAGCGGACAGGCAAAGGGCAAACTGCAAATGGGTTAAGAACGGAAATTAATTCAATTTACGTTAATTGTAAATTGGCAATTGTTTATACATAACGAGCGCAATTACACTAGACTCGATTTGAAGAAATCGTGAGCTGTTGTTTTTCTCCAGTTTTTCGTCTGTTTTGTTTTATTTTTTTATTGCTTATGTAAATTTTTGTGTTATTTTGTTATTTGTGTTGAAACTTGGCGCATCGTTTCGCATAGTTGTTTGATTTATGACTCTTGTTTACATTGTTCTCACTTATAAATAATGTTTATTGAAAGACAGACAGATAGTTGGTCGGACTGTCGGGCGGATAGACATATGTCAATTTGCCACAGATTTCTTAAGGTCGTCCAATAACTAGACGCCAATTAAATATTTTACACATAACATTTTCAGCTTGTTTTCGTATGTGTTTAAAGTAATTATCTCACGAGTGCATGGAAAATTGTGGGGCGTGGAGATTAGAGAGCTGCGACTGAATGAATCGTGCGTGACCGAAAACATATGGGTAACCTATTATAAATGTATGCGTGAATTCATCTTAAAGCCGTTAATGCTGGAAATCTGCTGAAAAAGCTGCTGTTCTGCCGCTGCTCTATGCCTGTTTCTTCTAAATATTTTTAATGCTGTCGCTAGTTGGGTGTTTATATGTTTTGCGCTCGTGTTGCAACAAAGCCTAAAGGCAGCGACTTAGACGCTCGTCTCCGGCTCAGTCTTGGGTTAAGTACAGTCTGGGCTCTGAGCGCTTAAGCAATTGCCAATGGACGAGTGGATTACGTGTTTTATGTTTCAGTTTAGTTTGGGCTTTTAGCCAGATAGACAGCTGCCAACTGAGCGTAACATTCGTCGCCAGCACTTTGTTAACCAAATGTCTCTCAGCTACAACTTCAGTCCCTGCCCATGCCTGAACGCCAGCGTCAGCGCCAGCTTCAGTCTCAACCTCTGCTTGTCCAGTTGCACAGTTGGTGTGGATGCTTTGCCGTTGTCTGACCTTTGCATTGCATGCCGACTGCATGTTATTTGGCTTGGTTTGGCATCGTGCTCGAGCCTTTTAAGTGGTTGCTTCGTCTCCAGCATTCATTAATTGCTGTTGCCATTTCGGCCGGGCTTGGCATCGACTTTTTGCCCATTTGCTAGCCAAATGGCTATAACAATTGGTAAATAAACCAACGCGGAAACAACACTTTAAACTGTGGCGCTGCGACCTTCTGCCTCCAGATATTTTTATACCTTTTTTGGGCTTTAAATTTTTATGCTGATTGATTTACGACTAAGTTGTAAATGGTAATTTTACGCATTGAAGGGTCTCTTTTATTTTGGCATATTTCGAAATTCAACAATCGCAAATTTGTTGGCTTCTTTATGTGCTGATATAAGCTGGTTTCAGCTAAAGATTTTTCTGACAGTGAATGTCATTTTCACTTACATATACTGCGCTTTATTGCATTGATTTTCATATTTATATTATTTTTTCATTGAATTATTAAAAATATCTCAGCTAGACAGTTTGTTGTCAAAGTCTTTTGATTTTCAAGTGGATAATCGTTAGAAGAAATGGATTCAGTTGAATGAGCACATATTAGAGCTATTTTAATTATTCAGGCTGGGCTAAGTTCTTGCTAGCTAAAATAAGACATGTGTCTTGATTGACTTGTTGTTTCAGAAGTTTAACGCTTAAGAATAACATTTTAAGTAGTCAAACTAATATTGTAAATTTTTTAGCCTTACAAAAGGATTCTTTGTAGGTTTTGCTTTGATCCTCAGCTACTTGAAGGACTTTAATTCATGATGATCAAGCTCAAGTCACAGTTTTTTGCACAGATACTTTAACGTTACTATGTTGTTCTTAAATGTTCCTTTAGTTTCCTTTGCCTAGTGCACCCAATCAGACTTACGTTCTTCATGTTTTATTGCAATTATGTGATTCGGTAATGTAATCCAAAGTTGGGCTTATCCTTTTCAGCGATCGGCACACCACACTTCACACTTGTTGTTAATTGAACAAAAGATTTTTTAATGATGCCCAAGTGCCGGCAGCTGAGTCTATTTATACGAAAAGCCCAAAGACGACGACGACTGCGACGAAGCTGCAAATTCAGCGGGCAAAGCGTCGCACATGCAAGATGCAAAAAAAAAGAGAAAAAAAATGAAAAAAATATATATAAAAAACTAAAGTAAAGATTCGTCGTAGTTGTCGTTGTTGCTGCCAGCGTTAGCGGCGCAGTCGAAGCTGGCGTTGTTTGAAAAGAGCAGCCGCAGCAGCTGCAATGGCAACGGCAACATTTGCGGTGGAAAATCGCAAGCGCAGCACAGGTGAATGAAAAATGCTGTGCCCGCTGGCGCCCCCTTTGGGCACACGCCTCTGGCCTGCGCGTCTCAGCTGTTCTGTGCAATTGAGAATCAAATGCAAAACAATTTTTATGCAACTGCGGATAAATAATTTTGCATTGATATCCACTCGTCAGCGCAGTTACAGTTACATCAGCAGTGCGCCCTTTGGTCAGTGGCATAATAGGCAAATAGCTGCACCAGAGATATCTGAGATAACAGCAAATATTCGAGCTCGTTTGTCAGCGGCAGGTGCGTCACACAGTGGCGGAAACTATAAAATAGCCCACTAATCGACGACATCGCCCTCGCGGCATTGCCAGCTCACCTAGAGCTGGTTGCAGAGATGAAATTTAGGTTATTTTATGTTTTTTGGGAAGGCGAAAAAATTGCATACGTGGCCAATAATCGGCGAATACAATCAAAGTCAGGCAGTGGCGACAGCGCCTGCGCACAGTGGACAAACAAGAGTTTTTGGCGATTAAAACTTCGCCTATGGAATTTATTATAGACACTGATTTTTTACATATATGATGCTTGTTGAAGGGTTCTCAATTAGAGTTGAGCTAGTTAATGTTATTAAATACAACTTTCGAATAAAGTTGGCTACGTTTGGTGCCCAAGTTAGTTATGGTTTGACTTAATTAAAGTTAAATTGTCTTCCGGATATTAATCGCTTTAGCCTAAAACAGGTTTGTTGTTTTGCAGAAATATTTGGCTCAACTAAAGAAGGTCTTAAAGTATTTTAGCTGGCTTTTAATGAGAACGGTTTACTGCAGATATAATTATTATTATAGTAGTCAGTTAAAGGGAAGTCAATTACCAGGCTTGGTAAATGGTATTTTAAATATATTCCTTGAGCTTTAAGTCAAATATCTTTTTACACATTAATGCAAATGTTTTCCACGGTGCGCCCAAATTTGAGCTCAGGGCATGTCGTTTGTCTGCCTTGGTGCACGTCTGTGTATTGTGCTGGGGTCAAAATGCCAAAAATTGCTAAACGCGAAGAGGCCGACGCCGCCACCGACACCGCCGCCGCCGCTGCTGCCAAAGTGTAGGCGCGTCTAATGAATAGCTTGGGTCGACTTGGCGCTGGGGCAGGCAGATGGGGACACAAGCGCAGACGGCGACAGAATTTCGTGACAAGATTGTCCCAAAGATTGTTGCCATATTGTATTCCAAGTAGTGTTTGTTGCTATTGCTGTTCAGACTGTGGCAATCAGCAAAACAATTGCCAGTTAGTGGAAGCTTTGAAAAAGTTGCTGCCTTCTAGTTTTTGGGGTCTGGTCTATTGTTATTGCCCGCTGACTAGTGTTAGGCAGCGCTTTATAATTATGAAGACATTCAACTGCATTAATTTTAATATTTATTATAGTATTTTTTTAATGGGTTTATTTTAAATTACGCAATAACAACATCTTCCCATTTAGCTGCTGCTTGCATCGTAAAAACATTCTCAGCTAGCAAGTTCGTTGCTTAAGTCTTTTGATTTTAAAATTGCGAACTGACAAAAAAAAATGTGTTTAATACTATAAAATGTAAATTTTTCGACAAATATGAACCTTGAATTATTACGCATGACTTCTCTAATTAGCTATCCAAGCAGCATTTGCCGCAAAATGTCAGTTGGCCGGCTGGCCATAAAGCATAGAACAGATGCCTCATCTCCAGCTGCAACTGCAGCTCCATCTTCATCCACTGACTTTGACACGCGCTGTGCAGCGTTTTATGGCTACGTCTGGTTGGCCTTGAAGGTCGTGTCGTCTTTTTTATGGCGTCAAACGCAATTTGTTATAGCTCTTAGAGCACCCCTCTGCCCCTAACCACTCTGTGGTTCAGAAAAAATATTACAACTATTGATAATCCATTGCGTAAGAGTCCCAAACTGGCGTGGCTCGACTTCGTCTAGACCTAAACGGCTGGACATGGCCGGCATAGTTTTTGGCGCCCATCTCTGACCACTTGGCTGCAGCCATGCTAATGCTAATGTCAATGCAGGCATAAATAAATAATTGCAAATAGCAGATGCCGCGCCAGTAGTCGAACCAGTTACCGCGCTTAAATGTCAGTGGTTTTGGTCATGCCGAGAATCTCTAGCTACTGCACACAGTTGAGCTGAGCTTCGTTACGTTAAAGTGTGCTCTGATCTGGTCAGCTCATACGGTGCAGCTAAGCAGAGCAGTCGAACTGTAGTAAATAGTGGGAATATTTCATTGTCAAGGAGCTGGTCCAAGCTTCACACTTTGGTCAGTTTGAACCAGAACTGGGTCTCAATGAAAGATATTGAACTTGCAAGTGAAACCACTCTAGAACAGATTGGCTCTTAATTATGCTAAAGTATGCACACAGTGCACTTTGGGCTGGCATTAAAAAAAGCCCGCCTCTTATTCTTCGTATTGATGTTAATCCGTCTGTGCATCTACAGATGCCACGCTGAAGGCGAAGGTGAGTCTTCGTTATGCAAATTAACCCATAAATGTTATATGTCAGTGGAACTCAGCACTTTGAGTGGGCTGTGTCTATAAGAGTGTGGGTGGAATACTTAATGGCAATTAGTGATAATTATGCAGAATATCTAATATATCAATATCAGTTGGCTCGGATATCGATTTGTGGACAATACAATTTTATTGTGTTGAATAATTTGAATCGTTTATTGTGTTTTAATGCACAATTCGATTCTTTATATCAATTAAATATAGGTGTTAACTCGTATGGCTGTAATTGGAATTATGTGGATTTTAGGTCTAATAATATATAACAAAATATTTAAATATTTAAATTGGTTGGCACGTGTTTAGTTCCTCTTATTGATTAAATATTCAATATTTGAGTCTATGGGAAACTTTATTGTAATTACTTGTGAGTTGGGTATATATTATTTGAATTTTAGTTAGCTACTGTGCTGGGCTGTGTTGAGCTGTGTTGTGCTGTAGTGTTGCAATCTCAGCTATTGTTGCACACAATTTGACTTGGTTGAAATTCTGTCAAGCCGCACGCGAAATGTGAAGGCCACAAGCGCAACGGCTAGTGTCACCCCCACTGCTCCTCCTCCCCCGGATGCTCATCAAATTATTTATTGCTCAGAACTCATACATATATGGAAATTTTATGGCATACGAAACAATTCGTAATATACACAATAAAATTTGTTTAATTTTTAAAGTCGAAATAACAAAATTTACATATTAAAACAAAATAAAAACTTACTCATTGATTAAATTATAGTAATTATATTATGTATAATTAAGACGCCTGCAATAATGGATTTCCCATGCATTCTTTAAGATTAAAAAATTATATTCATTTTATTTTCATGTCTTATTCATACTCAATAAGATATGAAGAATTATGGAACATTTGCTTATAGTAAAAAGTTGATTACAAATATAATTTTCTTATATAAAAAATAACAATATAAATGATAATTTCATAGAATAATACTTTAGCCTTTTCTCTACTGAAGCAAATCAATGTTGATGCTGTCGAACCAGTTGTTTAAATGTCAGTGGCTTAGGTCAGATCAAGAATCTTAAGCTACTGTAGATTAAAAAAGTTAGATCAGCTTCAAGAACCAGTCGTAGCTCCGTGTATGCGGTGGGGATTTCATGGTCAAGGGACAGCTTCCACAGAGCTCAGCGTGCGGATATAAGTGTAACAACTCTATATCAAGATGACCCTGATGGCAAATTGATGCTAATCCGTCTCATGCTTCTTGAGGTGCTCCGCCAGAGGCGAATGCCACTTTTTTCTTTAAATAATGTGTTTTTAATGCAAATTGATTGAAATGTCAAGGCAGCTGTTTAAAGAGCTATTATACAGCATTTAGTTTGAAATAGTATATAACTATTATATATCAATAATTTTTCCTACCGAGTTACTCCCTGCAATAATGTATAGAAGGCAGTGCGGCAAAGTGAGGTCGCTGACCAACATCATGTCAAATATATTACAGGGTTTAATATGTTGTCTGTAAAATGACCAAAGACGGGCAATTCTTCAACTCGCTTAGCCTTCTCTATTTGTCTGCCCAAGCAGAGGCCCAGCTAGCCAGAGATATACTTAATCAAATTGTCTGTGCTCCGACTGCCCATTATAATGCGAGTGAAAATATAATAGTCGAGGGGAGTTGACTTTATACGTTCGTACTTTAATATGCAAATTTGATCTGGCTGTTTGAGGTAAAACAGTCATAGAGGTATAATCCGATGGTCTGTAGAAAGGAACCGACTATAGCGCTATAGTCCTGGCTTATTTTTTATTATATAAACAAAAGATAAATATTAACTTTAAACACATTTTTTTTATATTTCTTTACATTATCAGATACCAAATTTTATTCTAAGTTTCCTTAATTGTATATATAATTTTACTTTAGACAACATCCTTAATATAGTTCAATTTCTTAAGTAAAAATCGATGTTCATTCAGTTGTCTGAATTAGTTCAAATTTGCATAAGTTAATTCAATTTCGATAATTTATATACCTATATGCCTTGTGTCACGATAAAATGAATCTCTTTCATTCGGACGGCTATATCGAATGGGTAGAATGCATAAGTATTGACTGAATATTCAGAAATGCCTCTAAAAATCATACATAAATTCAAGCCAATTAATTAAAAAATATATTTCAACGACTCGTTTATGTAAATGGGCTAATAAAACTCTTTGTTTGTTTTTATCAAAGCATTGGCTAATCTGTTTAACACATTCCGCCTTGCCCACAAATCGAGTTTCGAATAAAGACCGTAAAATTACCAAAGCCTGACAAATGGTGTTCACATTTGAGATAAGCAAAGGTCCATGCGGCCTATATTAGATGATATCTTTTCTTAGCTCATTTTATAGTACTTTTATAGTACTTTCTGAGGTGTAAGAGGGTGCGTATTCTATATTTGTCACAGTTTTGATAAGTTTGCTTCTGGGTCGCGATGCATCAGCATATCAACATCTCAGAGCTCAGTGCTGTTGCAATAGCTGTGGCACCTATTGTTGCAGCCTCATGTAAAATGTGAAGGCCAACGATGCCAACACGAGCTCCGTGCCCCCTTCATGCCACTCCACTTTGTAGCTATTCATTCATTCACTAACCAACTCATTCATTGAGTGTTATTTTCATGGCAATTTAAAGGCATTCATTAGTAATTTATCAATGTAATTTGCTTTAATCTTTCTTATGATATCAGCTACAGTAGTTAATTTGGTATTCAGTTCGGATGGTAACATCTTCATTCACTTCGTTTGGATTATTTTCAAAGAGATGAATTTATTGAAAACAGCTGTGTGATGTTGTAGAGATATTTAATTTGTTATACTTAAACACATTTTGTATTTTGTATTTGCTTATTCACCTTTTTCTCTTATGGCAAAGGAACCCATTGAAAACGGAAAATCAATATATACTATAAGTTAACTGCTCTACATTATATTTAAACATATAAAAATATTTCATTCAATTTTTATATATTTTTTAACTGGATACTAGTTATCCTGGCATATTTATGTATTCACACTTCAATCCAAAAAATTCTCAATTCAAATTCACAATTTTAATTAAGCATCTTCTCAAATTTCGAATTATTAAATTTGCAATTTAATAAGATAGCTGCCTAATCAGTAGCTTACTTATTTATATGCTAAATTTCAGATTCATATTTATCTTTACTAAGCAGCGGAATAACTTACCCCCCTGGATTTCTGCCTAAAAATTTTAATTTCGCGCGTGGCTCTGACATCTGGTTTAATCGATTTCCTGCCGAAATTCAGCCAAACTGCTCTAAATTTTGTACTTTAAATACTTATATACTTTGAGATACTCTGTATTGAAGAGATATACAATATTTAATTAAAGATTCTAATTTCCTTTAAGAGGCTTATCAAAGCATCTGCTCTCAGCAGTCTTAACTAATTAACTTGTATGCCAACTACAGGGTATACGTTTTGTGTTTTAGCATCCCAATTTAAATAACAATCAAAATTCTAAGCGGAAATTAGCAAGCCCGACAAAACAGAAATATTTGCTTCTGCTGAGATTGGATTTCATTCGCTGAGCGTTGACCGAATTTAATGATTTTATGGTCGCAAATTTGATGATATTGCCAAACGGGGGCACACATTGTTATAAATGTTGCTGTCGAGCTCTTCTCCGTTACAGTTTGATTTTATAGATCAACGCTGAAGTAGCAGGCCTTTTGGTGTATCTAACATGTCTTTGAAATTCGTAAATGAAACTTAAATCAACTCGAACCAAGAATAAAAGATTTCAAAGTGATCTCATTAAATATATTTTTCTTACAGACCTGTTGCCTTTTGGTGCTAGCCCTCGCCTTGGTCGCTTGCAATGCACAACGTCAGTACAATCCTTACCTGAACAATCCCCAGTATAGGGAGTTGTACTACAAGAACCGCAATTTATATAATCAGCGACGCTACTACGACCACTTCTATAAGAAATACAATCCGTATATTGCCAGCGCTCTGGCACGCACCATTGAGGAGTCGAATGATCCCAACACTGGCGCTGGCTCCTATGTCTACAGCTATGAAACCGAGAACGGAATTCACGGAGAAGAGCGAGCCACGCCCGTCTACATTGGCAATGGCCTGCAGGAGGAGCAAGTGGAGGGCGCCTACTCCTACATATCGCCCGAAGGTCTGCGCGTCGGAGTCAAATATGTGGCGGATGCCAACGGCTTTCACCCAATTATTACCTGTGAGTATTTGTATATGACAAGGTATATTAATATCAATATTAATATGGTTTGGCTTGCAGATGATGGTCCAAATGCTGCTCTTTATGCCAACCAACAGCCGCCGGCTGGCGTTGTCTACACAAGGCACTAAAATATTCTAGTTTATATATAAAGTAGTTCTAATAAAAGGAAAACGCTTTAATAACAAGAAATTTTTAAAGAATGTTATTCATTTTGGGTAGGAAAATCATTTCGGAACACAATATTCATATGCTCAAAAATGTTTTATTCTATATAGTTTCAGAACTTTTAGAATATTTTAAAATTACGCAATCTACAATCTACAATATTACGCAATATACAAACTCACTTCAAGCAAATTGCCTAACATTCAAATTTATTCCGATTGTATAAAAAACTATGCATAAATCTTATCTGTGTCTACACAATTCAGACAAAATGGCGGCTGATAGACGACTTTTTATTGGCCAGCTTTGAATTGAGGCAATTGAATTAATTTGGCTATATGCTCTAGCAGAGAGCATGACGATTATGTCAAAAGTTGTATTATTAAAATATTACAAGTTGAATATTAAATGAGCTGCATTGTTTCATTATTTCCTATTTTTATTTTAAAATAATAAAATGTCAAACCAAACTATTATATACTTTAGTTACTACAAGCTAAAGCCTAGTTTTATATACATTAAATAACTCCTATACCAGTGATCAGTATGCATTCACTGGGGTATTTATTGTTTGACTTTTTGAAACTCAGATTTGTTTTTGTTTGATTTGCAAAAAGCTCTTCGATCGAACATCAAAGCTCAACAAACGCATTTAAGAGCTAAGCTCAAAAGTGTGCTTCAAATATATGAAAAGATAAGTGAGAGTTTATTAACTCAGATTTTTACTTACTACTTATTTATACAAAACACATTAATGAAATGTATGTAAATGGAAAGCAAAATAAAATTCGTCTGGCCAACGACACTTATTGAAATATATATTTAATTAAACAATTTATTTTCAATGTGCGCATTTTGTTTTCGCACATACAAATTTTGGGTAAAAGTGTGTTCGCCTAACGGTATAATAATTTAATAGTAATTATCATTTTGTTCTCAACTTCAGACGCTTACCAAAAAAAGTATTAAAATTAGTTTTGGGTTCAATAAACTCATTAGTCAGCCCGCATTTATTCCTCAAGTGCCGATGGGTTTTATTATCAATTGAATTTTTGACCTTCGTATGCGAAATATAGGTCATATATAATGAATATTTTTTCATTCATTATTCATTCATTCATTATTTTATAAGTTAAAAACTATTCATTAAATATTAAACTCTTGCATTTGGGTAACAAATAATGATTTTTTTGTGTTTATTACAAATATATACAAATCATTGTTTTTAAATTCATAACACAATTTATCGATAAATAAATACAATATTAACATATGTAGGCGTAGCTATACGAGTACCAAATCCTTTTGTGTACAATTCTGTTTTTTTTATGGATTTTCCTTAGATTTTTTTTTCAGTTTTTCGATGGCTTGTTATAGTTTTGCCAGCTGCTGGCGGCAAATGCATGGGAATGGGCGGGACGTTTATATGGTTTAGGGGGTTTTGGGGCGGGGGGATTTCAGAAAGTGCTGGGCACAACACAATCCCTATGGCTTTAGATGAGAACACAGCAATGTGGGGAGCTCACTTCGAAGCGGAGTTAGTGCTTCCTGCGCAGCTCTTCGAGCTCGCGCGCCTCCTCCTCCTCGGCCAACTCGACCTCGTGCTCCAGCATGCGAATCTGATCGCTCAGCTCCTTGGGCATTTGATCCAGATGGATGGCCTTAAGTTGAGCCTTGATCTCCTTGGTCATGTGGTTGATACGGAAGCCGCGATGATCGAACAGTGGCTGGTTGCCGTTAGCCTTGTGCTGCTCCTCCACATACTTCAGGGCACGGGCAATGGCCTCTGGAATTGGTGGCGGAGTCGGAATGTGATCACCCTCAGGCATGAATCCTCGATCATTTGATGCGTAGTTAACACGATAAAGCTTGCCATCATCACCGGTGTATTCGTAGACGCCCTTGGCATGGGTGCCGCCGCCATGATGTAACTTCGCTTGCTCCTCGCCATAGATTCCGTTCTCGGTCAGGAAACTGGAAGCAGAAGAATGGAGCAGGGTAAACGGTTGATGTTTACTTGGGCGAGCCGCTGGAACTTACGCATGATCGTATTTGTCCTTCTTGCGGATCTCTTCCTGATGCAGAATCTTATGGCCGCCCTCGTCGTCGTAGTTGAAGAGTATGGGGCGAGGCGTGGTTGTGGTTGTTGTCGTTGTTGTTGTGGTGCGTGGTGTTGTTGTGGTCGGCTTCTTCGTCGTGGTTGTTGTTGTCGACTGTGTTTTTGTATGGTACGTGTTAGAGTAACGAGCGCATCAAAGTGTGTGTTGTGTTGTGTGGTGTGTGGTGTGGTGTGGATTGTGTGTATGCGTAGGGTTCATGCAGTTGGTGGAGTTCATGCAGCGCAGTGGGAGTTGCAGGAAACGGGAGTCGTTTGACGGGTAACTTTTGAGTAAATGGCTTCTTGGTGTGTTATGCTGTGTTTGAGTTATGAAAGCGTTGGGGTACGGACTGTTTAGGAGCGCGGGGGTATCTCGTTTGTAAAACTGATCATGAATACTGTTTTTTTAATTTGACTTTTTGTTTGTTGCTTTGTTTGTGGTATTGGATATTAGCTTTAGTATTCGATTTGTGGTGCATGTTCGGGAAAGCCGTATTCCAAGCGAATTTCGGGTACTTTAAACTCAGCTTTACTTACTGTGTACAGATCGTGGCTAGAGAAAAGAGAAGGAAAGACAGAGTATTAGAAGTGTGATTTATGTACTTGAGCATTCGACTTACTTGTAAGGTCTGGCATCGTGCACATAGGGGCGATTGAGACCCGAATATGGTCCATAGCCACCATCGTATGGGTAAGGAATATGATGATAAACACCAAGTTCACGGTTATCGCTCACATGCTGATATGGCTGCACCATGTGATGATAACGACCTGATCAGGGTGAAACAAAAAACCAGATAATCTTAGAAATTAGTGTCGAATTAAAGCTTCTGATTGTGTGTGAGTCTGTGAGTGTGTTTGCTTGTGAACTTGTACTTCGTTTAGAAGATCATTGAATTCTATGGATAGTATATAATCTACAAATATTTATACAATATTTTTATATTGCTTAAACTATAAAATTAATGTCAGAATAATTAAAAAATTTTTTATGATTTAGTGTTTGTTGTTTATACAATTGATAAAGCAAGAACGCAGCTTAGCAAGGAAGTGCTTTACAGTGCTTCTTCCACGCTTGCTTATGATTATGACAAATTCAAGAAGAATTTTGATAAAATACTGTAACATTAATTGTGTCTTTGATGAGTGTGTCATTCATTAGAGAAGAAAACAAAATGCTTTCTTCAAAAAATGCTTCTTATGTTTACCTAAAGAACCTGGATCACCACCTTTTCCTATAAGAAATTAAATGTTAATTTATATGTACACAAGTTTGTGCTAGAAGTATATAATATAATGGATTAAAGTCAGCTCAAGTTGTTGCAGCCAAAGATTGTAAATTTTGAAAGCTTATTGTTTACCGAAACCAGACGAATTTGTGGCTTGAGCTTGAACTTTGTTATTATCTCGAATTCATTAACGCAATTGGGTTATCAGTGAGGACAATATATATATAGATAAGTATGTGTTATTGTTAAGTGTTAGTTGTTGTTGTTGTTGCTGTGTGGGTTGTTGTTGTTAGTGCAGGTGGCTTCAGCATGCATTGCGGTGGCTGGACGTCATGCAACAGTTTGTGGTATCAAATTATCAAGTGCCTTGAAATACCTTCTTCAGCCGAACTCGGATGATACCGCCCATCATCTTGAGCACGATATTGGCCGTCGTTAGATTTTTCGGTTGAAACCGTATACTTGCCATTATTATCAGCGGGTTTGCTGCTGCTGACTGCAACAAGGCCCTGTAAATAAACAATTTGGTTTCTTATTTTTTATGAGCTAAGGAATTTGGCATAATAAACGAACGCGGCAACTCCCAGTTCTTATTCACAGTTCAATTAGCCGGCCGGAGGCGAAAAAGGTAAGAAAACAACAACAAGATACCAAATTGACACAATAAATGCCAACGAGCACACGTAGAAACTGACAAAACGTTATGTGATTTTTGTTTATGAAGTGTTTTATGATATTTCCAAATGCCATTAATAAGGCCGTGGAAGATTTGACTTTGACTCGGCTGCAAATCAAAGCAACGCCTGCATAGCCCTGAGCTCGAGCTTTAACTGACTTGGCACGAACTTCAGAATATTTATAGCCAGCTCTCTACATAGTATACAGGCTGGGTATACTAATTGAGTTTGGCGCCCCAGTGGCGTATGCTTGATCTGCGGCTACATTATATCATCCAGCTCGTATCCATTTCATGTATCACTCACTGATGCTAATATTTGGGACTGACTTGAATCGTCCTCTTCGCACAACTACTCACCACAATCACACAAACGCTTAGCACGGATTTCGCGAACATTTTACGAATTGAAATTTATAGTTTTCTCGGCAGAAGTGTTTGGATCCTTGACGATTATCCTCTGTTAGTCCTGGTGTGCTTGACGCGACTGCTGCTGCAACAGGAATGTTTGTGTTTCGCTGAGCTACAACGGATTTATATAGAAATGTGCCAAGTGCGGTGCGAGCGCATCTCGCCATCTGATTCTCACAGCCGCGCCTAAAATTCTCGCTTGTCTGGGAGAGGTAGTTAGCCTCATTTGCTCCTCTCGATTTGAGAGCGGACGCCGACGCAGAAGCAGACGCAGCCGCCGATACAGATAAAGACAGAGCTACAGATAACTTTGCTTTTGCTCACGCAGTTCATCTCAGTTCAGTTCAATAACAGCGACGTCTTGAGCTGCTCTCCCTTTTAATTTAGACACATGACGGGTTCTTCTTGTTGCTGTTGTTGTTGCTGTTGTTATTAATTTGTATATTGTTTTTACTGTTTTTGTCGAAATGAATTTTGTTAAATTTTGTTATTTTGTTAAAGTTGCTTTTCGGTTATTTTTGGCATTTGTTGAAATTAACTGTGCGCTTTATTAAACTGCTACTCATTTGCTAATAATTGTAATTACGAATTAATTCAATTAAATAATTCGCCCAATTTATTACACTCAATGCGAATGCACCTTTGGCATTCATCAATTATGCATAAGCCGCTTACGGCTCGCTCGGCCATTTTACAGTTCATCTAAGAATTAATCAAGGATTCCAAGCCGCAAAATGACGCATTTTATTGCGCCTAAATTTCCCCGCACCAGAAACGTCATTCGGTTTCTTCCGAATATTCTGTGAGTAGCACCAGCAGCGAATCATTATCAAAATTAATTTTATTGCTGATAAACAAAGGTCAGATTCACCAAAAGAAGAAGAAATTGAAAATATATATGTTTTTATATATATATATATGTGTGCTATTTACTCTGTAAAACTTTGCCATTATTTTGTGCGTCTTATTAAATGCATTAACACATTGTTGAAGACAATGAATGCTCATTCATTCAGCGTGAATTATATTACAATATATTGCCATATCTTGTTAACAGCTGCAAATTTATGTTTTGAATTATGCATTTTTGGATAAATAATCTAATGAAATATCTAAATCTCTTATATATATCACAGCAACTTATTAAACAGGTTTTTGAAGTCAGAGATCCCAGTTCTTAAAATAAATACAAATTTGATATTTAAAATTTGTTTCGCATTGCTTGACTTTATTTTATATTAGTGACTCTGTGGAAGTCCATGAATATTACTATCAAAATCTTTCTTTTTCACAATCATTATTATCATAACTATTATTATAACTATAATCATAAAATTATTGTTATCATTACTATTACTATTATCATTTTCATTTATATCATTCACATTATCATTATTATTATTATAAGTCTCATCTTTGTCATTATTATTATCGTTAACATTACTTTTATCATTCAATTTCATTATTATTATAATCTATATTAATCATCATTATTATTATATAATTGTTATTCATATGATAGTAATGATCATTGATATGTAATTAAAATAGGTTTCATAGGATATTTTGCAGTTCATCAGTATGCGCTGCTCTTGATTAAACGAAGCGGGACTTGCATATATTGTTTATCACATTATTGCAGTTGATGCAGTCCCAAAGTTGGGACTTGGGCTGATGACAACATCGTCTTGGCTGATCGTATCCAAACCAACTACCTGAGGCACTCGGAAGCGCCATAAAAGTGCCGTAATGAAATCATAAATTAACAAAAAACAACGGAAACATTACAACAATAAAAGCAACAAAAACAACATTCAGGCACTGCGCACGCCTGCCGCAATGCGAAATGCATTAATTTCGCTCAAGTTGGCGACGAGTACGGTTGGGGCTGGGGCTTGAGGGGATAGGGCATGGGGCTTGGTAACGCAGCATATGGATATGAGAATATATAACCGGAATTGAAATCAAAATGAGCAACAGACGTTGAAGAAAAATGTTGACAAAAGTGATTTTAATTGCGTACGCAAACACTGACATCGACCGGCCGACGGGACGGTGTGGTATGTGTCCTTAGCTTAGCTTAACGGTGTTTTGATAGGGTCTCAGCGGCCAACCTATCCCAAACTGTTGCTAAGCATATCTTTTATTATGCGGATTAATTGCAACAATAAACATAAACAGTGATTAAACAGCCACAGCGCCAATCCTGAAAAGGTGGGCGACGGCGTCAGAGGCGTCACTGCACTGCAAAGGTCGTACACTGAACCCGAAAGCCAAGTCAAATCGATCCCAACCGATATGTTCCGATGCGTTCCATTCCGTACCCGAACACCAAGTGCCAAATCCCCAAATCCCGCGCACTGTGAATCACGTCGCGTGGCTGCTGCTGCGGCTGCTGTTGTTGCGGTTTTTTGACACTTGAATCATACTGAGTATAATTATGGCATTCATAAAAATCACAAATACTTGATAAATATTTTAATATGCCTGCTTTTAATCAATTGCAAGTCCAATTGGCTGACTGCGCATAGGGAATGCGGCCTTTGCAGGCTTTGACTTTATATGCCAACTCGCTGATTCAGACTTGGCATTGACCTTGATTCATTATTCGGCTAAAAGCATTTCACAATTTCTAACTTATAAACAAATGTCACATATATTACAGTCTCGTATTCGTTTTAAGCTTTAAGCTTCTTAAAGCTATTTACTGTTATATTAGCATTAATAGATTTGGCTTGGAAACGGAATTGATTTTATTATCTATAAAATGAAGTTCTTAAAGATTCTTAACTACATTTTTCTGTTACACTAATAATCTTTTGCATTTAAGCTGACAAAGCTTAGTTGCTCTCAGCTATCGTAGCTTGCTTAACAGGAACATAGCATATGTGATCAAAGTCGTCGCGCTAAGGTCACGATAAGTCGCCGAATTACACAATTTTGTGCGGCAAAAGCAATGCTCGATCGTGGATGTCAGCATATTGTAGGACTCAAACTCGGTGCAGCCCTCTTTGTAGGGTTCATCTATGACAACGAACTCCTCAAAGTGTCTATTGACCAGTTTGGTTTCTATGTTAACTTGGTTAGCACAGCCGCGATGCTCGATTGACCATTTCGTACCATTCTGTAGATATATCGTGTTCACCGTCTTTTGGCACATTGTTGAATTGGGACAGGGTGTTTTGTACTCGGGCGTATTTCTTAGCTTCGAGCACACCGGAAGTGGGCTAAGCGAGTTCAGCCCGGGGCTCTCGTAGCACTCGTAGCAGTAGAGTATCACGTCGGCCGCGCAACTGCTGCACATAACTGCAAGTGCAGTGAAAACCGATATCAGTGTGAACATATTATTATGTTGTGTTTGTTATGCTGATATGACGGCACTTGATTCGTATTCGTTTAGGTATAAATACTACGAGTATTCAGCAAGAGGGCCGAACACGAACTATATAGCTGTTGGCTATGCGAGGTTTAGCATTACGATTCTTACACTGAATCACTAAACGTCCGGTCGGATATATTTTGTATTATTCCATTGTCGTTTATTTTTGTTCTTGCTCTGACTTATGTTTATATTTTTAATCAGTTAAGTCACCAACTGTATTCAAAAATGTTGTGCTTTTAATCTTAAAGAAAGCAACTTAAAAAACAACAGAAATTAAAGTGTCAAATTGTGAATATTAATTCTTTTGTAGGTCAGCAGACTCTTGTGTGTTTATCAGCAATTAAAAGAGTTGCAGAGTATCTTAGAGTCGGTACGTTTTATACATGCTGTTCAAGCTGCCAAACCAGCAAAAAGAACAGTGAAATCAAACGCAAATTAAAAACACTTTTGTTCAAAACAAATTTTATATTTTTTGGTGGCTTAAAGTCTAATTGGAAACATTTACCAAAACAATATTAAAATGAAAATTATTAATTTGGAAATTTGTTATTAAAATGGAAAAGTAGATTATACTTCCCAGCAAATTATGGGAATAAATATTTCGATGTGCTTTGCTGCCTCATATATTAAAGAAAATAAAAATATAATAGTTTAACTTGATTACTTGTTATCTGAAATTTATAATAAATGAAAAAATATTTTTGATTTAGTTATCATTTTTTAAATTTAAAGTTCCTTTTTGTGTTTGATGTACGAATGGAACAATTCTGATTCCCATTTTTGACACCTCGCCAAACACTTATGATAAACACGTATTTTCACCTGCTCTGTGGCCGTCAGACGGCATTTGTGTAGCAATTGAAATCTTTATAAGGTGAGTGCTGAGCATTGAGTTTTGGGCCATAAATTGCCATTACTCTGGGCGTGGGTTTTTTTCGAATTCATTGCATCCAGTAAGAGTGTCATTGGGATTTGTGTGTGTATGTTCGAGCCGGTTTGGAGTTCAATTAAGTTTGCTTAATTATCACTCGCTCTATATATTCCAAAATTTTTTTAGAGATTCTGGCTCGGGCAATGCCTATAAATATTGCCAGCTTCAAAGCGGGTTTGGCAACCGCTGCGCGAATTGGTAGCAGCAGCCCAGAGAGCCCCAATAGATGGATGACTTTTGAGTAGCAGTCGGTGTGTGTACGTTTAATGGAATCAATTAAGACACATGATTTGTGGCTGCTTGTTGCTTACATTTGTTCTTGCTAACAAATTAATTTGGAAAATACAAAACACATTGCAAATAATGCCAGAGGCGTTATACGAACTGCATTTGCAACAAAATAACAAATTGCCAGACAAACTGTGAGACTTAATTAACAAAAGGCTCCTCATTCTCTCTCTCTCTCTCTCTATATATATATATATATATATATATATATATTTATATAGTATATTAGGTATATATCTGTGGAGGCTATAGACAATAACGCACAGTTCAAAGCACCGCATCGCAGAGTTGATTCAATCCGATACGCTGCAGTTAGACTCGTAAATTTTGTAGAGATTTCAGCTTTGGTCTTATCAGCAGGTGCTAAATAAATTGAATATTAATTAATGATTTATTTCAACTGCTCGTTTCATGAGAGGAATAAACGTTGAAATTACCATCTAAATAAATTCGCGGCTCGTGTGAAAGAGAAATGAATTTTGCTGCTTTATCTTGGAGTTGTTTTACTCAGCTTAAAGGAATTTCAATTGCATGTAAAGCTAAGTTCAAGGCTGTAGCTTTTTTTACGATCAACGCAAAATTTCGTGACGCCAAAAATAAAAGTATATATAGTATCGTCTAGGCCCATAGGCGCCACCGCAAAAATGCAATTAAATAATCTTGCTCCTGTCGCACAGATCTTAAATTCGGCAAGCGATTCATTTGTTAGAATTTGTCACCCTAACTGCTGTGTGCTGCAGGGAGGGAGCTGCAGCAGCAGGTGTGACCAGCACTGGGAGCTGAAGAATTTGAAATGAATTAATTACGAGCTACAAACCCCAAATTACGCATTGCTGGTTTGCCGCAGCCAAAACCCAACAGATTTACATGCGGTGGTTATATATATTTTTATCTTATATATAAGTATATCTATCTAGATATATCTGCATACGTGATACAAAATAATTTAGTATTTGACAAAAGATTTCGCGCGAAAATTTGCATAAACAACAATTAAACAACAGGTTGTTAATCTAACTGGCGTGCTTTACCCTTACTCTTAGAAAGCATTATAATAAAGTCATACCAAATGCTACATATGTTTATAGGTATTTATATATATGATTGGTATAAGCAACTGACCTGATATATATGGGTAGTTAATAAGCTTGCTGGTCTGCTTGCATTCAAGTCTGTCTCTCCTAAAAGAACGAATATTTCATATAGTCTTCTAGTTGTTTCTACTGTAGTTATAGAGGTATTATATTTATTTAATTATATATTAATAATTATTTTATAAATAATTCTTTGATACATCGTCGCGTTTCATACTCATTTTGCATTTCTCAGTAATCACATTCTATTATTGTTCAATATATATATGAAGTATTCCCTAATAATTTTTTATATATTTTATTTATATATAGTTCTCCTTACCTGATATCTTATGAAATCCTGGCTTATTGCCACTTCTATCTACCCCCTCAAGAGTATATAATATTCGCAGCATGTTTCAATCTTGCTGCAATTAAAACAAAATCATTTTGAGCTTAGCACATTAAGCAATATATATCAATAATTTTGTAGACCAGCATTGGAAAAAGTCGTATAGCTAAAAAACTGTCGCAGTTTTACGAGCCGATAAAAGCCCAGATTACATTTGATTGTTTTTATAGGGCGGGTTTATCAGCTTTGGACGTCATATTAAAAATATTTCAAGGTTTTGTTTTTGTTTTTTATAATTTTTTTTTATTGATTATATATTAAGGCAAGTTTTTTATTCTTATTCGTATTTGCAAGGTAAGAGGTTAAATGCTAAGAGTTTGATAACAAACTCCAAATTTGAACTATGACCGTCGGCAAGGCAAAAGGTTAAAGTTTCTTGGCAAAGTTCCGCTTTCCGATCAGTTCTGCTCGTTGTGGGCGGTTTTCACTTTCAATTTCACGCACACACATACACGTCTTAACTATTCTTTGTACCTACCCCAAACACATTTCGATTTGCTTTCAACATGTTTTTAATGCCCATTTCAAGACTGGCTGAATGATTGATGAGTGCCAAGCGCCCATTTTGATTGATCGTTATGAGCGCCCATTAAGGCAAACGATCGTTTTATTGTTTATTATGAGCGTTAAATTTGATTTAAACGACACTAATTAACTCTGATCCTATCAAATCCATTGAAATAATTTTGCAAATTGCCACCAAGCACAAAAACTCAACTCAGGCGTCTACAGAGCTTCCGACATTTACAAAGATAAGACGATTAGAAATGCTTATTGGGTGTGGTATTCGTGTAAAATGCGTTTTATTGATGTTGATATATATATATATATATATACATATATATATATAGAAGAAAAAGTTGTTTATAGATAAGCGTGAGTTAGAGGTATTTGAGTTTGGGCATCAGAATAGGATTTATAGCTTAATTATATTATTCTTTTTAACATTTTTTCCTTTACTCTTACCTCATCAGAGATATTTTCAATTTCTAACGGAGAAACATGATGACGACTCATCAGACTACCACGTATGACTGTGTGACATCTGTCCACTGGTTTCCGTTTTGAGATATTTTCGCTGACGATCAAAAGGTCAGACGCAATTGGGGGGCAATTGGGGGGCTGGCAATGCAAACGAGTTGGGTTAGTTAGATTGGGTTAGTTAGCCACTTTATGGCTTGTTAGTATGCAAAGAATTTCAATTAGCCTAGCCGAGTGGCGTGTGCAGCGACTACCGAATAAACTAGGCAATTAAATAATTATACGCCTGCATCTTCTACATAAAACCTGACAATTAATTAGCTGCCAGGTGACGCCCGGCGCAATTGCGACCTGAAGCTGAAACTAACCTGGGCAGTGATTGGATTATCTAGATTTAAACGCATTCAACTGTTTGAGATGTACACAGCTTTGCTTGTTGCCTATCTGCTGTTGCACTTGGGGGCAGCACCAGGATCTGCAGATGAGACGCCGCCGTTGCCCACGGCTTCAGGCAGGGGTCACTATGGCCACGGCGCCGTTGGTTGGTATCAGCCGGATAACAGCGGCAAGTATCGACACGATCCCAGGCCATATGATGGCGGCTATGGAGACAGCGGTCAGCCCTATGCAAGTGATCTGCGTGGCATCTTTCGGCAGGCTGAGCAGCAGCTGGCCGCCAGCGTACAGGAGGCTGAGGAAAACTTTGCTTTGGGACCGCGTGATCATCTACGCTTCATGATCGACTTCAACTACAATGGCACCGGCTGGCAAATAATTCAATTTGAATGGGTACGAGACGGCGATGGCACAACCGAGGATCAGCGACAGTTCAGCTATGTGAACGAGAACAGGCTCTGGGATACAGATCAATCTCAGTCCCAGCCAGCAGGCAACTATGAGTATGAACAGCCGCAGCCAGTGGAACACAACTGTGAGCAGCAGCAGCAGCAGAGCTATCAAGAAGAGTACGCACAGCCAAAGATTAATGCAGAAAAGGATGTAAGTTTGAATAGTTTGAGAAAAGTCTGTGAAATATATATATTTGTGTTGTGTCTCATTTGCAGCCCCAAAAAGTGCAATCAACTATTAATGAAGTGCTGGAGTATATTCAACGACAGATTCTTCCGAATCTTAACTAAATGAAATATGAAGAATAAATATGAATTATATTTGAAATATAAAGCCTTGAAATAATGTTGAAGAATTCTTATTAAACTCAAATTATATTTTATATATTTTATATATATTTATTTGTTTATATATATATTTGAAGATTGTATGTGAGACGCATCAACTTCTTTGCTCTTGCGATTTAATAAACATTTCTTTGGGAGTTTTAGAGAAACTTTTATTTCCTGACAACCGAAATAACACGAAAAAATGAATATGCATTCTTACAAGGCGCCTTGAGCCTGCAGATAAGCCAAGAGCTTGGGTATGTGCTCTGGTACTTTGGGAATGTGTTCGCCGGTGGGCACAAAGCCATTCTCATCGGCCACGTAGTCGACGCGGTAGAGTAGGCCGTCGTCTCCGGTGTACTCGTAGTAGCCCTTGGAGCGTATGGCATCGCCTTCGGTTTGCTTCTCAATACGTCCACTCTCTTCGCCGAGAATGCCATTCTCTGTCTCGTAGCTAACGCAAAGCCCAATGGAAATATTCATATCATAGCACTCTAAGGACATGCGTACACTTACAGATAGTTGTAGCCATCGGTTTCCACGGTGCCTTCTTGACGCAGAATCAACCAGCCATTCTTGCCGATGCCAGTGCCGCGTCCTTGTGGCAGATTGGGACGCTGATCGACAACAGCCACGGGCCGTGGCACGGAGACAGTTGGACGGGGCTTGTATGCAGCAGTTGTTGCACCAGCTCCATTGGCTGCATTGGCGCCAGCAGCACCTCCACCACCACCGCCTCCACCACCACGACCAGCACCACCGCCAGCACCAAACTTGTCCTTGTCACCTCGATAAGGATCGTTGCTGCCGGAGTAGTCGCCACCAGGACGATTATCGTGCTGGTATTTGTTGTCCACATGGACATAACGTCCGTCGCTGTTGCCGCCGTAGCGTCCATCGTTGCCACCGCGATATCTGCCATCGTTGCTGGGAACATAGCGGCCATCGTTGCTGCTCTGATAGCGACCCGCATTGGCAACAATTCGGGTGTTCAGAGTGGATACGGGCTTGGGGGCAGGACGATAGCGGCCATCGTTCTGGGCCAGCGCTACAGCAGCGCAGATGAATAGCCAAATCTGTAGTTGTGACAGACATGAGATGGATGCGTTTCTAGCATCAGCTCAACTCAACTTGACTCCACTTACCGTTAGACGCAGCATGTTTAATCAACAATGAGCTGTTTTAGCCACGGCCCGAGCTTTATATATGAGCAATTCGCAACGCCCACTGGCCCACGGATGATCCACTCGCTCGATGTGTGCTATGGCCAACTAGCTAGCGTGGATCTCAACGGACAACATTTGCAAAGCGCTCAAAACTAGATCCATTAACAGTTGTGATTTACGAGGCGTTTACTATATATTTTCTGGAAAGCAGCTGCGCCAACAAGCATCGACAAGGCGGATGAGCTATTTTTCTTATGGATGATTCTTGAATTAATTTTACGATCGACTTCGTTGTCACGGAAACGCTGACATTTCTTTTGACTTCATCTAATTTAGTCGAACATTGGTCTTAATTGCTGTCATGTGGACCAACAGCACAAAAGAACTAAAAATTGAATTTGTTGAGCACCAGAAAAACCAGTTGCTTGGCAACTTTACTCGAATGCCTGAAAGTATGCTGAGCGTTGATGAAAATCTAAATGAATTCACAAACAGATGACATCAGCATAAACAAATTTTTATGCGCTCAATACATTTTACATTTGTATAGTGTAAATATATTGAAAAAATAATGAAATGTTAATGCTCTAAAGGCTATAGTCGCCCTTACTATGTATTAACAGTTGACTGAAGCCGGCTGGTTCGTTTGACAAATATCTTACATAATATATATAAACTGTAAGATTAACTAGTTCACAGGCCCAATAGCCAGCTTTTTAAAACAACATTCGCTAGAGTCGTAAAAAAATAAATAAAAAATAAATAAATATTATAATATATTATATACATCGCAAACAAAATTTTGTTGCTTTGATTGCGTTGTTTTTTTTTTAATATTTAAATTTTTCACTTCATATTTTAACTCATATAGTTATATATATAGAGATATAAAACTTTATGCGACGCCCTTTATTTCAAATTCTTCTATGACAACTGTTGTCTGCTGCTATGTTTTCCAAGAGTTTGTAAGACTCTATACCAAATCGAATTGACATTGGAAATAGTTGAAAATTCCTCAAAGGTATACCGCAGTCTGGAGCTGAATGGCGTCAGGAGGTGGGCGTTCATGCTTAAACAAAATGATAGCAAAGTATAAGAGCTGCTGTTCAAGATAATTGTAGTTGGATATAAATTGTTTTGTATATAATATGTATATTAATTGATCAGCACTTAATACAGCTGTTACGCTGCTAAGAAAATTTATTTTCATAATAAACCAAATCGATTAACTAAAATGTTGTATAGATGAGTCACAATTTCGAGCAAAACGAGACGTCTAACTGAAATAGCAGCTATGAACTTGCCAACTTGGTAGATATTTCTTAGATCTGAAACTTCAATATTTATATGGAACAATTTTTTTTATATTTTTGCATATTTATTTACAAGTGCGAAAAGGTTTTTTGATAGAATGGCTTAACAATTTTGTTTAGCAAACAGTTTCACGTTGTCTCTGTCCCTTACAAAAGCTTTGTCTCTCTCTCTTGCTCTCTATGCTTCTCTTGTACTGGGAAGTTAGCCTCTGCGTGCAGTGTAGGCGCTCTGCTGGTCAGCCGGTGGCGGTGGTGCTGTGGCTATGTAATCCAAGGCCCTCTGTATGGCTGGTGGTATGGGCGGTGCCGTTGGCAGATGATCTCCCTGCGGCTGGAAGCCGTTCTCATCCGCTACATAGGTGATCCGTATGGGTGTGCCATCTGGCGCAGTATAGGAAAAGAAGCCCTGTGCGACCTTTAGTCCAGCGCAGCAAAGCGAAGCAGAAAGCGAAAAGAGCAGAAAACAAAACAATTACAAGACCTGAACAATTTATCAGCCTCTCGGTGCAAGTTCGTGAGGGAGCTACAGATGCAAATGCCAAATGACTGCGGGGTCTTCAATCGACCAACTCACCGGTCCTGCATTGTCGGTGCCAGCATTCTTGAGATAGCCCTCCTCCTCCACATTGATGCCGTTCTCCGTCTCATAGGCGTATTTGTAGGAGCCATCGAAGTTCACCTCCTGTTCCTGGCGAATGATCTTGATTGGCTCCGTGGCAGGTCCTTGGGGTCGTGCATGTGTTTTGCACAGCAGCACAGCTGCAATAGTCAGCAGCTAACAGAGCACAAGTCGAGATCACTGAACGAAACTGAACCAGAGCTTTGCTACTTACAATGTATTGCATTAGTTGGGCTTTAATCCTATGCTGGGCTCTGAATTGGCGATTGGCAACTGGCAACTGTCAGCGTCGCGATGCGCAACTGTGGCCAGATTTGCCAAAGGCTTGAATATTTATAGCAAAATCTTGCATCTTGAATTGTTTGAGTAATCGAACCGAATGCTGAGTGCTTGAACTTTACAGCTGCCTCTTGCAACGCTGCAACGCTGCAACGCTGGCAGCAGAGCGAGTCTAGCTCCGGCTTCGGCCTGGCCATTGGTGGGTGTTTAGCATTTGGCAGATGCACAGATCAGAAGCCAAACTCACACACAGCCTGGCCGCATCTGATTTTATCTTTGCCGACTTCTTCAAGTGCATTGTTCGCGTGTTGCTGTTAAGTCTGCAATTTGTCGGTTAATTGCTTGCAGCCCATTGACTTGACGAGGCGCCTCAATAAAAACTTCTGTCGAGACTATACTGTAGAAGAGGTATAGTTACAATTTCTTTTTATATTTTTAAATAGCTTAAAATAATATTTTATTGCTTATAAAAATATTCAAAAAAGACTGCATAATATTTGATATATTTGTGATTCTGTTAGAAACTGTCTTGTGCGACGTTTTACTGTACAGGGTGAGTGGAGCATGAAAATATTCTGGTCAGTTTTTGATTGAGTATGTTTATCGTGAAATAAACTTGCATCGTGGCATTCAAAGAACACGTCTCGCATTTCAAATCAATTTGTCAGCTACATTTGTAAAGATTTCGCCTTTGGCTTTGCCTACATATTCTGATGTGCCACAAGAAATCAAATTGCGCAATGGCAGTTAATGCAGCCTCCCATCCGCCCGCATTCACCAGATGCAGATGCAGCGAAGGCGGCAACATCATCATTATACGAATAGCATTAGACGAGTATCATTATACTTATACTACACATTGTTGCCACACCACCTGACCATGATCATGTCTAGCTGTCGGTCCGCGTGACCTTTGTTGGAGGCGGCAGTCTGTGCTAGCTGTGCGAGTCGTGCTCAGTTTTGACCAAAGGCGTTAATGAGCCCTCATTGGTGTGGATCATGCTTGGGCAAGACTTGTGAAAATGCCATTTACACGGCCCAAGACCAACTTTAGAGCTGAATGAAATAATTGATATTGAGTTTTGTTTTGTTTTTGTTTTTTGTTTTTTTGTTTAATTTAAGTTTAATTATGTTTTATATTTTCACATTCTAATGTAACAATATTTTCTGGCTGTTGCGGGCTTGGGGCGGCGTCGTTGTCGAGCAGAACTCTCACTGATTGATTACCCATTCTTCTTGTTGAAGAGCAGAGATAGGAACTGCTGCTTAAATGGCTTCGTGGTTGTCACTTCATCGTAGTAATAATAGTAAGATGGATAGGAATCGTATGTTGATGGATAGCTATACCCGTAGTAGTCATAAGTGGAAGGACTGTAAGAACCTGTTCCTGCTCCCGTTCCCGTTCCCGTACCCGTTCCCGTACCCAATCCAGCGGACACTTGCGCTTTCACCGTTACAATAAACGCACAGGCCACGAATAGAACCAAAGCGAACTTCATTTTCTGTGTTTTGTGCTATGAGCTTTCTTTCGTTGTTGACCAAATTGTTGCTACAATTCAACTGTACCTTCCACTGCATCAATACGCATCTTTTATACGCATCGTCAAACGGAAGAGTCGAACATCAACGGCAGCTATTACAACAGTCTGTTCGCTTCTGTTTGCACAAATGTTTGCCCCCGCTGAAGCTACGCATTCTATGCAAACTTAAATATTTATTTCGAATACGTTTTGAAATGCACAACGACTGTTTTATATAGACCAAATTGGGGCCTTTTGTTTGGCGCCAAACAGAAGCTGAATGCAGTCGGCCAGCAGGAGGAGTACAGAAGTAAAGACACTTGGCTTGCATTCCCTTGGTGTTTACATATTTACATATATTTTGCTATTATTCCTAAATTAAAAATCACTAACTTTAAAAGATATAACTATCATAGGAGGCCGGCCATTCCATGGTGTGTACAAAATCTGGAAATTGTTTTATAAATCGAGCGCTTTGCGAGTCCCGCTTGTGGACGTAGCTTCGATAATGTCCCGAGATACCAATCTCAAATACAGGTTCCTTGAATTTGCCACTCGTCTTCTGCAATGAAAACGTTAGCCAACATAGCACACTTAATGTTAGACCTGGCAATACGCACCGTGAATTCCAGATAAAAATTAATGGGCGAGCTGTCGGCGCCCCAGGAGAAGTAAATCTGATACGGCGGCTTGCATTTGGCCGGGCAATCCGGGACTCCTCGCAGAAATGACCAGTCTACCAATCTGACGCCATCCAAGGGATTCACAAATATGGTCATGTGGGCGGGCCCTGTTAGCTTGAAATAATATCGAATCGAATAGTTGCTCTCCAGTATTGTCTTGCTTAGTAGTTCAAGTGTGGTGACTCCGGGCACTGTGACGGGTGCCTTGCGTGGCAGCCAACGGCCGCCGCTCCAGCCTTGACCGAAGCTGGGGACACCGCAATTCATTAGATTGTCGCAGATGTTTTCTATGTGCAAAAGGCCAGTTAAGTCTAGCTTCTCGCGCAGCGGCTGTTCCCTACGACGGTCCTGAAGGGCGATGTAGTAACCGGAATCCTCTTCACTGACGGAGCCATTGTACTTAAAGAACTTCCGATGCACTTGCTGCAAAAACAAAAATCTCTGAAATGCCATGTTCATAGCTATATGTGAAGTTAGTTTACTAAAAAGTTAACGCGCATCACATTCGTTCTAGGGCGATAGGGGAAACCCATCTCCGAAACAGATATCATGCAAAATATAAAGGTTATGCACGTCAAGCCCCCTATTATTATAATAGGATAACGGAACACATTGATGAGTGGCACCTAAAAAAAATAAAGCGTATTGAGATCGCAGCTTGTTCCCATCCATATCCATATCCATATTTCGGCGCTTACCAAGAAAGCCAGTGCCATTATCGTGCCCAAAGCACACAGGAAGGCAATTACCACATCCGGATTCGTCTCGGTACCATTGCGGCCTGTCATTGGAATGGCGATGATAAGAAATGCGTAAAACAAATAGCTGAAGTAAAGGAAAGGTATAAGTTGACAGGTGCATAGCACAAGCGACCAAAAGTAACCTATAGAAAACTGAATAAGCTTAAGCAGTTCATTAGACGAATTAGGGATAATCATGTACCGCGATCATGCAGCTTGGTGATCAAATTGATGCTCAATGCTGCCACATAGAAGAGCACAGAGATCATCAAGATGTAAGCGCTGCGAACACTGAAAATGGTTAAAATAATGCACAACAGAGCAATGAATAGACAATGGGCGTGGTTGGCCATTTGCAAACGATAGCTGTGTGGTATCTTATCCTGCAAGCGGGACAAGGGTTAGCCAGAGAATCGCTTAACTTCACGCTTTTATAACTCACGCTACGATTGATGACGAGGTAGAGCGTTAGTGGCAATACCAGACCGATTACCGATGGAATGATGAAGAGCCCGACTACCAGCCAACTGTTGGTAAAGTAGGTCATCGTGCGATTGCCCGCATCATAGAATATCGCCATTAGCATTGGCAAGCCCACAGCCAGGAAAATCGAAACCAACTCCAATAGAAACAGACTGCCGAACTCAACGGCCACGGCGGCAACTTGATAATCAAGTTTCTTCGACACGTACCATAAAGAAATATACAATAGGACAATGCCACCGCCGCAAACGATTGTGTTCACCACCATGGCTACGTACTCCGGATAGGTGACGAAAAACAGACCCAAGAAATCAAAGTAAACCGACTCCCCGTTTGACTGTGTCTGCTACGGGAAGACAAGGTAAGGGCTTTACCAATATTTTAGCTTTATTACCTGGGTGAACTGCATCTCTTTTGAATTGCTTAGGCTTTTGACCAGGGAGAGCACATTGTCGCCTGTGTTTTGCAGTGACTCTCGGGTTATGAACTCGAAACGATCGTATTTTGTGTGATAAACATAGCCATTGTACTGAATCACCATATCCAGACCTGTTGAATGAAAGATGCTTGTATTGGTGTGTGAGTATGTGTGTGTGTGTGTGCGTGTTCGCTCACCAGGCAGACGACCAAAATCACGAAAGATTTTAAAGTCCGTATTGGACTTTATAACGCCAGTCTGGAATATTTCCTCAGCCATTGTTGTTGCAAACGGATGCTTTGCGGCGGCTTTGTAGTGCTGCAAACACGTAAATTAGTTATGAAGCTGATAAGATATGCCAAAGTGATATTTGGATATAAAAATTATAACGCGGATCTGATAAGCGTGCAACGTAAGCTTCGTACGACATATGCCCAGCTGTTGAAGCATTGTTAACATTCGCTACTCACGCTCATTAGCCACCGATGGTTCGGACCACCTCGAAAGAGTATCTCACGCCCACCAGAACCAACAGAATCCAGATTAATGAATGCCCTAGAAATAAGAGTTAAATATTGCTCGCACAGATCGCGCGCTCCACTCACTTGCAGCTGGGGGACCATCTGTGCTGAGTGATGAACCCGTGCGCTCCTTGCAGTGAGCTCTCTTCAGCACCATTGAAGAGAAAAACAATTGGATGCTCGAACGGATCGCTAGATGTGGCCAGTTGGCGCAGCACCTCCAGCATAGTAACGACCATGGAACCAGCATCCCCCACACCTGTATCAAACGAAAGCTTAGACATTTGGCTCAGAGGCAACCGCGTGGCTCGACAACTTACCCACACTACCTGGCTTGGTATCGTAGTGACTGTTGACGAGCAGATAGGATGTGCTGTTGGATTTCTTTGAGCTCAGCTTGACGACCACATTTTGCACTGCCTGATACATTCGGACTATCTCCAAATGCAGATAAGAGCCAGACACCTGTTGGACATCTACCTCCAAGTCGTAGAGATCGTGACGCATTACTCTATGTACGATGTCCATTTCCCTGAGCAAGAAATCAATCATTGTCTTCTCGTTCACCACATCGCCGATGATTTTCGGTCCCAGACGATCCAGTTCCAGTAAGAGGTGCTGGGCACGCTCCGCGACAAACTGACCTGGCTTGAAAATCTCTTCATCAATATTCACCGAAATGGGCAAAACGTTGTAGAGCGGAAAGACCACAGCAAAGAATAGTGCGGCCCATAGAAAAAGGAAGCTGAATGCATGATACCAGGGCATCTTTTTCCTGGGATTATCTTTCTCAGCTAGGTCAAAGCTGATATTATCCATGATCGTTAACTTTCGTTTAAAATTTAACATCAACGATAATTTCCTCTACCGTATTTAAAAAAAAAAAACAATTCCTACTATCAAGAGCTCTAATATATGTATAGTATAATTTATAATCATTCTGCTTTCCAAGGCTTCCTATCTGACAGAGAGTTTTTTATTCGTTTTCCATGACCCACTGAGTGGAGCTCTTATCAAATCTCAACTGTGGTTTCGTATCTAAATTTGTTTCGCTTTGGCAGTTAATGCTGATATTCGATATATGATATATATATTTATGATCTAGTTCAAATAAACATGCAATTGCTTGATACGTTTCAGGTTCAGACTGACTTCTGCAGCTTTTTTGAGTTCTCATTAAGTTGTGTACTTAATAAGGTAGATTTATTGATGCAACTACTTGGCATCTAGCAGAGGTTGATACCAAACGTAATTAGGTTTTGGTATACGCCTCGAAGCTTTATCAAAGGTCGACTATTATAGAGACTATGCCAATTGAATTTTTATAGACTACCAAATCTTATGACATATTTTGATTTTTTAGTTTGTTATTAGCACAAGACTTATTATTAGTTATATAAAGTTATATAAAGTTAGCTTAGTATATGTAACGCTTATAGAGCGTTGGCCACTCCATCACATGCACAAAGTCTGGAAAGTCGGCTATAAACTGCATTCCCGCCACATCTCTTTCATAGTCGTAGCTCAGGTAATGCCACGCAACGCCCAATTGAAAGATGGGAACATCGACATTTCCAGCGGGAAACTAAAAGGGAAAATGTAAATTGCATTCAAGTCAATATTAAAGGAAATTGCATAGCTCACAGCGAAATCGATGTGGAATCTTAAGGGTGAATTGTCCTTGCCATAGGAGAAGAATATCTGATAGGGTCGCGTGTACTTTTCGGGCTCGTCTAGCGGATTTCTTATAAAGGACCAGTCCTCCACAGTTACGCCTGCTTGTGGCTCTATAAATAAGCCCATGTGTGGTGGTCCGCTCAGCTCGAATTCATAGCGCATCGTGTTGCCTGTTGGCAAAAGGGTTTTGCTCAGCAGCAACAAGGAGGAGTTGCCAGGTATGATCACCTCCTGCTCGCGCGCCAACCAGTTGCCTGTGGCGCGCGCCTTGCACCAGCGATGGTTGAAGCAGGGCACGCCACACATCAGTTCCGTATTACAGTGCTCTTTGATGCTGGTCAGACCCGTCAAGTCAACCGAAGTGTACTCGAGCGGATAGTTGAGACGCCTGTCCTGGAAGTCAAAATAATAGCCCGAATCGTTGAGGCTAACGCTGCCATCATATTCGTAGAAGATGCGTCGCACATGCTGTCAATTTATAAATATGTTTATGTATCTATATAGAATATATACACATCCGACCTACCAGAAAATTCACACGCATCACACTTGTCTTGGGCCGGTAGGGAAAGCCAGCATCCGAAATGGCTATCATGCTGAATATAAAGGTGACTATGCCCAGTCCGACCATGATGAATTTTGACCAGCGAAACATGTTGATAAGTGGCGACTAGTTTAGGGTAAAAGGAGTTTAGAAGTTGCATTCGGATGAGCTACTGAGCTCCACTCACCACAAATCCCATTGCAAAGAATGTGCCGAGTGTGCACAGCAAAGCTACTAAGAGATCGGGATTTATAGAGCTGCCATTGCGACCCATCATGGGTATGAATATGACCAGAAACATGTGGAACAGGTAGCAGAAGTAGAAGAACGGTATCAGCTGGAACACCTGAGTGATGAGCACCCAATAATAGCCTTAAATTGGAAGAGCTCAATAGTTAGCAAATCATCCGATATTATTCAAATACTCGCAGCTCACCTCGATCGTGCAAGCGGCTCAGCAGATTGACGAGCAGCGCAGCGGAATAAAAGAGTATAGATATCATACAGAGGTAGGGTGTACGCAGACTAACTGCGCTCAGTATGATGGCTATTAGGGCCAGCACCACACAGTGGGCGTGCAGGCTCATATGCAAATGGTAGGCGTGGCTGATCTTAAGCTGCAAACAAAAGAGGCCTAGCTTTAGTCATGAGACTCAAGTCTTCAGTTGAGTGATTTGTTTACATTCTTCCTCCAACTATAGTAGAGTGTTGTGGGCAGACTCAGTCCAATAATAGCCGGACAAATGTAGAGCCCTATCATCAGCCAGGTGTGCGTGAAGTAGGTCAATGACCCGTCGCCGGCATCGAATAGAACAGCTATCAGCAAAGGCAGCCCCACACTGAGCAGAACACCCAGCACGTGCAGACCCAGAATGATGGCAAACAAAAGCGAGATCTGGCAGAGGGACAGCTCGGAGACGCGTGCCATGCGCCACAGCGAGATGCAAACGAGCAACAGACTCACAGCCGCAATGCAACAATTCAGAATGATGCCCGTTGTGGCCGAGTAGACGACAAAGAACAGGCCAAGAAAGTCAAAGAAGACCGACTTTCCTTGACTGTGTGCCTGCAATGGAAAATTGTTGGGTATTAATGGCGCTGCTCAAGACCAACTCCCACTCTAGCTCACCTCCGTATCGTACATTTCACTGGCATTGGCAAAGGCGCGCACCAGAGCCAAAGCATTCTCGCCCGAGCTCTGCAACGATGCGCGTGGCACAGCCGCAAAGTTGTCGAACTCCGTATGGTAGACATAGCCATTGCTGATCTGCGCCATATCGAGGCCTGAAAAGCGCACATTGGATAAGTATATAAATGAATGGAAGACACCCCTATCTCACCTGGCACCTGGCCGTAATCACGGAATATGCGAAAGTCTGTATCCGAGGGCAGTATGCCAGCCTGAAAGATCTCCTCGGCCATGGTGGTGGCAAAAGGATGTTTGGCATTGTCTTTATAATACTGCTCCGAGCGGAACGAGGTTCGTCAAATGCCATGAAATGCGGAAATCGATTGTCAACAACCAAAGTTAATTTATAGCGTGCAATCAAAAAGTGGATAGTTAGTTTTATTAGTATACGCCGTGATAAACATCTAACTGCTTGCCGACACGTGCCATAAATAATAAACTAAATCTGAAGATAAGGTTACAACAACAACAAACAGATATTCAACATACCCGCATTAGCCAGGGATGATTGGGTCCACCCTGGAAGAGAAGATCTCGACCGCCGCTGCCAGCTACCTCCAGATTAATAAGCGCTCTGATATCATAGAAATATATATCATTAAGTAACTTTCAATAGCTATAGCTACATTACACTCAGTTCTCTTACTTGCAGTTCTTGGCCCATTTGTGCTGAGTGATGAAGCCGTGCGAGGCCTGCAAAGGATTCTCTTCGGCGCCATTGAACAAGAAGACAATGGGATGCTCGAAGGGATGCTCTGAGATGGCCATTTGCCGCAGCACCTCCAGCATGACAATGACCATGGTGCCATCGTCGCCAGAGCCGGGACTGCCGGGCTTCGAGTCGAAGTGACTGTTGAGCAGCAAATAGGACTCGCTGGCCGAGCGACGCGTGCTCAGTTTGACAACCACATTCTGCACGCCTTGGTACATGTTCACCATATTCCAATGCATATACGCACCGGATGACTGCTGCACATCCACCTCCAGTTCGTAGAGATCCGCTCTCATAGCTGCGCGCACATTTTCCACCTCGTCGAGCAGAAAGCGGACCGTGCGCTCCTCGTTGGCAATGCTGCCCACGACCTTGGGCCCGATGCTATCAAAGCTCAGTAGTAGAAGTTGTGCGCGTTCGGCCACAAATTCGTTAGGCTTCTGCGATTCCTGGGCAATCGTGACGCTCTCTGGCAGCCGATTGAACAGCGGAACAACCACTGCAAAGAAGAGCGCGACCCAGAGCAGCAGAAAGGCGGGTGCATAGTACCAGGGCACCTTGGCTCTCAGACTCTTTGAACTTTTTAAAATGCCAACGAGTGCAATGTCCAATGCAGCAGCGCTCTGATTCATAATAGTCTATATTATTCCTTATCTTATATCCTTGCTCCTTTTTCACTTACTTCTTTGTCCTCTTCCATTTGCGACATTTTCTTAGCGCTTCTAAACTGGCGCGCCACAAAATTCCAACTGAATGAACAAATATTGAATGGCTTGGTTGAGCAGTGCCTGGATTTTATTAGCACTGATTTGCACTTTGAAGTCAATAAAGATAATATCCAACAAAAACAAAAATGCTCAGCCTTTGTAATGCATTAGAGAATGGTCAAGAGGCAGCCTTTATATCTAAATTATATGTGGCACACCATTTGTTTATGATTACGATAAACAAACCTAACTGGCCCATAAGGTATGTACTTATTATATATGTCTTTGATAAATATAATTTTAATTCAAATTGGCGGAATAACCATCAGTAATCAAAAACAATGTGTTTTCGATGACTAAGAGGCTCTGTGCAATACCCAATTGCTTATATCGGTGCACTGCAGCCAAATCAAAACAATATCGAATATATCTAAAGCCTGTAGTACTTGCGGCTTGTTTGCTTATCCACAGTCATAAGTATTTACCGTAACTTGAGTTAATAGCGCACTTAAGCGATAAGATTGTGCGCATATACTCAAAATCAAAAGCTTTTCAATATATATTGAACATGTATTAAGTAATAACAAGTGTTTTCTGTGTGAAATACATTTAGATTGATTTCGTATTCATTCTTTGTAAGATTTCCTTCATTTCGCTGTTTTAAAAATTACGCGCGCAATGAAGCCAGCTTTTATATGTGTAGCGCCGTTGTCAATTAAATAAGTATGTTAAGTTAACAGTGTAGTAGTTCTGCTTACATAGAGCTGCTAACAACGCCAAATGAGTAATTTTTACTAGATGAATGTCAATAACAGTGGACTATCGTTACAACTTGTGTTGATGAGTGTCTGGCTATCGATTACGCATTTACATTAATATCGTTTAGTTGCAGACCGCGTTTGATTTAAATATATGTAGATTTAAATATTGGCAATTAGAAAATATAATACATATATTCATATGCTACTTTCTAATGCATTAAACATGACACGTATCTATTTATAATTCATGAAAAGATTTACTATTCGAAACTAAATTTCCGTTGCAAATTTGAAAAGATTTTATTGTTTTCTCAGGATTAAAAAATAAATCGCTGGTAGAGTACAGGCCAAGTGGCTAGAATAGAGTAGGAAGGGAATGATGAGGCGAACTTCTCACTCTCAGCATCTCCTTTATCTCCAATGTAATGGGCAGAGACGCCCAGTTGAAACAAAGGTACATTAAAATCCCCATCAAGTTTCTAATTAAAAAATTGAGTATTTTAGTCTTTGATGGAAACTAAAAACAATTTCTCTTACCGATATTTCCATGCAAAAGGTCCACGGAGAGCTATCAATGCCATGCGTAAAATATATATGAAACGAGAGCGGATGCGCTGGGGGATTCTTAAGATAATCAAGTGAAAGTGACCAGTTGACAATCTTCACGTCTTCATAAGGCTGGATAAACAAACTCATATGGGAAGGACCTGAAACTTTGAACACAAAGCGCACAGTTGTAGCATTTACTTCGGTTTTTGATACCAATTCCAATTCTGTATTTGATTCAGATAGTTCGATGGGATTAGCTCGAGGCAGCCATTTGCTCTGTAGTCGGTTCTGAACAAAGCGATAGTCATACAGAGGCATGCCACACATCATGTGCTCATCGCAGTTCGGTTTAATGCTAACCAGTCCAGTCAGATTGACCTTTGTGCCCAAAAGCGGCTTTTCGTTACGTCGATCCTGGAAATTAAAGAAGTATCCAGACTCGTCCTTGCTCAGAGTTCCATCGTACTCGTAGAACTTGTTTCGCACTTGCTGAAAAGTTAAAGGAATCCCTTGGATAACATTTTGAAACCGTTTGTTCTAGCAAGAAAACTCACCAGATAAGCCACTCGCTGGCCGCTTGTCTTCGGGCGATACGGGAATCCAAGCTGAGTGCTACTGGCCAAGTATATGGTGACAGCTGTGATTGCCAACAGAGAGAGCACCACAAGGCTGGGTCGTCGGAAACTATTAATGAGCGGAACCTGTAAAAATATCAAGTGAAACTCTGAATGAGAAGACTTAATGGGGAAACTTACCAAAAAACCGAATGATAGAACCGTTCCTAATGCTGCCAATAGAGCAATATACAAGTCCCGATTACTGGCACTACCTGAACGTGCTCCCATAGGTGTCAGGATGACAATGAATGTATAAACGATGTAGCTGCTGTACAGGAAAGGAATTATCTGGCTAACTTTAAGGACGCCCGTCCAGGCATAGCCGCGGTCGTGCAGAGTTGTCAACAAGTTAAAGGCCAAGGACACGGCGTAGAAAATGAGTGGAATCATGAAAATATATGTTGAACGCAGGCCAAACAGTGTGAGACCGATGGTTAATACAGCTAGGATAGTGGCTTGTGCATGTAGGGACAGTTGAAGGTGGAACGCATTTGATATTTTATCCTGCGTATAGAAAATGGACTAGAAAATATTTGATATTAACATAATTCCGATAAGTCAACTTACGTTTCGTTGTAATATATGATAAATTGTCGTGGGCAGACTGAGGCCAATTAGTGAGGGGCACACATAAAGGCCAATAATCAGCATTGGGCTGCTATAGTAGGTCAGCGACAATCCCATAGAGTCAAACACAGATGCCACCACAGCTGGAAGGACAAGTCCGAGAACTACGGAAATAAGCTGAACGGTGAAGACCAATATGAACCAGCAAGTCAAATGGAATATGGAAACGTTGGACACAGCTGTGATGCGCCACATTGAAATGAAAATAAGAATTAAGGCAACTCCAGCAACGCTCAAGTTCAAATATGCTCCCGTTGTCTCTGAGTAATGGATGAAGTAGAATCCAAGGAAGTCGAAGAAGACAGCATGTCCGGTCCTATGAGCCTGTCAAGTGAATATTGATATTGAGAATACAATTGCCATGCCAGATATAATATTCTGCGCTTACTCTTATATCAGCCAATTCTGTTGCATTTGCCAAGCCTCGCACCACACTGAGGACGTTATCGCCTGTGTTCTGCAAGGATTCCCGAGGAATCGCATCGATCGTATCGTACTTTGTATGATATAAATATCCATTAATACACTGCCCCAAGTCCAATCCTATATACAACAATAAATATATCCAACGCTCATATAATCAGCATTCATCAACAACATACCAGGAATATTGCCATATAGGTTAAACTGTCGGAAGTCTGTGTCTGACGGGACAATGCCTAATTGGAAAACTTCCTCAGCCATGGTCGTTGCAAAAGGATATTTCACATAGTTTTTGTAATACTATGGGAAGTTTTAATGAGTTCGGGTTAGTTTAGTCTGTAAATAACTTACATTCACAATCCATGCGTGGTTGGGACCACTCTGAAAGAGAATCTCCCGTCCTCCGCTCCCACCAGCATCAAGGTTGACGACAGCTCTAAGATTGATACATTAGAAACTCTTCTGAAAACAGAGCAAAACAAGCTTACTTGCAGTACGGCGCCCATTTGTGTTGAGTGATAAAGCCATGCGATGCTTGCATAGAACCTTCTTCGGCTCCATTAAACAAGAAGACAATCGGATGTTCAAAGGTCTGCTTCGTTGTAGCGAGCACACGCAAGACTTCCAACATCGTGACAACCATAAAGCCCGCATCACCTGCTGACGGAGTAAATGGCTTCGAGTCGAAGTGGCTGTTGACAAGGAGATACGTCTCACTGGTACTTCCTTTCGGCGATAATTTGACAGCAATATTTTGAACGCCTTGGTACATGTTCAATACAGTTTTATATGGAAATGCTCCCGATACCTGTGACACATCGATTTCCATATCGAAATAGTCCTCCAGGAGATCTGCTTTGATTTGTTCCAGATCTTTTACAATAAAGCTGACTGCTTCAACCTCGTTTTCCCAACTGCCTGCCAACTTGGTGCCAATATTGGACAGTGTGTACAGATTTTTGTAGGCACGTTCTGCTATGAATACATTCCTACTTGCGTCCTCCATTGTTAAAGCTGTGGGCAGCTTATAGAAGCGAGGTATTACCACAGCGAAAAAGAGCAGTCCCCAGAACAGCAGGAAGCCACTTGCAAAATACCATGGTAGCTTTGACTTGTTTGACTCGATTTTGCTTCTGACTGCTTTGCTAGGATCTTCGACAGAATCCGCCAATATCTTTATAAGGCGTAGACTTGATATAATAGAAATTCAAATGATTTTTACTAGAGATTTCTTACTAGTTTCTCCTTGTCAGCCATGGAGTTCCTTGATTATCTGCTAATGTGAAGTCAAAGTTTTGTACTAAAGAGTTTGTAGAAATCGCAGATGGCTTTTATAGTTCAGCAAAATCTTATCATGAACACGAAATTGTAAACTTATTGTTTTAAAACCAATAAAGTAGAATATAGTAATCAAACTTTGTGGACTTTGAAGTACTCTGCATTCAGAGCTGAAGAGTTTTTTTTTTTAATATAAAATCAAATTATGTAGACTATAAAATCTAAGAGCCAGAATCGGTTTCTTAACAAAGTTGTTCTGAAGTCGATTGATTTTCAATTGCTTGGGAACATATACTATAGCCAAGACTATGTATAATTCCTTTCTTGACTGGTTGACTTTGGTAGGGTAGAAGAAGAAATCGTTTATTGAATCATAAAACATATATTGATGCAAGAGCTAATGAGGGTAAATCACAACCTTTGACAATTTGAAATTAGTCGTACAGCAATTTGTGAACTAAGAAAATCGAACTTCTTTATCCCTTGGGCAATTGTAGTCTATACAAATTATTATTTAGGAAAGGATTTACTAGATATACAGCTTGGCAACATATTTTTAAATATAGTCTTTTGAAATGATTTTTTGTCAGCGTAAATTAATGATATCTCGATATCAATTGGAAGCGTCTATTGTATAATATAAATCAATTATTATATGTCGAAGATAAGATGTGAACGATAAGAATCAATTCCCAAAAATCGATCAGGCCATGCATGTTATGTATAAGATAATGTATAGACTATATGGACGATAATATCATGATCATATATCATATCATATGTATGTATGATCATATGTACACATATGTAGATATCTTAATATGTCCCGAACTGTATATATTTTACACATATATCGCCATATGATTCATGATAAAAAATACAAAAACAAATTATTATAATTTACCAATGTTATGGCAATCATCTCTATTTGACATTAAGCAAATTGTTCACAAAAGAAACTGCGTAAATCATTTGAATTTCTGTAATTATTTACTGCAAGACATTTATTTGTAGATAGATGTTTACAAAATATTTTTAAAAAATATATCGTTGGTATAGCACAGGCCACGTGGCTAGAATTCCAAAGGATGGGAATGTGGATGCGAACTCCAAGCTTTCAGCGTCACCCTCTAGTTCAATATAATGGCCCGAAACTCCCATCTGGAACATGGGCACATTGAAATTTCCATCCGCCTTCTGTAAGTGTAAGAAAAAATAGCATTAAAGAAAACCGAAATAAAAAATGGCGAACTTACCGAAAACTCCAAAAAGAAGTTAAGAGGAGAGCTGTCAATGCCGTATGTGAAATATATATGATATGATAGTGGATATGCTGGTGGATCGTCCAGATATCTACGTAGGAACGACCAGTTGCTTAACTCAACGTCTTCGTAGGCTTGGATAAACAAACTCATATGGGAAGGTCCTGTCAAGTTGAACTCAAAACGAACAGTCGTAGCACTCAGAGTGGTTTTGCTTATCAACTCCAATTTTGTTGCTGCTGGTGGCTCGATTGACTTTGAACGGGGCAGCCACTTGCTCTGAAGTCGATTCTGAACATAGCGATAGTCATACAAAGGCATGCCACACATCATATACTTGTCGCACTTCGACTTAATGCTGACCAGCCCCGTCAGATTGACTTTCGCATCTAAGAACGTTGTCTCTTCGCGTCGATCTTGGAAATTAAACAAGTATCCAGACTCGTCCTTGCTGAGAGTTCCATCATACTCATAGAACATATTGCGTACTTGCTGAATATAATAAGTAAACGTTTGTGAAGATATTCTGGACCAAATATCTGTAGTCTATATATTGTCCTTACCAAATAGGCAACACGCTGTCCGCTGGTCTTTGGTCGGAATGGGAATCCAATTTGTGTGCTACTGGCTAGGTACATGGAGAGGGCTGTGATTGCCAACAGAGAGAGCACCACAAGGCTGGGACGTCGGAAGGTATTGATAAGAGGCACCTGTAATTAAGTTCAGTTTAAGGACTCTACATATGAAAAGGCGGTTGGATAATTTACCAGGAAACCAAACGAAAGAACCGTGCCTGCCGCTGCCAAGCCAGCAATGTACAAGTCCCTATTGGAAGCGCTACCTGAACGAGCAGATATCGGAGTAACAAATACAATCAAAACATAAATGATATAGCTGCTGTGAAGGAAAGGAATTATCTGGCTGGCTTTAAGTAGACCCGTCCAGGCATAGCCTCGATCGTGCAGAGTAGTCAATAAGTTAAAGGCCAAGGATAGCACGTAGAAAATCAGTGGAATTAAAAGAATATATGTTGAACGCAGTCCAAATATTGTAAGGCAAATAACTAGAAGAGCAAGGATGATGCTTTGACCATGTAACGCCAGTTGGAGATGGTAAGCAGTTGGGATCTTCTTCTATAAGAAAATAACATTATTAACAGAACAGAATGCTGAATTAATAACTTACGTTGCCTTGTAAAGTATAGTAGATTGTGATTGGTAAACTAAGGCCAATTAGTGAGGGGCAAACATAGAGCCCTATTAACAAAGTCGGGGAACTATAGTGAGTTAACGATAGTCCAAAACTATCGAGCACATATGCAACAATTAGAGGAAGGACAAGTCCCAGAACAAAGGCAATAATTTGGATGATAAGGACTAATGTGAACCAGCAAGCAACGTGGTAAAAGGAAACATGGGAAACAGCTGTCATGCGCCACATTGAAATGAAAATTAGAATAAAGGCAACAGCTGAAACGCCAAAGTTTAAACATATTCCAGTGGTCTCTGAGTAATAGATGAAGCGGAGACCCAGGAAATCGAAAAATACAGAGGTCTCGTCCATGTGCGCCTAGTAAATGAAATGAAAATCAGATGTATATTATCAACCCGCAAACTTATTGGAAGAATACCTTTGTATCGTGCAATTCTGTCGCGTTAGCCAGACCTCGAACTATGCTAAGCACATTGTCCCCCGTATTCTGCAAGGATTCGCGAGGAATTATATTGATCATGTCATACTTGGTATGGTAAATGTATCCATTATTAAGTTGAACCATGTCCAAGCCTATGATTAATGATTTTATTTATCACAACATATTTATAGGGATATAGAGATAATACTCACCAGGAACCTTGCCGTATTTCTTAAATTGAGTAAAGTCTGAATCCGATGGTATGATGCCTGATTGGAAGATTTCCTCAGCAAAAGTCGTAGCAAATGGATATTTAATGTATTTTTTGTAGTACTGTTAAGAGGTAAGAAGAGGTTACAGCAACTTCGATGTGAATTTGTTTTCAGAAACTTACTTTTAAAAGCCATGAATGATTGGGTCCACTTTGAAATAGAATTTCTCTACCTCCACTACCACCAGCATCAAGGTTAACAACAGCTCTAAGATTTAAATTTTAAAATTGGCATTCGGTTGCAAAAATGTTTAAGTGACAACGCTTACTTGCACAATGGAGCCCATTTGTGTTGAGTAATAAATCCGTGAGATGCTTGCATCATGCCCTCTTCAGCTCCGTTAAACAAGAAGACAATCGGATGCTGAAAGGTTTGTTTTGTCGTTGCAATCACACGCAGAACTTCTAACATCGTGACAATCATAAATCCTGCATCACCTGCAGACGGAGTGAATGGCTTGGAGTCAAAGTGACTGTTGACGAGAAGGTACGTCTCAGTAGTATAATTCTTAGGAATTAGTTTGACAGCAATGTTTTGAACGCCTTGATACACGTTAAGCACAGTTTTATATGGGTAAGACCCTGACGCCTGTGATAAATCTATTTCCATATCAAAAAAGTCCTTGAGGGAAGCTTCTTTGATTTGTGCAAGCTCGTTGAGAATAAATTGTACTGCTTCGATCTCATTTTCTTTGCTGCCCGTCAATTTGTAACCAATATTCGATAGGGTATACAGATTTTTGTACGCTCGTTCGGCAATGAAGACATTTTCATTTGCGTCTTCCAGTGTTAGAGCCGTGGGTAACCGCTTATAAAATGGAATCACTACGCCAAAGAAAAGGAGTCCCCAGAACAGTATAAATCCAGTTGCTAAGTACCAAGGTATTTTGGATGTGGACTTCCTGCCGATCAACACTTGGCCGCCAGCCTTTTTGGATTCGGTAAGCAGCTTTAGTTTGGGGAAGACGTTTTAAATAGAATTTTAAGGGACGAAACTGCTTGGAATCGTTACCAGTTTCTCCTTGTCCTCCATTTTGTTTCCTCTGCTGAAGTGAATCGTTAGGCCTTGGGTTGAGAACTGAATTAGTCAAGAAATAGCTGTGGGTATTTATAAGAGTGAAATAGTATTATCTGAAATATATTGTAAAAAATCCATTTAAATAATAATTTTTATGAGGTCAATTCAATCATTATCGAAGAAGCATGCTCTTTACTGGTACTACTTTGCTTAAAAATAGGTTAATAAAATCATTAAATGGTCGCGCTTAATTTGTTAATAAATCAATAAACTCTGGAATGGAAACAGACTGCTTTCATTTATTTTCCATATAAATATTTTTTTGATAATGCTTTAATTAGATTAATAAACTCAATTGAATTGATTGGTTAAAGCTACAATATATAGCGTTGGTATAACACGGGCCAGGTGTCCAGCGCTGTAAAGGATGGGAATGTAGATGCAAACTTCTCATTTATTTTATCGCTCGTATCTCCAATGTAATGACCCGACACTCCGATCTGAACCAATGGGACATTGAAATTGCCATTCGGTTTCTATGGATTTTGATATAAAGTATTTAAAAGACTTTCAAAATATGTAGATATTCGTATTTAATCTTACCGAACATTCCAAATATAAGCTGTATGGCGTGCTATCGATGCCGTAGGCAAGGAATATGAAGTGTGGACCAGAATTCGTTTCTGCATCCTCAAGATGACTGCGCAGGAATGACCAATCACTTATGGTGACATCTTCATAGGTCTGAATGAACAGTCTCATTTTGGAAGGTCCCGTCAAGCTGAACTCGAAGCGGACCGTGGTTGAGTTCAGCACAACTTTACTGAGAACTTCCAATTTCGTTGGGGCTGGCGGCTCGATGGGCTCAGATCGCGCCAACCATTTGTTGTACATTTGATTCCGAACGAAACGTAAGTCATACAAAGGCATTCCGCAATACATGTGGGTGTCGCAATTGGTTTTGAGGCTGACCAAGCCCGTCAGATTGACGTTTGTGTTTAAGAGTGGCTTTTCTACAAGTCGATCTTCAAAATTGAACAGGTATCCAGACTCGTCTTTACTCAGAGTTCCATCGTATTCATAGAACTTGTTTCGAACTTGCTGAAATGTCAGTCGTGATTATAGCTTTTAAAACACAGTTAACTCTGTGGAAACTTACAAGATATTCAAGACGCTGTACGTTGGTCCTTGGTCGATACGGGAATCCAATTTGCATGCTACTGGCCAAGTACATGGAAAAGGCTGTGATTACCACTAGACAGATCACCACACAACTGGGTCGACGGAAAGTGTTGATAAGCGGGATCTGTAGATGAGATCGATTACAAGACTGAGAATAAAATGATATTAATGAGAAAAGTTACCAAGAAACTAAACGAAAGAATTGTTCCTGCTGCTGCCAGCACAGCAATATACGAGTCCCGATTGGAACCACTGCCCGCACGACCACCCATTGGTGTCAATACCACAACGAATATATAAAAGAGGTAGCTGCTATATAGGAAAGGAATTGCTTGGCCCAACTTATGAAGGCCAATCCAGGCATAGCCACGATCATGTAAAGTAGTCAATAAGTTAATCGCCAAGGATAACACATAGAAAATTAGTGGAATTATAAAAATATATGTTGAACGCAATCCAAAAACTGTAAGGCAGAAGATTAGAAGTGCCAGAATGAATGCCTGACCATGTAATGCCAGTTGCATATGATAGCTGGTGGAGATAATTTTCTGTAAATGTGAAATGTATTAGAAAAGTACAGGATACGTAAAAATTGACTCACATTGCCTTGTAGACTGTAGTAGATTATGATGGGCAAACTAAGGCCAATTAGTGAGGGGCAAACATAGAGGCCGATGACTAATATCGGCGAACTATAGTATGGTAACGATAGTCCCAAGTTATCCATTACATTTGAAACAATAAAGGGAAAGGCGAGTCCGAGTACAAAGGAAATAACCTGTACGATAAGGACCAATGTGAACCAGCAAGCAACGTGGCAAAAGGAGACATGGGAAACAGCTGCCATGCGCCACATTGAAATGAAAATAAAAATAAAGGCAGCAGCAGCCACGCCATAGTTTAACCATATTCCTGTGGTCTGTGAGTAATGGATGAAGTAGAGACCTAGGAAATCGAAGAAGACAGCGTGTCCATTCGTGTGTGCCTATGAGATGAATATAACTTGAGATCATAAAACGTTGTTGCACAGGTCAAATTTACTTCTGTATTATGTAGCTCGGTTGCATTGGCCAAACCTCGAACCAGGCTAAGAAGATTATCTCCGGTATTCTGCAGAGACTCACGGGGAATCACATCGATAAGATCGTATTTGGTATGGTAGACAAACCCATTAATACACTGAGCCATGTCCAAACCTGTATTAATAATCCTCATGAATATTTTTTATAGTTGACAAGTTCCCCTATATAACTCTACTCACCTGGAATGTTTCCAAAAGTTGTAAATTGTCGAAAATCAGTATCGGATGGAATGATTCCTAATTGAAAGATTTCCTCAGCCAAAGTCGTAGCGAGTGGGTGTTTAATATACTTTTTATAGTACTGAAAATAATGGGAGTATTTTAAAAGATTTTTGACAGTGATTAAGCTTGAAATACGTTACTTGCACCAGCCATGGGTGGTTGGGACCAGTCTGGAATAGAATTTCGCGACCTCCACTACCAGCAGCATCAAGGTTCACGACAACTCTAGGAATGTAATGATTTGGTTGAACACATTTTATTTCATTAGTCCGAAGCTTACTTGCAGAATGGGGCCCATTTGTGTTGAGTTATGAATGCGTGTGAGGCTTGCAGGCCGCTTTCTTCAGCTCCATTGAAAAGAAAGACAATGGGATGCTCAAAGGACTCTTTTGTGGTTGCTATAACCCGGAAGACTTCCAACATCGTGACTATCATAAAGCCGGCATCACCCGCACCAGCACCTGGCTGAGTATCGAAGTGACTATTGACTAGAAGGTAGGACTTACTCGTACTGCTCTTGGGCGAGAGCTTTACGGCAATATTCTGAAGGCCTTGATATACAGTTAGCGCACCATTCCTTGAAAACATGCCTGAACTCTGTGATAAGTCGATTTCTATGTCGAAGAATTCCTTTAGTGATTCTGCTTTTACTTGGTTGAGTTCTTGCAGTAGGAACTCTACAGCCTCAACTTCATTTTCTTTACTGCCAACCATTTTGTTACCAATATTTGACAACGTAAAGAGGTCCTTGTATGCACGCTCCGCAATAAATACATTTCTGCTTACATCCTCCTTGGTCAGAGCCGTGGGTAGCCGATAGAATAGAGGGATTACAACGGCGAAGAAGAGAAGACTCCAAAACAGCACAAATCCACATGCAAAGTACCAAGGCACTTTAAAGTTCGTCTTCATTTTGACTATATTTGCGAAAGCAGATTCGCTAGATATCTTAAAATGGAATAATCAAAGAGAACCATAATATTTCTGACAAACCTTCGGAGTCATTGCTGAAGTGAACTCAAGCTATCCAAATAAGAACTAAAGAGTAAGTCGGATATGGAAAGACCTTTTATATGATGTAGTTGGCAAAAATCTTATCGAAGATATGAAGATATGAGCTTGTTTAACAGCCACATCGACTTGGAGATACTCTGCTTTCTAGCAAATAGAATGGAAGACTAAAAATAAATATTATATATTAATATTTTTTAATGATAATAAATTTCTTTTATTTTTTTTTATAAAGACTATGAAACTATATTATTGACTATTATATAAAACTATATTATTATTAAATTTGAATTATTTTTATTTCTTTTTATTTTTAGGTCTCTGCCCACAAATTTTAGTAAGGACAATGTCTAGTTTTGTGTAATTGAAAATATAATATATTCATATCTTGACATTATTCGATTTATTACGTAATTTTATGTTTATGTTCGTTTGATTATGAAATGATTATTGTGAGCACTCGAATTTATATTTATTATTTAATGATGTGTCGCTATCAATAAATATCGAATGATATAATTCTGTTGTGCTCTGAAGATAACGTGTGCGAGTTACCAATTCCAATCCACTTCGACTATTTGCTTGTTTTTATTTTTTTATAATGAATTGTAATCATACTACAAATATCACGTTTTTCGATGCGAGTTGGAATAAAACATCCTTAGAATAATGTATCGTTTTGTAAAAGTATTTTTATTTATTTACTAAGCATTGTTAAAAAATATATCGTTGGTATAGCACAGGCCACGTGGCTAGAATTCCAAAGGATGGGAAAGTGGATGCGAAATCCAAGCTTTCAGCGTCACCCTCTAGTTCAATATAATGGCCCGAAACTCCCAGCTGGAATATGGGCACATCGAAATCTCCATCCGCCTTCTGTAAGTGTAAAATTCAATTGAGTTAAAGAAAACTGAAATAAAAAAGGGCGAACTTACCGAGAACTCCAAAAAGAAGTTAAGAGGAGAGCTGTCAATGCCGTATGTGAAATATATATGATATGATAGTGGATATGCTGGTGGATCGTCCAGATAACTACGTAGGAACGACCAGTTGCTTAACTCAACGTCTTCGTAGGCTTGGATAAACAAACTCATATGGGAAGGTCCTGTCAAGTTGAACTCAAAACGAACAGTCGTAGCACTCAGAGTGGTTTTGCTTATCAACTCCAATTTTGTTGCTGCTGGTGGCTCGATTGACTTTGAACGGGGCAGCCACTTGCTCTGAAGTCGATTCTGAACATAGCGATAGTCATACAAAGGCATGCCACACATCATATACTTGTCGCACTTCAACTTAATGCTGACCAGCCCCGTCAGATTGACTTTCGCATCTAAGAACGTTGTCTCTTCGCGTCGATCTTGGAAATTAAACAAGTATCCAGACTCGTCCTTGCTGAGAGTTCCATCATACTCATAGAACATATTGCGTACTTGCTGAATATAATAAGTAAACGTTTGTGAAGATATTCTGGACCAAATATCTGTAGTCTATATATTGTCCTTACCAAATAGGCAACACGCTGTCCGCTGGTCTTTGGTCGGAATGGGAATCCAATTTGTGTGCTACTGGCTAGGTACATGGAGAGGGCTGTGATTGCCAACAGAGAGAGCACCACAAGGCTGGGACGTCGGAAGGTATTGATAAGAGGCACCTGTAATTAAGTTCAGTTTAAGGACTCTACATATGAAAAGGCGGTTGGATAATTTACCAGGAAACCAAACGAAAGAACCGTGCCTGCCGCTGCCAAGCCAGCAATGTACAAGTCCCTATTGGAAGCGCTACCGGAACGAGCACAAATCGGAGTAAGGATCACAATCAGAACATAAATGATATAGCTGCTGTGAAGGAAAGGAATTATCTGGCTGGCCTTCAGTAGACCTGTCCAGGCATAGCCTCGATCGTGCAGAGTAGTCAATAAGTTGAAGGCCAAGGATAGCACGTAGAAAATCAGTGGAATTAAAAGAATATATGTTGAACGCACTCCAAATACTGTGAGACAAGTGACTAGAAAAGCCAGGATGACGCCTTGACCATGTAATGCCAGTTGAACATGAAAGCCGGTAGAGATTTTTTTCTGAGAAATGAAAACTGAGTTAGTTTACGGAAAAGAATAATGAGTTAATAACTTACGTTCCCTTGTACTGCATAATAGATTGTGATTGGCAAACTAAGGCCAATTAGTGAGGGGCAAACATAGAGGCCGATGACTAATATCGGCGAACTATAGTATGGTAACGATAGTCCCAAGTTATCCATTACATTTGAAACAATAAAGGGAAAGGCGAGTCCGAGTACAAAGGAAATAACCTGTACGATAAGGACCAATGTGAACCAGCAAGCAACGTGGCAAAAGGAGACATGGGAAACAGCTGCCATGCGCCACATTGAAATGAAAATAAAAATAAAGGCAGCAGCAGCAACGCCATAGTTTAACCATATCCCTGTGGTCTGTGAGTAATGGATGAAGTAGAGACCTAGGAAATCGAAGAAGACAGCGTGTCCATTCGTGTGTGCCTATAAAGTGGAAAATCAGAAGTTTACATTCAACATTCATGTCAACGTAAGATTATCGGAAAAATACCTCTGTATCATGTAATTCTTCAGCATTAGCCAAACCTTGTACCAAGCTGAGTATATTATCTCCCGAGTTCTGCAAAGCTTCGCGAGGGATCACATCAATGACGTCATATTTTGTATGGTAGACGTATCCATTATTAATTTGAGCCATATCCAAACCTATGATTAATGATAGAATTTAGCATATTATTTCTCTAGTGCCTTTCTCAATTGGTACTCACCCGGAATTTTGGCATATTTTTTAAACTGCGTGAAGTCTGAATCCGATGGTATGATGCCTGATTGGAAGATTTCCTCAGCCAAAGTCGTAGCAAATGGATATTTAATGTATTTTTTGTAGTACTGTTAAGAGGTAAGAAGAGGTTACAGCAACTTCGATGTGAATTTGTTTTCAGAAACTTACTTTTAAAAGCCATGAATGATTGGGTCCACTTTGAAATAGAATTTCTCGAGCTCCGCCACCAACACCTTCCAGATTAAGAACAGCCCTAAGATCTTAAAATTGACACTCTGTTACAAAACTGTTAACTTGACATAGCTTACTTGCACAATGGAGCCCATTTGTGTTGAGTAATAAATCCGTGAGATGCCTGCATATCACCTTCTTCGGCTCCATTAAATAGAAATACGATCGGATGCTCAAATTGCTGTTTTGTTGTGGCAATAACACGCAGAACTTCCAACATTGTGACAATCATGAATCCTGCATCACCTGCAGACGGAGTGAATGGCTTGGAGTCAAAGTGACTGTTGACGAGGAGGTAGGTTTGGCTGGTGCTATTCTTTGGAGTGAGCTTAACAGCAATGTTTTGAACGCCTTGATACACGTTAAGCACAGTTTTATATGGGTAAGACCCTGACGCCTGTGATAAATCTATTTCCATATCAAAAAAGTCCTTGAGGGAAGCTTCTTTGATTTGTGCAAGCTCGTTGAGAATAAATTGTACTGCTTCGATCTCGTTTTCTTTGCTGCCCGTCAATTTGTAACCAATATTCGATAGGGTATACAGATTTCTGTACGCTCGTTCGGCAATGAAGACATTTTCATTTGCGTCCTCCAGTGTTAAAGCCGTGGGTAACCGATTATAAAATGGAATCACTACGGCAAAAAAGAGTAGACCCCAAAACACTAAGAAACCAGTCGCAAAGTACCAAGGTATCTTGGGTGCAGATTTCCTGCTGACCCACACTTTGCCGCCCCCACATTGCTCATCGAGTTCTTGAAGTAGCTTTATTTTAAATGGAGATTTTAGTTGTATGAGCTAATAAGAAACACTTTTTGGCTCTTACCAGATTTTCCGCGTGCCCCATTCTGATTCGCAAGTATATCTTTGCGGATCGTTCCACAAGTGAGAACTAAGCACTTTAGTCGGTCGTTGAAGCCATTTATAGATGTGACATTGCGTTATCTTGAAGGTAAAAGTCTGATAAAACCATTTAAATAATAATATTTATGATGTCAATTCGTGGGTAATAAAAATTAGACGTTCTGTTTACCTATTTGAAAATATTTAATAGGGTATACTGTTTTTATTCGAAAGTATGTAACATGCGGAAGTAGCCATCTTAGACTCTATGAAGCGTAGTTGTATTTGATCAGGATAATAACCTTTGGCATGCCGAAAACTATTGATTTATCTGTACTAGCTGTATCTAGCTGTTCGGGATCTTAAAATATAATATATAAAATCAAAACAATATGCCAACTTGTTGCAGTCAGTTTCGCTTTAAATTGGAAAGATTTGCTGAAAGGGTTGTTCATCAAGTGCAATTTTATTATTTTAACATAAAAACTTATTTTTTTTTTAATACAACTTTCACTGTATTGATTTTTTGTTATGGCAATTCACACATATATATTTAGAACACATAATGCTTATATATTGCAGGCCACTCGGCCAGAATAGAATAGGACGGAAAAGAAGATGCGAACTTCACGCTTTGGGCGTCTCCTTCATTTCCAATAAAGTGCGCAGATACTCCTAGTTGAAATAAGGGAAATCCCAAATCGCCGTGCAAACTCTGCAAATATATAAATAATATATCAGCATAAGCAAATCTTCATATAATTTCTCTTACCTCAGCTTCCACAAAGAAATTGTACGGAGAGCTGTCAATGCCATATGTTAAATAGATATGATATGGCAAAGGCGTATCAAGATAGCTGGGTAGAAAAGACCAGTTGCTTATCTTCACATTTTCATAGGGTTGGATAAACAAACTCATGTGAGAGGGTCCAGTCAAGTTAAATTCAAAGCGAACATTCGTAGCATTGAGCACGGTTTTATTCAGCATGTCCAATGTACTTATGCCTGGCGGAACAATTGGTTCAGAACGCGGTAGCCACTTGCTTTGAAGTCTACTCTTGGTGAATCGGTAATCGTACAGCGGCATGCCACACATCATTTCGGCCTTGCATCTTGATTTAATGCTAACCAACCCAGTTAGATTAACCTTTGTACCCAACAATGGTTTCTCTTCACGGCGATCCTGAAAACTAAACAAATAGCCCGACTCGTCCCTACCGAGTGTGCCATCGTACTCATAGAACATGTTGCGCACTTGCTGATATGGGAAAAGAAACATATTGGAATAAATACTATGCAATCTATTCAGAATACTCACCAGATATGCAACTCGATGCCCGTTGGTCTTTGGTCGATAAGGGAAGCCGATTTGTGTGAAGCTGGCTAAGAACATAGTCAGAACTGTGACTCCCAGAAGGGTGAGTATTATAAAGCTGGGCCGACGGAAGTTATTGATGAGCGGGAGCTACAATCAAATGTGTTATTTCATACCTTAAAGATAACAAGTGAATGACTGTATTTACCAAGAAGCCAAACGATAAAATCGTTCCAATTGCTGTCAACAGAGAAATTAATACGTCGCGATTAGAGGCACTACCTGAACGGCCACCCATTGGTGTCAGAACAACAATAAATATATAAAAGGTGTAGCTGCTACATATGAAAGGAATGAGCTGTCCCGCTTTAAGGATGCCCATCCAGGCGTAGCCACGATCGTGTAGCGTAGTCAATAGGTTAAGCACAAGGGATAGTGAGTAGAAGATCAGTGGAATTACAAAAATATACGTTGATCGTATTCCGAACGCTGTCAAGAAAATAACCAGAAGAGCCAGGATGGCGGCATGGCTGTGCAATGCCAGTTGAAGATGATAAGCGAGTGAGATCTTATCCTAGAAAATTGAAATAGATTGTGAAACATTGATTAACTTTCCACTTGAGATTGTAAACTTACATTGCGTTGAATATTGTAGTGGATTGTTATAGGCAAAGCTAGGCCAATCAGTGAGGGACACACATATAACCCAACGATCAGCATCGGGGAGCTAAAGTAGGTCAGCGATTGCCCCACACTGTCCATAAACCATGCCACTATTGCAGGAAATGCTAGTCCGAAAACAAAGGATAAAAGCTGGACGAGCAGGATCAGTGAAAACCAGCGCGTCACAGAGGAAATGGATTCGTAAGAGACCTTCGACATGCGCCATATTGAAACGAAAATCAATATAAGGGTAGCTATGGCAACACATAAGTTCAACCATATTCCTGTAGTATCTGAATAATGTATGAAGTATAGGCCAAGGAAATCGAAGAAGACTGCGTGACCAGTGTTGTCGGCCTATGAGATGAGCAGAGATAAAATTAAATAGAACAACACTTGTCAATAAGTTTACCTTATTATTTAATTCAGTTGCGTTAGCCAGTCCTCGAACCAGACTAAGCACATTATCGCCGGTATTTTGCAAGGAGCCACGAGGAATCACATCGATAAGATCGTATTTGGTATGGTAGACATAACCATTAATGCATTGCGCCAAGTCCAATCCTATTTCAAATCGATCAATAGCTTGATTTCAAATAAAACTGCCTGAAACTTACCTGGGATGTTACCATACTTATTGAACTGCCGAAAATCGGTATCGGATGGAATAATTCCTGATTGAAAAATTTCCTCAGCCATGGTTGTTGCGAACGGATGCTTGACGTATTTTTTGTAATACTTAAAATAATTTACACAATTAGTTAGAAATTCGACAGCAGTTGCTTTTCAAATATCTCACATTTACAAGCCATGGATTATTGGGACCACTTTGGAAGAGAATTTCCCGACCTCCACTGCCACCAGCATCAAGATTAACGACGGCTCTTGGATCAAAGTCCTTGCGTTCAAATTATAAAGTTTATAAAATCTTTAGGGAAAGACTTACTTGCAGAATGGAGCCCATTTGTGTTGAGTCACAAAGCCATGAGATGCCTGCATCATGCCTTCTTCGGCTCCATTAAATAGAAATACGATCGGATGCTCAAATTGCTGTTTTGTTGTGGCAATAACACGCAAAACTTCCAACATTGTGACAATCATAAATCCTGCGTCGCCGGCAGACGGAGTGAATGGCTTGGAATCGAAGTGACTATTGACGAGGAGGTAGGTTTGGCTAGTGCTATTCTTTGGCGTTAATTTCACAGCAATGTTTTGAACGCCTTGGTACACGTTGAGCATGGTACTATATGGAAAAGAGCCGGCTGCTTGCGATACATCAGTTTCCATTTCGAAAAGGTCTTCCTGTAGATTTTCCTCAATTTTTTTCAACTCATTAAGAATGAAATTTACTGCTTCGATCTCGTTTTCTTTGCTGCCAGTCAATTTGGTGCCAATATTAGACAGAGTGTAGAGATTTTTGTAGGCACGTTCCGCAATAAATTCATTCCTGCTGGCATCTTCGTCTGTTAGCGCCGTTGGTAACCGATAGAAAAATGGAATTACGATGGCGAAAAAGAGCAGTGCCCAGAACAGTAGAAACCCATTCGCAAAGTACCAAGGTATTTTGGGTCCAACATCATTTTTCGTTACTGTGTCGGCGGCTTCATCAGGCTCATCTGCAATCTATTATGAATGTGAAGTGGATATGAAAAGGAAATGCTACTACTGAAATGTTTGCAATTATTTTCTGAGAACTACTTCAAGATGCCTTTTCCAAAACCTCAAGAGATCAACACCAATAGTGCTAGATAATTTCTGATTATCATATCACATCGTAATTTATAATTTATGAACTGTGCATTCCATAAAATTCTATAGATTCCCATTGTTAATTGCTTTTATTTTAGGTATCTACATAGATGGTTCCTCCAGCTATTATTCCAATGGTTCAAGGGCGTTCTTCCATATCCAAAAAAAGAGTAAATAAATAGCTTTGCTTATTTATAAAGTGTGTTTGAAAAACTTTGCGAACATAAATAAACATTCCAGCACGCGTACGCCAAAGTATATATATATATAGTTTTTGTGGCTCAGCAATAAGTTAACGCTGATTAAAAATGGAGCGTCGCCTTACATTTAATTACCGATAAAACAAATTAGCGCAATGATAATTTCATTGACTTTACTAGAATTTCTTATCACAAGAGTTGATAGGCAACCAGCAATTAATCAGTCATCTCGATGGATATTTACTATCTATGAATCGTAGTCACTTGAATTATATACATATAACCGCACCTTGTTTTGACATGAGTCAATGCGACGTCGAATAGCGCGCAACATCTCATCAAGACTCGCACAAATTAACTGATCTCTCAGTTCGCATAGAATAGACAAGGCAGCACGGAAGCACATCTTATCTCAAATGCTTAGCATAGATGCTCTCTATAATTTAAATTGTGCTATGCTCATCTGAGTATTCGCAGAATGTGATTCGACGCGTTGCGTAAGGGCACACACGAGAACTGATTATTCAAAGGTCTTCGCTCGCTCGGGTAGCTCGACTGCCTGCTGTGGCCAATGTTTATACTATTTACTCTTCTCTAGTTGTGGTATTGCATGTTCGAACCGTTTATATTTAATTGCCTTGCCTATTCCTAGCGGAATTTGCTTAACAAGTAGAATGTTTACATTACCAAAAACAATAGTCAAATAACACCGACCATTCCAATAAGCACCTCAAACATCAGTTCATATTTGCCTGCATTCTTTTATTCAACATAATTATTTTGAATGTAGCTTTTTCAGAAATGTTCTATTTAAAATATGTAACGTTTATATAGTGCCGGCCACTGTGCCAATATAGCAAAGGAGGGGAATGAAGAAGCAAACTTTACTGCTTGAGCGTCTCCGGGACTTTGTATGTAATGTCCGGAGACTCCAAGTTGCAGCACTGGTACATCAAAATCGCCGTCGGTTTTCTGCAGATGATAGAAATAAACGAATTTAGTTCAATTACAATGGGATTCTGTGTGCATTGCATCTTACCGTAAGTTCCACATAGAAACTCAATGGAGATCTATCAATACCGTTAGTGAAGTATATATGATAGGGTAGCGGAGCTGCAGGTGGCTGCGCCAGATAGCTTGGTAGGAACGACCAGGCACTTATCGTCACGTCTTCATAGGCTTTAATGAATAAGCTCATGTGAGTAGGTCCCGTTAGGTTGAATTCAAGGCGAACAGTTGTTTCGTTAATCGTTGTTTTAGATATTTTCGTCAACGTGGTTTCCTCTGGTATTTCAACATCTTCAGTTCGTTGCAGCCATTTGCTCTGAAGTCTATTCTGAACAAAGCGGTAATCATACAAAGGCATGCCACACATCATGTAGGTCTCGCAACTCGTCAAGATACTCTCCAATCCAGTCAGATTGACCTTCGTGCCCAAAAGTGGTTTTTCTTCTCGCCTGTCCTGGAAATTGAACAAGTATCCAGACTGATCCTTACTGAGTGTACCATCGTACTCGTAGAACTTGTTGCGCACTTGCTGAAATGGTCAAAATAATATCTTGGATTATACACTAGAAGTCAGTAAGCTATATAGGACTCTCACCAAATATGCAACTCGCTGGCCATTGGTCTTTGGTCGATACGGGAATCCGATTTGTGTGCTACTGGCCAAATACAAAGCAATGGCAGTGACTACGCACAGAGAGAGTACCACGAAACAGGGCTTGCGGAAAGCATTGATAAGTGGGACCTGTTTGAATAAGCAACGTTATTAACGTTAACTGGGGAAAATATGTCTTTTCACACTTACCAAGAACCCAAAGGAGAGAACTGTTCCTACGGCTGCTAAGACGGCAATGTACAAGTCCCGATTCGAGGCACTGCCTGCACGTGCACCCATTGGTGTCAGTACTACCACGAATGTATAAATCAGGTAGCTGCTATATAGGAAAGGAATCACCTGGCTGACTTTAAGAACACCCGCCCAGGCATAGCCGCGATCATGCAGAGTAGTCAATAAGTTAATGCCTAAGGACAGCATATAGAAAGCCAGTGGAATTACGAAGATGTAGGCGGATCGCAAGCCATAGAGTGTAAGACCAACGGCTAAAAGGGCAAGGATCAGGGCTTGACAGTGCAATGCCAATTGGAGATGGTAAGCATTTGATATCTTATCCTGCGGATGGAAAATTGATAATAAAACGCTTACAATTAAGAGAAGATGGGTTAATGCACTCACGTTGCGCTGCAAAGAATAGTACAAGGTGATTGGCAAGCTGAGGCCGATTAGTGAGGGGCACACGTAAAGACCGATCACCAACAACGGAGTGCTGTAATAGGTCAGCGATAGTCCCAAGGTATCCATTCCATAGGCAACTACAGCAGGAAGTACCAGTCCAAGTACAAAGGAAATTATCTGGATGATAAGCACCAATATAAACCAGCGCACCACATGGCATATGGAGACATTGGACACAGCAGACATGCGCCACATCGAAATGAAAACGAAAACTAGGACAGCTGCGGCAACAGCAATATTTATGGATTTTCCCGTAGCTTCCGGATAATGGACGAAGTAGAGACCCAAGAAATCGAAGAAGACTGCATGGCCAGTCTTATATGCCTATAAAGAAATTTGCAAGAACTTAAGCACACTTTTGATCCAAGAAACCGTAGCTCAATCGCTTACATCCGTATCGTGCAATTCAGTAGCATTAGCCAGTCCACGGACCAGGCTAAGGACATTGTCGCCGGTGTTCTGGAAGGCTCCACGAGGAATCACGTCGATAAGGTCGTATTTGGTGTGGTAGACAAACCCATTAGAAATTTGAGCCATGTCCAACCCTTTAAAATATTCCGCATAATTGTTATTTGAGGATAACAAATTAGATAAAGTGCCTTACCGGGGATATTTCCATATATATTAAACTGTCGGAAATCTGTATCGGATGGAATGATTCCTGATTGGAAGATTTCCTCAGCCATGGTCGTTGCAAATGGATGTTTGACATAGTTTTTATAGTACTGTGGAAGGGTATAAGAGCTTTGAATGACTTTCAGCTATAATTTTATTAGAAAAACTTACATTGACTAGCCATGGATGGCTGGGGCCAGTTTGGAATAGGACTTCCCGACCTCCACTACCAGCAGCATCAAGATTAACGACGGCTCTATGATGAAACGGTCTTTTGTTAGATATGTTCTTCTTGTTGAGTGGGTAACTTAAATTTCTCACCTGCATTTTGCCGCCCATTTGTGCTGCATTATAAAACCATGAGATGCTTGCATCGCGGATTCTTCAGCTCCGTTAAACAAGAAGACAATCGGATGCTCTAGAGCCTGTGGAGTGGTTGCAATCACACGCAGAACTTCTAACATCGTGACAATCATAAAGCCCGCATCACCCGCAGATGCAGTGTATGGCTTCGAGTCGAAGTGACTGTTGACGAGGAGATAGGTCTCACTGCTGCTTGCTTTGGGCGATAGCTTAACAGCAATATTTTGAACGCCTTGGTACATGTTTAGCATAGTTTTGTACGGGAATGCCCCAGAGACTTGTGACACATCAATTTCCATATCGAAAAAGTCTTCGAGGAGAGCTTCCTTGATCTGTGCAAGATCACTTAGAATGAAATTGACTGCATCCACCTCATTTTCCTTGCTGCCAATCAATTTGTTGCCGATATTGGATAGAGTGTACAGGTTGTTGTAGGCCCGTTCAGATATGAATACATTTTTCTTTGCATCCTCCATTGTTAGGGGCGTAGGTAGCTTATTGAAAAAAGGTAGAACCACAGCAAAGAAGAGGAGTCCCCAGAACAGCAGGAAGCCACTTGCAAAATACCATGGTACTTTTGAATTGGACTCCGTTTTGTCCACATTTTTTAGAGCTTCGGCAGATTCTGCCAATATCTATTTAATATTAATAATTTAGCTTGAAGAAATTGAAACTCTGCGTATGTCATTAGTCTCTTACCAACTTGTCCTTGTCACTCATAATGCTCCTTTACGAAGTTCCTATCTGTTGATCTGATTCCTAGAACTTCCAAAAGAGAACTATGCGGCTTAAGCAAATGGTGGCTGCTTTTATAGTTGTCAGAAAAGTAATCAAATTCATAATTTTAAAAGAGCAATTTAAAAAGATATAATTTATAGTGCCAATTCATTGATTGCTTTAATTGTTTGGGACAAATTTTCGGGTCTCTAAGATTGTGCGAAAGAGTGACAATCAAATCATATAATATTATGTGTTAATAATAATTATCACCTGCTTAAGGGTAGTTTGAAAAATTTTAATTAATTTAATTTTAATTAATTTAATTAATACTATTAAGAATAAAATGTAAAATTGTTTTCAGGTATGGTTATTTTTACTTCATACAAGCCGAAGATATGAGGTCTTGACAAAGAATTGGGAAGTCCTCAAGGTGGCTGCTAGTCACAGACTATATATATTTTAAAACAAATCAAATCAATCAGAATTGGTAATACAGGTTTAGATAAAGTGCATAAGAGTAACAAATAAATTGGAATCTCTGCAAAAACTGATTTACTGAAAGCAAGTATTAATAGTTTGTTAAATTATGAAAATCTTAATATATTTTAATTTAGCCTGGAATAAAACTCAACAAAGTCTCGCAAACTTGTTGAAGTGCCCATTTTATATTTTACAATATACTTATTCATCAATAGATTACTCTGCTTTTATCTGTGCCCATATATAATATGTTTATTATGTTCAAATCGCGCCTCTTTAATGATATGCTGATATCAAATTATTATTGGATATAATTTGATATCAGCATATCATTGCACTGAACAACAACGATTTAGACACTCGGGTGAAATTATAGCTATCTTAAAGTTGTTGTTGTTTAGATTCGAAGTAATGAATTCATTTGATTCAAATCAAAACATGAATTTCCCATAAAGAAATTTGGTTAAGTAAAATCCAGAAATTTAAAATATCCTTTATAGACTCAGAGCAGTCTAGAACTATATTACTACACAGTTACTACTGATCATAAAAAATGTATATTTTGTTGAGCAGTGTAAAAGTGTAATATAATAATTTTATCTTGATATGAAGATAAAGTCAATATATATTTTTAATTATGCAGCTAATTGCCAATCATATCGCTGTATCTAAGCGTGCCCAGACTTAAATATTCAGTTCATTGCACCTGTCGTTCCACTTATCAATACTTATCATCTTATCAGAGTATTATAATTTTGCTCTAAGTGGATCGCAGACTGAAGAACACGTTTATAGCCCAATACAGAATTTATATTATATATCGGATTTGATTGCTAGTCTATATATATATGTATATACTTATTTAAATATGATTTTTTCTTATTTATAAATTATCGATCACTTATTATACTTAATTCTGCTCAAGTAAATGAATATCGATTAAAAAGAGGTAGTAGAAATAGTAAAAGTAGTTGGGAATATTGTGCACAAGCTTCTCATACATAATCCATTAAATTTGCTAAGTTCTTAACTGTTTCTTGGCGCCCATCCCATTCTTCTCCAAGTATTTGTAGACTCTTAACACACTGAGTTTCATGAGCTGAGTCGATTAAGCAAATTACTTTATCTTTAAATATACACCTTAAGTCTAAATGTGCTAATAGCAATTTTATCTTTCCGATTGGAGTGAAATAAAATTACTCCGAAAAGTATACTTTTCTATTTAACAGAATTGGAAAAATTTATTAAAAGAATACTTAATGGATCTATTAATATTTATACTTTATAATTGGCTTTTACTATAATCATCGTAATGTATATTTATATATATATATATATATATATATATATATATATATATATATATATATATATATATATATATATATATATATATATATATATATATATATCTACAAGCCCTTCGGTTTCCTTTTCTAAAACCACTAAGATCTAACAATTCGTCAAGAATTATACAAATTAAAAGCAATAGACAATCATATTTTACCCCTTTTCTAAATTAATAATATATTTCTCTGATTTTGTAACACGAAAAAATTTCCCGATGTTATCTTACTTAAAATCCAAATCAATATAAAAATCTTTTACATTTGAATATATTTCAAGCTAAATTGATTTATAAAGTTCGGTGTCTTCACATTTAACTAGATTGATTTAAATTTAAAAGATGAATCGTTGATAAAGTGCGGGCCATTGTTCGAGGATTGCAAACGAAGGGAATGAAGATGCGAACTTTACGCTGTGGGCATCACCTGCGTGGCCGATATAATGTCCAGACACCCCCAGTTGGAATAAAGGGACATCAAAGTCTCCGTTGGGCTTCTACAAAATGAAAAAGAAGATCTTAACTAAATGCTTGGCCATTCATATTGTATCTTACCGTGAGTTCCAAAAAGAATTTTAATGGGGATTTGTCTATGCCATAGCTAAAAGAGATAAAGTATGGCAAGGGCGGTGTCAATGGTGTCTCGAGATAGGCTTGCAAGAAGGACCAGTTGCTTAGTAAAACATCTTCGTACGGCTGAATAAAGAGTTTCATTTGAGGAGGACCCGTTAAACTAAACTCAAACCGGACAGTTGTTGTATTTAGAAGGGTTTTGTTTAGTAATCTTAATTCTGTTGGAGCGGGTGGCTCGACAGGTTCGAGGCGCGGCAACCATTTGGCTTGAAGTCGATTCAGGACATACGTCGAGTCATACAATGGCATGCCGCACATCATATGCTGCTCGCATTTCGATTTAAGACTAATCAAGCCAGTCAAATTAACGTTTGTACCTAGGAGTGGCTTTTCCTTGAGCCGATCCTGAAAGTTAAACAAATATCCAGACTCATCTCTAATCAGAGTTCCATCGTACTCGTAGAACACATTGCGTACTTGCTGAAATGGGAGTTTTTATAGTAAAATATAATATGATAGTAAATTCCGTTGGTTACCCACCAAATATGCCACTCGCAGGCCATGGGTTTTTGGTCGATAGGGAAATCCAATCTGAGTGCTACTGGCCAAGTACATGGCGAGAGCAGAGATAGTTATCAGAGTGAGCACCACAAAGCTGGGTCGTCGAAAAGTGTTGATTAGTGGAACCTGGAAATAATACCCAATTGTAGTTTGGCATCAGTAACTCATTAACTCATATTCACATTACCAAAAAACCAAATGAAAGTATCGTTCCGGCTGCTGACAAAAGAGCAATAGTTATATCCGGATTCGATGAACTAAATGATCGTCCACCCATTGGAGTTAGCACCACAATAAAAAAATAAAAGACGTAACTGCTGTAGAGGAATGGAATTATCTGGCTTGCCTTAAGCAGACCTGTCCATGCAAAGCCTCGATCGTGCAGAGTAGTTAACAAATTCAAGGCCAAGGCTAACACATAAAACATTATTGGAATCACCAGAATATATGCAGTTCGTAATCCGTATGCTGTAAGAACAATAGCTAAAATTGATAGGATAACAGCCTGAGCATGTAATGCCAGTAGCAGATGATAGGATGCTGATATTTTATCCTAATAAAAAAACTGGCATTACAAAATGTTTTTAGTTCACATTCATAGCCTTACGTCGCGTCGGAATGTAAAGTAGATGGTAGTGGGTAGGCTGAGGCCGATAAGGGAGGGGCACACATATAAGCCGATCAGCAGCAATGGGCAGCTATAGTAGGCAAGCGATAGACCCAAATTATCCATCACATGTGCAACAATTAATGGAAGTGCCAGTCCGAGAAAGCTGCATATAATCTGGACGACAAAAACTAAAATGAAGCTGTGCACTACGTTCAAAACTGATTGATGGGAAACTGCAGCCATGCGCCACATCGATAGGAAAACAAAAATCAAGGCAGCTGCAGATACTCCTAGGTTCACAAATATGCCCGTAGTCTCCGAATAATGGATGAAGTAAAGTCCCAGAAAATCGAAGAAGACTGCATGGCCAGTCTTGTGTGCCTATGAAAAAGGTGCAATAAAAGTAATACTATTTGAAACTATGTTGCTTCTAGCTTTACCTCTGTGTCATGTAATTCTGTTGCATTGGCCAATCCGCGCACTAAACTGAGAATATTGTCGCCAGTGTTTTGCAGAGACTCAGGCGGAATTATGTCAATTACATCGTACTTTGTATGATATATGAATCCATTTACACATTGGGCCATATCCAAACCTAATAAGTAGTTTATTGATATAGCAAAATAATCTATCAGATACAGCCGTTGCTCGTACCTGGTAGATCACCATATTTGTTGAATTGTCGAAAGTCTGTATCCGATGGAATCGTGCCTGATTGGAAACCTTCCTCAGCCATAGTAGTAGCGAAGGGATATTTGATATATTTTTTATAGTACTGTGAAATCGAATTGTTATCCAAAAAAAATTGAAGATATTTTTCATGACTTCAACTTACGTTTACAAGCCATGGGTGGTTGGGTCCACTTTGAAATAGCACTTCTCGTCCTCCACTACCGCCAGCATCAAGATTAACGACGGCTCTAAGATTAGGCTAAATAACTTCTAAGCTATTCTTATTATTTGTAAGTCTCACTTGCAGTTTGAAGCCCACTTGTGCTGAGTTATAAAGCCATGGGAGCCTTCGAGTGCACCTTCCTCAGCTCCATTGAATAGAAACACGATTGGATGTTGAATTGTCTGTTTTGTTGTGGCAATAACACGCAGAACTTCCAACATCGTGACTATCATGAATCCCGCATCGCCGGCAGACGGAGATGCTGGCTTGGAGTCGAAGTGACTATTGACAAGCAGATAGGACTCACTCGTGCTGTTTTTGGGCGTTATTTTGACAGCAATATTTTGAACTCCTTGGTAGACCCTGAGTGAATGCTTTAAGGCGAACGTTCCAGAAGCCTGTGATAGATCGATTTCAATATCGAAATAATCTTTCAGCGCATCTTCCTTAATTTGCCTTAGTTCCTTCAGCAGGAACTGCACAGCCTCAACTTCATTTCCCTTACTTCCAAGCATTTTGAAACCTATATTAGACAATGTGTACAACTGTTTGTATGCACGCTGAGCTATGAATTCATTGTTGTTAGCGTCGTCCATTGTCAGAGCCGTGGGTAAGCGATAGAAAAATGGAATTACTATGGCAAAGAACAGAAGTCCCCAAAATAGCAGAAATCCACTTGCAAAGTACCAGGGTAGCCCTGAGCCATCCTTTCTTTTGAGCACATTTTCTGGGGCTTCGCCAGATTTATCCAATATCTAAATAGTAACAGATAATTGTGACTTTATGTATAGTTTTTAGCTTAATATTGTTTTGCTTACTAGTTTCTCCCTGTCAGCCATGGTGTCCCATCTCCGATGACTGCCAATTGCTAACTGTTAAGCTAAAGTATGTCTTGACTTTTTAAGTGTGCAAAAACATTATCATTTAAAACAATTTTCTGAAATATAATACCTATAAACCAATGAGGTAGACTGTCGATTGGTACTGCGAGGGTTGCTCAAAGAAAAACGTTGAATAGTAAGGAGGGCATAACTTTACTTTAAATATTTTTAAGGCAATTAGATCTTTGTTTATAACTTTTATATTTATATATTTGTTTATATACATTTTTACTGTTCCGAATTTAAAAATTTGTTTCAGCATGATCAAGTTTAAATAGGAACTAACAACTGTTTAAGCACCCCATTTTATTTTTATCAATATATTTGCTGTTGAGCACTTGTTATAAATATAAATTGAAAATTGTTTACGACGATATATATTAATTTTGAATATAAGTAGTCTATAGATTGCAGCATTTGTATATATTTCAACTGCTTTCCCGTTGATTTATGTACTGCTCAACAGTTCGATTGGTTTCGTTGCCTTTATTACCTAAAAGAGTTTATTATTAAGAAAGCTGAAAAAAGTATGCAATATAAAAATTTACTTTTATGTCAATCTATGTGTGGACAAAAAGTAATTGTAAATCTAATACAATAGAAATGATTGAATTGCTGAAGATAGGCAGCTCAACTTAGACAACGACAAGTAAAGATATGATTAACGAATATAATTCGTTACAGAATTATAAATAGTGAAAATGGAATTTAAATAGCTCACTACGTTAGAGAAGGCCTCTTTAAACTACCTCAAAGCCGATATGAAATAGCGAGAGCAAATGCATGAGGGAGTCTTGAAATGTAATGTGTATAATATAATTCAACAAATAATATAATTCAACAAGCAGTTGGGTAGGGGAGTGACAGTTATTAAAGCAGATTCGCTTGTTATGCCCCCAAACAGTTTCAAAATGAGAGTTCGGTGTATAAATTGTGAGTGGAAATGTATATAGCAAGCTAATGGGGGCGTGGCTGACACATTAATGGAAAATCAAAGGTAACAAAGATAATTATAATAAATGTTTGAAATTTATATTTATTTTACATTTGAGTAACTATTAAATATCTTTGTTTTCTCAAATATATATATATTGATAATTGAAATATATATAAAACAATCACACTGGATAGCTGCATTGAGTTTAAGTGTTAAGTGTTTTCATACGAACAATACCTGAAAGCTCAACTGGCAACTTGAAGCTTATCGAAACACTCATTTATATTTGGCTAATAGATTTATGAGTTAATAGCTTAATCATGTATATGAAATGATTTTATTATGCGATAACAATTGATATCGAAAATATGTAGTGTAATGATGCTATGCTGGAAAGTGGGGCTATGCGGGTGCATTAGCTTTTATATATATAAATTTGGGACATTGACATGCTCTTTTATGTTTATTTGAGCCTAGATCATCGCATTACTTAAGATTAGTAATTAAAAAGTTATAAATATTAATTGTATTTATTCCGAATTAGATTTACAAAATAATAGAAATCTTAAATCCAAATAGTTTCGATTTTAACAGGGTCTTTAAAAAATGTATCTCAGGTACACTGCTGGCCATTGAGCCAAAATGGAATATGAGGGAAATGAGGATGCGAACTTAACACTTTCGGCATCGCCTTCATTCTGAATATAATGTCCAGAGACTCCCAGTTGGAATAAGGGTACATTGAAGTTGCCATTTGGTTTCTGAAAGATTACATTTTTAATTTGGAAATCGGTTCACTCGCATATGTCTTACCGAAAACTCCAGGTTGAAGAGCAAAGGAGACCTATCAACGCCCATCACAATATATATAATATATGGCAGAGTCGAAGTTGGTTCTACATTGATGCTGCTCGGAAATGACCAGTCAGTTAAGGTCACATCTTCATAAGGTTGGATAAACAAATTCATGAACGTCGGTCCTGCCAAGCTGAACTCAAACCGGACAGTTGTGCTGTTCACAATTGTTTTGTTTAGCACACTTAATGTGGTTGGTTCGGGTGGTACAACTGGCTGGGAGCGAGGTAACCATTTGCTCTGCAGCCGATTTTCAACGTATCTAAACTCATATAATGGCATGCCACACAGCATGTGGCGTTCGCAGTTCGGTTTCAGGCTGACCAGTCCAGTCAGATTCACTTGTCCCAAGAAGGGGGTTTCTTCTCGCCTATCCTGGAAACTAAACAGATAGCCCGACTCGTCCTTGCTAAGAGTTCCATCGAACTCGTAAAACATGTTTCGCACTTGCTGAAATTAACTGTATTAGAGAGATTAGCAAGCAAGCCGTAAGGATACCGACCAGATAGGCAACACGTTGTCCGTTAGTCTTTGGTCGATACGGGAATCCCAGTTGTGTGCTGCTAGCCAATAATATGGATAGAGCTGTAATTCCGATCAGTGTGAATATGACAAAGCTGGGCCGTCGGAAGGTATTGATTAGTGGAACCTTAAAACAATGAGTGTCAGTAAATATTAATCGACTCATTTGGCCAACATACCAGGAAACCAAACGAAAGCACAGTTCCTATTCCTGCTAAGACAGCAATGTACAAGTCCCGATTAGTGGCGCTGCCTGCACGTGCACCCATTGGTGTCAGTATGACGATGAATAAGTATACGACGTAGCTGCTATACAAGAACGGAATTATTTGGCTTATTTTGAGGACACCCGTCCAGGCATAGCCGCGATCGTGCAGAGTTGTTAATAAGTTAAAGCCCAACGATAACACGTAAAAGGCCAGTGGAATCGCGACAATATATGTTGAACGCAGGCCGTACGCTGTAAGACCTACGGTCAGAAGAGTGAGGAGAACGGCCTGCGCATGCAATGCTAATTGGACATGGTAGGCAGTTGATATTTTATGCTGTGGATGGAAAACTGATTAGAAAAGTTGCAAGACTAACAGATAATGGACTCACGTTGCGTTGCACCGCATAGTAGATGGTAAGCGGTAAACTGAGGCCAATTAGTGAGGGAATCACGTATAGACCGACTACTAGCAGCGGAGTGCTGTAATATGCCAGCGATAGTCCCCAATCATCAAATACATTTGCAACTATCAAAGGAAGTGCCAGTCCGAGTACAAAACACACAACCTGCACGATGAGCACCAAGATAAACCAGCATACGACGTGTGAAAATGAGACCTTGCAGCCGGCAGTCATGCGCTGCATTGAAATGAAAATGAAAGTCAATGCAGCTACAGAAATGACGTAGTTCATCAATATTCCCGTCGACTCTGAATAGTAAATGAAATAAAGTCCCAGGAAATCGAAGAAGACAGTGTGTCCAGCCTCATGTGCCTGTGTGAAAATTATTAAAACTATATTCAAAGCTCTTCTAAATTGAGATTCACCTGAATGTCATAGAGCTCAGTTGCATTGGCCAATCCCCTAACCAGGCTGAGCACATTGTCGCCTGTGTTCTGGAAGGATTCACGAGGAATCACATCGATAAGGTCATATTTGGTATGGTAGATAAATCCATTGATACATTGACCCATATCCAGGCCTGTTTTGAGTAATTTATGCTGCACAGTTTCTTTGTGATTAGAAGGTCAAATAGGCTCACCTGGTATTTTGCCATACGTTCTGAACTGTCGAAAGTCTGTGTCTGATGGGATGATGCCTGCTTGAAAAATTTCCTCTGCAAACGTGGTACCAAAAGGATGTTTGGCATATTTTTTGTAGTACTAAGAATAAATAATTAAACTCTGAATAATTTTAACAGCGGGTACTCTTGAGGGCTCTCACCTTTACAAGCCACGGATGGTTTGGCCCAGTTTGAAAGAGAATTTCCCGACCACCACTCCCCGCAGCGTCAAGATTAATAAGAGCTCTGAAGAGGCCACAATGTCTTACTCATATATATTCTTATTAAACTTTTTATCTTACTTGCAGTTTGGGGCCCATTTGTGCTGAGTTACAAAGCCATGTGAGGCTAGCAGACCAATTTCTTCAGCTCCGTTGAACAAAAAAACAATTGGATGCTCGAAGTGCTGTTTTGTTGTTGCAATGACACGCAGGACCTCCAACATAACAGTAACCATAAAGCCAGCATCACCCGCAGACGCAGTAGCCGGCTTGGAGTCGAAATGGCTGTTGACGACCAGATATGACTGGCTCGTGCTCTGCTTGGGCGTTAGCTTCACAGCGATGTTCTGAACACCTTGGTAAAGATTAAGCGTAGTACCAGAGCCGAAAGCGCCGGAAGCCTGCGATAAGTCGATTTCCATATCGAAGTATTCGCTTAGCATATCGTCCTTAATTGCTGCCAACTTGCTGAGTATGAAATTAACTGCATCCACCTCATTTTCCTTGCTGCCAGTCAACTTATTGCCAATATCAGATAGAGCATACAGATCCTTGTACGCACGCTCAGCAATGAATTCATTTTTCTTGGCATCCTCCATTGTCAGAGCCGTGGGCAAGCGATAGAAAAATGGAATCACAACGGCAAAGAAGAGAAGCGTCCAGAACAGTATAAAACCGGCTCCAAAGGTGCATGGCAGCTTAGAATTGCCCTTATTTTTGACCACATAACCAGATGCTTCGATAGAACCGTTTGAGAGCTACGCAGAGCGAATAATGAAGCAATTGAGTCAAGTAGAATTGATTACAAGTCTTTGTGGATCTTACAAGACTCTCCTTGTCTGCCATTTTGGAATATGACTACTCGTCTGCCGAATTAAAATCAAACTGCGAGGCAAAGTGCACTGTAAACCGTTTTTATACCCCGAACCCAACCACAATGGCAATACAGGGTATTATACCTTGGTGATAATGTATATTACAGGCAGATCAAGGAGTGGCATATCCTATAAAGAAAGTATCTATCCTTGATCACCGATCTCGTCAACTACTAAAGCCAAAGACTTTAAAATTTAGCTATATATTCCTGCATAATATGCACGCAGGGTATCTCCTAGTTTGGCACTCCCGGCTAGAGCACTGATATTCAAAAGCAACGGAAATCATGCGGATTGTAAAACTACGCTCTAAAAATTCTATTATGCCAATCTAATGACTTATATGTGGTCAATTAAATCATAAATTGAAACTGCTTTAATTTGAAAATGTTCAAGATAATGAGTTAGATATAGGAAAAGTATAGATATGAACCTTTTTAATAACTAGAGTTCAGGGTGAGAGAGATGACGAGAACCATATGTTCATACATCCATGCATTTAGTAATCAATACACGCTTGAAGTACGTGTGATATCTCATCACATATACTATTGTATTCTCATATGGTATTTTTATAACTTAGCTTATTTCAGTTTGTAATTTTGCATTTAGATATCACAAGTTTTCAAGATAAAGAATGTTTTCGTGTGCTTTGATGTGAGGATATGGAAACAAAACCTGAAACCTCGACTAGAAACTTGAAGCTTATCGACGTACTCATATTTATTAGGGTAATAGATTTATGAGTTAATAGCTTGTTCATGTATATGAAACGATTTTATTATGCGATAACAGTTAATATCGAAAATATGTAGTGTAATGGTGCCCTGAAAGGTGATACACGGGAGCATTGGCTGTTCTTTAATATGCGTATCTTTTGTGACAGAGTGTTAAAATCTCCACTCTTAGAAGAATAAATACTGTAGAAGAACTGCTGAGCTACTTACTGAGCTAGTATTCTGTGACTGGCACTCGAAGAGAAAGGAGGCATTAAAACTTTGTGAACTAGAAAAAAATAGAAATCAGTGAAAAATTAGCATTAAATTTATAATGAATTTTTGTTAAATCTTCTTGGCGGTGCAAAAATAGTTAAATGCCTTAAATTTTTGGAAGATCAATAGACTAACTCAATAGTACCGTTTTTAACATTGTTTTCCCATGGATGTATCATTTTTGTCAGTTTGACACGCACCGAAAGTCAACAGTAACTTAACAAAAACTAATTAACACGTGTCTGACATTCCCTAAGCCAACGACATGATGAACCGTTCAATATCTAATATTGATCGCCACGATAGAGTGCTTCGAAATCCCATACAACAGCCAGAATTCAAGGATTGGACATTGAAAAGAAGTCAAAGATATCTGTACACTTACCATGTAGTATAATGACAAAATATTGGAAATCGTCGTGTTATCATGATATCATGGAATTTATGGATTTGGTTTCCAAGAACTCAGTTATAACGCCAAGCTACGTAAGTCTATAAAAAAAATTGCACCATAAAACAAATATAAATAAATTTCCTAGCATTTTTTTTTAATTCTTTTGGCAAAATCAGTCAAGGAAGTATAGTATAAAAACAATTTTATTCAGAGCTTCAAATATTTTTACTCGTTTTCTTTGTGAAATTCACTTCGAATGCTTTTTTGACTTACATGTATAATAATTTTAGTGAATGAATCTCAACATTCTCCCTGAATACGATATATAATATATATATTTTCTTTGACTTTACAAAAATATTTATTAAATATTTTATAAAAAATTTTATAATTTTTATAATTCAGTATATATAATGTATATATATTTTCTTTAATTTACAAAAATATTTATTAAATATTTTATAAATAACGTATAACTTCCCCATTCAGTGCATCTCGCGTCTGTTAAGAAAATAATTTATTAGTCCCTAAAGCGATTATCAAATAGTTGTTCGTTTTTTTAAATTAACTTAACCTTAGGCTAACATAATTTGGTAACTTTAAAATATATATCTCTGGTATAAGGATGGCCAGGTAGCCACAATTGAATAGGATGGGAATGAAGCTGCTAACTTCTCACTTGAGGCATCTCCCTTAGCTCCGACGAAGTGCGCCGATACACCCACTTGAAGGAGCGATACTTTTAAGTTACCATTTTGCTTCTACAAAGAACAACGTGAAATATAATTCATAGAATACTTCACTTTTCAGATTCGCATTTGAACTTACCGTTAAATCCACGAAAAACTTTAATGGCGAGTTGCCAATGCCATAGTTGATGAAAATATGATAGGACAAAGGAAATGGTGGCGGCTTCTGTAGATAGCTCTCCAGAAATGACCAATTGCTAATTGTCACATCTTCGTTGGGCTCAAAGAATAGGCTCATTTGAGGAGGGCCCGTTAAAGAAAAGTCGAACCGCACAGTGGTTGAATTCAGATAGGTCTTGTTTAACATTTTCAACGAAGCTGTTCCCGGGGGCTCGATGGGCTCTGAGCGTGGCAACCATTTGCTCTGCAGCCGATTCTGAACGTATCGGAAATCGTACAGCGGCATGCCACACATCATGTGCTTGTCGCACCTCGACTTTATGCTAGTTAATCCTGTCAAGTCAACATTTGTGCCCAGAAGTAGACTTTCTTTCCGTCGATCCTGGAAACTAAACAAGTAGCCCGACTCATCCTTACTAAGAGTGCCATCAAACTCGTAGAACTTGTTTCGAACTTGCTGCAATTCATTGTTTTATGGATGAAATTAGATTAAGTAGGTTATATGTGAAACCTACCAGATATGCAATTCTTTGTCCGTTAGTTTTCGCTCGATAGGGGAATCCAAGTTGCGTGCTACTCGCTAAGTAAATGGAAATGAATGTAATTGCAATCAGAGTGAAGATGACCAAACTGGGTCGTCGCAATGTATTGATTAGTGGGACCTGAATAATTAAAGTATTAGGATTAAAATAAAAAGTTGAATTGAAAAGTAAACTGACCAGGAAACCCAATGATAGAATCGTTCCCAATGCGCAGAGAGCGGCAACGAATGCATCCTTATTAGATGCGCTGCCAGAACGCCCAGTCATTGGCACGAGCACCACAATGAACAGATAAAAAATATAACTGCTGTAGACGAATGGAACTATCTGGCAGATCTTTAGCAGACCAGTCCAAGCATAGCCACGATCGTGCAGAGTAATCAATAAGTTCAATACCAACGGTATCACATAGAAAAGAAGGGGTATCATTAGGATGTATGTGGAACGCAAGCCAAATGATGTGAGGCAAATGATTAGAACGGCCAATATGACGGCCTGAGCATGCAATGCTAGCTGTAGATGGTAACCACATGAAATTTTATTCTGAAAATGAAAAATCGGTAAAAGAATGTTTGTCAACCAAGTTAACAGAGGAGATACTAACGTGGCACTGGATACTGTAGTAGACAGTAAGAGGCAAACTAAGGCCAATAAGTGAGGGACAGACATATAGCCCGATCATAAGAATCGGCGTGCTAAAGAACGTCAGCGATAATCCCATTTTGTCCATTACAAATGCTACTACTATGGGAAGAACCAGTCCAAGTACAAAGCAAATCGACTGGATGATAAGCACCAATATAAACCATCGTATCACGTGGCATATCGAGACGTTGGATACAGCTGCCATCCGCCACATTGAGATGAAAACAAACAGAAGGGTAGCGCCGGCGACGGTAAAGTTTATAACTGATCCCGTGTCCGCTGTATAAGTTATGAAAAAGAGTCCCAGGAAGTCGTAGTAGACAGCTTGTCCAGTTCTGTGGGCCTGTCAATTTGGATGCTAAGAATAAATAGAATAACATTTTCAGTGTGATGGACTTACCTCCATGTCCTCCAATTCAGTTGCATTCGATAATGCTCGAACTATACCGAGCACATTGTCGCCGGTATTTTGCAAGGACTCTTGAGGAATAACATCGATCAAATCATACTTAGTGTGGTATATAAAGCCATTGATAGCCTGAGCAAGGTCTAAACCTATAAGCACACACAGTTACAGTCCTCTATGTTGGATTTTCGATGCAAAAGCTGTATACATACCTGGTATGTGATCTTTAAAAATAGTGAAGTCTGAATCAGAAGGCAGAGCTCCAGTCTGATAGATTTCCTCGTTCAATGTTGTGCCAAATGGATGCTTGGCATATTTATTATAATACTGCATATGAAAGAGGAATTAAAAAAAATATATAAAAGTCTTTTCAACGCTCAACTTACGTCCACAAGCCAAGAATAATTTGGGCCAGTCTGTGCAAGAAGTTCTCGTCCACCACTTCCAGCCGCATCGAGATTTACAACAGCTCTGCAAATGTTTTGGTCAAGCTATGCATGAAGTAAGAAAGAAATTATATAAGATATTACTCACTTAATGTTGGGAGCCCATTTGTGTTGGTTGATGAAACCATGGGAGGCCAGCATAGAGCTTTCTTCAGCCCCATTGAACAAGAAGACGATCGGGTGCTGAAAGCTCTGCTCAGTAGCAGCCATGGTTCGCAGAACCTCCAGCATTGTGACTATCATGAAGCCGGCATCTCCGGCAGACGGCGTTTCTGGCTTCGAGTCAAAGTGGCTGTTGACCAGTAGATAGGCATCGCTAGTGCTGTTCTTCGAAGTAATTTTTACAACAATATTTTGCACTTGTTGATACACGATAATCAAATCCTCATATTTAAATTGGCCGGACACTTCCGATAAGTCGATTTCAATGTCAAAATAATCCTTAAGCGAGTCTTGCTTGATTTGGTTGAGCTCCTTAAGGAGGTACTGTACAGTATCAATCTCATTTTTCTTTGAGCCTACCATTTTCGTACCGATATTTGACAGGTAATAGAGATTTTTATAGGCCCGCTCCGCAATGAACTCGTGGCTTTTCACGTCCTCCATCGTTAGCGCCGTAGGCAACCGATATAAATAGGGTATAACTACGGCGAAAAAGAGTAGTCCCCAGAACAGTATAAATCCACCTGCATAATACCAGGGTAACTTTGCGCTGTCCTCATTCTTAGTTCCGCACTTGGGCTTATGCTCAAATCTGTTGCCAGACTCATTGCAAATCTATTGGATATATTTCAAATATAAAAGTTGAAAATTAATTTATTTATCCAATTGTATTTACGAGTTTCTCCTTGTCACACATCCTTTTTTAATGTGTAATTTTTCTGGTGAGTCCAATGGTGGCCAATTGTGAACTACTTCAAACTTTGGCTGTTCGGCTGTTTTATAGCAATTAAGTCCAACATAACTTTGATATGAAAGAATAACAGAATTCAGTAATAATAAAATCATATAATTTGATTGTTTGATAAAAAATTTAGCGAGGGTAGTTACAAAGTACGGCAGTTTTGATACCAGAAGATATTATTAATATTAACTACATTTTACCCCATGTAGAGACATAGAATACACAGCTTTTACCTACGCTTTTTTGTCTATTTATTACTTTACTCTTGTCTTTCCCAACAAGTAAAACATTTATGCCTTTATCTAAAGTGGAACCTACATCTTAATTAACTTATAAATACAACAGTAGAGCATACCTCTGGCAAGTCTCCATAACTTTTGTGTCAGCCCTCTTGCTGTCAACAGTCTATTTTATTGGCTAAGAGGAGCTCTCTTATTATTTGCGGCACTTGCCTCAAATTTAATGAACCGTCTACGATATAAATTACCGATATCAGCGCTGAATCAGCATTATACTATTTTGTGATATCTCTAGTTTCGAAAAGCGCCTTGTTTATAAAGCAGTTTTATTAGCAGTCTTCGAAAAGTGCCTCATGCACCTGTTTCGATGAAAGCTGCTTGAGTTTATAAAAAAATACTTTATTAACAATTTACAATAGATTTATGAATTTATTATAATGGAACACGCTTCATTATTTACTGATTAAACTCGTACGTATTGATCGATCAATATATTTTTCTTACTATATTACGTTGACGTCTTTCCGTGTGGAACTCTTTATTATCAAAATACAAATTACTTATCGAAAACAGTCTGGAATAATATTAAAGAGATATTTAATATCTGCAGACTATAGTATATAGTGGTAATTTTACATGTAGGTAAATATAGTGCACCATAATTACATAATAATCCGTAACATTAACATTAACAGCAACATTAATAATAATATTAATATTAACATGAGCATTAACATTAACAACATACACATTACCTCTTATATTAACAATATATATATATATATATATATATATATATATATATATATATATATATATATATATATATATATATATATATATATATATATATATATTAAAAGCATTAACTTATATATAATTAACACATGACAATTTATTAATAACTAATAAGTTAATGATGATTAACAAAATTACCATTAATTATTTTTTTATAATTATCATTAAAACAAATGCTTAAAATTATTATTAAAACTAATACAATTTTGGTTAACATTATTATTATAACTAATACAATTTTGCTTAAAATTATTATTATAATTAATACAATTTCGCTTAAAACTATTATAACTAATACAGATTTGCTTAAAATATGCTTAACGTATTATTAACTATTTAAATACTTACCACACACTCAGACGAAGAAGAGGAGCACTGCACTGCACGACTGATCACCAGCAGATCGGGGATGCGACTGAAGAAGCGCAACAGCCGGCTTGCCCTTATATAGGCCCGAGACTCCCGCTCAAAATCGAGCTCAGCTAGTTTTTTCACTCGATCGTTGAGCGACCAATGGGAGAATCTGTCTACTGCTTTGTCAAGCCTACTCTTCTCAAATGTAAGCAAGAAACGAATGCTGCTGCATACATTTGCACCTCTCTTCTGCTACTCTTTTGAAGCTCTTCTGCTTGCTTTATTAGCTACAGTGTTTGTCAAATTTACAGACAGGATAAGCTTCTTTCTGTCTGTTACATATATTTTAATATAAATATTATATTATATATTCTCAATAATTATTCTCGAAGACGCCTCCTAGTAATAAAATAAAATAAAACAAAATATATTTATAGTTATATATCATATATAAATAATAATAATAAAATATATATATTTCTGATACACAATATTTATTACACGATCTGCTATAATACTTCGGAATTTGGAAATAGATAAGAAATGTAGCCAATATATCATCTATTGTTCATAGACATAACAATTATTCATAGCAACTGAAATGGAATGATTTATTTATGTATTATTAAATTACTTAAAAGCTAATAATAATTATGGGCTGCCTTCACAGATGCCTTATGCTACAACACATTCGTAAATCATGTTACGAGATATACATATTTATCAGATTCTATCAATGTACATTAAATTAATTGGGTATTGGTTCAACAATAGTTCAACATCTTAAGGACTATAATTAGTAAATGAATATCGATATCTATTAAAATCTCTGTTGATGGCGCAGTTAGAAGTACCAACTCTCGTAGGTGCCTACCCAGGCCTGAATGTAGGCGTACGAGGGAAAGCTGTCGAGGTGTGCGCCCAGCCCTTGAGATCTTTGGATTTCATGGTGCACCCAATGCCCACCGATGCCTATTTCCAAGGTGGGCGTGTCAAACGTTGACGTACTCTTCTGCAAATTATATGAAGGCTCAATTATTGTTCGAAGCAGTTAGTTAAAGCCTGACGAACCTCAACGTCGATGGTGAACTCAAGCGCACTATTATCTAGACCATAAGAGAAATATACAAAATATGGGGGTGGCTCATTATTATTAATGAGCGTCTCATTGAAGGACCAGTCCAGCAGCTTGGCACTGTTCTTGACATTCACAAAGATGGTCATATGATCGGGACCTGCCAAGGAAAAGTTAAACCGCCTTTGCATCGAGTTGTCCAGCTCTGTTGTTTCCTGTAAAATCAGACTAGGATAAGGTGCCGGTATCGCCGGCTGCTCCTTTACCGGTACCCAAAGACTATATTCGCGTGCGCTGTGCCAACGGTGATTGTATAAGGGCATGCCGCAGAACATTTCCTCATCGCAAAATTCGCTGACCTTATGTGGATTTCCAATCGTCTTAATTTCATCTGAATATTAAGAGAGAATATAACGATTTTGAATATTACACGAACTGCTCAGAGACAAACCTTCAGCTATATTGAAGCGTCGATCCTGGGGATAGACATAAAGGCCGCTCTCATCAATGCGTGTGGAGCCATCAGCATTATGCAAAATGCGATGTGCATGCTACAACAATGAAATAACTTAGTATACCCTTCAAATTGTGTACTAATCTCTCCTTATGGCTCAACTTACAATCATTGCGTAACGCTGCACAGACGTCTTGGGCTTGTATGGAAAGCCTGCATCAGTTACTGCAATGATGATGAACAGAATTGTGCCCGCCAAGAAGCAGAGGACAATTGTTCTCGTCTTGCGGAAGAACATAATCAGCGGCACCTGTGTCCAATATCCAAGATCGATATAGATCGTAAAGACAGTTAGATGTTAAGTACTTACAATAAAGCCGGCAAACATAACCGAAAACAGCCACATCATGAGAGCTATGGATATATCGGGATTAGCTGTTCCGCCAGAGCGTCCTCGCATTGGTATCAGTGTCTTTAGGGCCACTGTGCAGATGTAGGTGAAGTATGTGAAGGGTAGTATCTGACAGACCATGACAGCAATGGCAAACCAATAGGCTACATAAAGAATGGTAAGAATACTTGAATAGTTGAGTCAACTGGCTTAAATACCTTTGCGATGCCATTTGGTAACCAGGTTCACAACCAGAGCCACAATATCGAAGAGCACGCACAGCATAATAAAATAGGCCGATCGAATGCTGAGGGCTGTCAGCACGATTATCAGCAGAACCAGGCAAACGCAGTGAGAGTGCATGAAGAGCTGCACGCGAAAGCCCAGACTGAGCGGGTCCTTTTTGGTCTTCTCGAGATAGAAGGCGGGCAGAATGCTCATGCCAAAGATGATTGGAAACACGTATAGACCGATTATTAGCCACATCTGTGTAAACCAGCTGAGTGATCGATTCACACCGTCCATGAAAACAGCCACGAGTAGAGCCAGTCCTAAGGCCAGGCCTAGAGAGACCAGCTGTATGCCCAAGACAATACCGAAGCGTACCAAGACGCCCTGAATGCTGCAGCCAGATCGCACGGACATAAAGTACACGGAAATGCCGATCGCCAGGAGCGCAATCGCGCCGACAATCATGTTAATAATTATGTTTGTGGTTGCCGTGTAGAAAATTATAAACCAGCCCAGGAAATCATAGAACACATTGTGACCTTCGGCGTGAGCCTGAAAATTTGGAAAGTTTGGATCATAAAATAGAAAGGCAAAAAGCCGCTTCCTTTCAAGGCCACTTACCGCAGTGTCATCCAATTCTGGAGCATTTGCCAGAGCCCTGGCCAGGGCCAACAAATTATCACCGGTGTGTTGAAAGGAGGCACGCGGAAAAACATTGACTCGATCGAATTTGGTGTGATAAACATAGCCATTGAAGATGTACGCCATGTCCAGGCCGGGCACACCTCCATAATCGCGAAAGATGCGAAAATCTGTGTCTGATGGTATCAAACCAGCGTGGAATATCTCCTCGGCCAGAGTGTTTGCAAAGGGATGCGGCACCTTGCGATAGTATTTCATGAGCCAGGGATGATTGGGCCCAGACTGAAACAGAATCTCTCGCCCACCGCTGCCTGCCGAATCCAGATTAATCAGAGCTCTGCGTAAACCGTAAACATTAATAGATATTCAAATTAGTGCACAATTAATGTTCACTCACTTGCAGTTCTTGGCCCATTTGTGCTGCGTTATGAAGGCGTGTGACGCCTGCAGTGGATTCTCCTCGGCTCCATTGAACAGAAAGACAATGGGATGGGCCAGCGGCTCATCTGTTTTGGCAATGACGCGCATCACTTCTAGCATGGTCGCAACCATGGAGCCATCATCGCCAGCACCCGGACTGCCGGGCACTGAGTCGTAGTGGCTATTGATCAGCAGATAGTTCTCGTTCGTGTTGCCCTTCTCGCTCAGCTTGACGACCACGTTCTGTATGCCTTGGTACATGTTAACCATGACCCAGTGCATATAAGCACCGCTTGCCTGCTGTACATCGATCTCGATCTCAAAGCGATCGAGCGCCTGCGCCTGCACCTTGTCCACTTCATCCCTGATAAACTGCACGGTGGTTACCTCGTTGGCCACACTGCCCACCACGCGTGGCCCGATGCGAGTCAACTCAATGAGGGTATCCTCGGCGCGCTGTGCAATGAAGTCTCGTGGATGGGCAGCCTCATCGGTGCGGGCCAGCGGCTTGGGCATGTGATTGATCTGGGTGTTGACCAACGACAGATAGATGATAAACCAGAAGCCGAAGAAGGCTGGCGCATAGTACCATTGCAGCTTCTTGGGCACCTCAAAGTCCACATCGATGTGGTACTTGGAGTTGAACTGCACCAAAATGAAAGAGATTTAATTATTTGACCGATTATTATTGAACTGAAAGTGCTTAATTAGTAGCTTCAAATACTATTTATAGCCAGTGGACAGCTAGTCGCTATCTAATCGTAGAACAAGTGCTGGGAACGAGAGTTCAGCCGCGCCCACTACCAATGTCAGGGCTAATCGAAATAATGATCGAACTTTAGTGTTTGCCTGGCACGTTTATCATTTGGATTGCATTCCTTGTGAATTGGCTATGGCAACAAGCCAATTTATTTGCCCCCTGGGTAGCCAATTGAACTCTTATTGTTTTATTGGCTTGCTTCTTGATAAGCTGTTCTGTTGTGCAAATGTTGGATTTCAACTGAAAACAAATGAAACGAATGCCTGACTTTGAAATCGAATATGTCCCAATTGCTATCTGTGATTCATGTGGGCGTGTGGACAGCGTTTCATCGCACTTGTGCGATTATAATTAAATTGCTGCAATAAATTGATTAGGTTTCGAAAATCGCCAAACATTCTCCACAAAGTGCAACAACAATTTGCAAAACGAGCGGCTGCTTTGATCTTCCGCCTATAGCAAAAGTAATTGGACTTATCTAATAAAAAACCGATTAGCCGCAGTGCTTGATGGCAGCAGTAGACTTCACTTTGTCCATTGCGATAAGTTAAGATCTAGCACACGTCCGAAACGTGCCTATCACTTGAGTTAACTGATTAAGAATTGATCGCTTAACCTGCCTTAGATTACAAATAATTAGGCATCGCAATTCTTAATTTAGTAACTTTATCTATTATAAAATTATACTATCGAAAAAATGTCAGCCGACAATTCAATCAATTTTTATCACCATTAAAATATGATTTAGTCATTAAACATAGCTTGGAATATTTCAGTTTGCTGACGGTAGTCTCAGAATTAAAATGTATTTAAAAATACTTAATATTTCGTTTATAATTCTTAAAATATTTCTAAAGTCATTAGAGCATATCTTAGATAAGTGACATCAAACATGGAATTAAGTTCTGCTTAGGTATAAACATATTATGGGAATACAATTCCCCTGATGTATGAAAACCAATTGAACTCTAATAAGCCTAGAAAGCTTACTCTTACTCATATACACAAGTTTGTATCATATTCATGTTTTTAACACTAATAAGCTCGGACAATTGACACTATTGTTATTCAATTAAAAATTTTCCATAGCATCAGTTCTGCAGCGTCAAATGCAGGGCATTGTGTAGAAATATAATAAGCTAACTCTTCCTACACATACTATATAGCTTACCCAGTTTCAACTGAATTTAAGAATATGGCATTCATTAGATTAAGCAATAATCGAGGCTTGAATCATTTTTGCTCAATTGTCCAAGAACTGAAATCGTCCATGGATAGCTGTCTCCATTGGCAAATCGTTTAAACTCTCATTAAAAGGTGGAAATTTAGATTTTCTTCAATTCAATAATAAATAAAAGTTTAAGAACACTTCAACTAAATCTTAAAATTACTAAAAATATTTAAAGCTTTCTAAAAATCTTCACAAATTATTTAATTTAATATCAGACAACATTTACATTCACACTTAATTTTATAAATATTTAAGTAGCTTAAAGACGTGTTTCTTTAGAGATTTCAATTAAATTTTAAGTTCCAGAAAATGTAATTATCAAATATGATTTAACTGCTCTCAATAGCTTTCAATACGTACAGTCATTGTAAAATGTTTTGAAACTGGAATATATAGAGATACTCGATTATCACTGGTATTTATCCTTTGAGTACTTGAACACTGCACAGCACTGGATCGGCTAGACGATTTGGTGGATCGTTGACGTCTTTCAGCCGTCGCTGGAATTGCACAAATGAAGCGAATGCGAATTGCACGGCGTTCTTAAAATATGTATGAGCGCAAAGGTGTTTACTGAAGCACCTGGAAATGGCCAACGTCAAAGTTATCGTTAGGCACTCAATATCTAATGCTGATACGATAAACACGCGCAATTATTGTTGCCTCGACTCGAGCAGCGAATTCGGCATGATTTTTGTCTTAATGGATGTTATTATCGCCGTTGTTGTTGTTGCTGTTGTTACGGTAGTAAAGAGGCACCTGTGTAGTAGTCCATAGTGTGTTACGATTACGTCTTGTTGTGTTTTTGCACTGTTTTTATTTTTTTCAGTGTGTTTTTGTTTCTTAACGGGTTTTATCTTTATGACGAAGAAATATGATATTCTGTTTGGGTGCGAAATACTTTTTCGCGCTGTTGCTGGCGGCGTGGCACCTTAGAAGTGTTTGCACTGTACCCAGTTTATCTATCTAATAACCGAATGGCATCGTTAGAGTGTCACAGTCAATAAATACTTTTCACTAGCTCTGCTCCAGGCCCTCAGTAAGCGTCATTACGATGCCTCACCCACTCACTGACTAACTGACTAACTAACCAGCATCGATCCAGTCCCGAGCCCAGATACATTCACTGGCATAGAGATAGTCAATAGGCGGTTGTGCCTGGCTGCCTATGGCACTTGTCTCTGGCCTCTGATTTTGTAATGCATGTTCCTCTATAGACTTGACTAATTAATTTTTGCGCTGTTTTGCCGTTGATTCCATTTGAGTTTATGTGTCATTCCATTCTTTTGTTTTCCCTCCGCTTGGCGCATTGGCAAATTCTCGCGTTGGGCTCGGATTTTGGAACTGGGCGGCGCAGCGAATTACTTTGATTTCGCTTGATTAACAAATTGTTTTCATTATACGAATCGTTTTGTTTGCCAGCCAGCCCATATATGTATGTGTGACTGTGTGTGTGTGTGTGTCGACTAAGTTATGCTTGAATGCATTCAACGCTGGGAAATTGACTCGTCCGAACTATCCGAAATTATGTCAAATACTATTTTCGCGCTCGACTGCGCGACAACAGCGACAAGTGGCAGCAGCGCAGCTTCATTTTTAGAATATTCAAATAAATCCCAATTTGTTAGAAATTGTAGCAGTGCCTTTGGCAGCTTATCGAACATCTTCTAAAAAAAGATTGACTTAACAACTCAAGATGGAAAAAGCTCTTTAGGCTCTATATATGCCATCTCTAATTGTAGCAAGTCAGAGTGATTTAATGCATGACTAGGCATCTGCTTTAAGCTGCCATAATCAAATTTATACTATATATACTATAAGAACTAAAGCAAAAGTAAAAATCTACTTTTATGCAGTTTGAATAGTCTCAATATCGATTTATTTTCTCAAATTTCTACAGTCCTTGATTGAAATGTAAATACCGAATCCACTGAGCATGTGCATGGGCTAAAGTTAGAGAAAAGAAATGAGCAAATGTTGCACAAGCAAGCATACACAAAGGCAGTGTAAATATTTCCACAAACTTTGTAGAATTAGAATTTCAAAAAAAAAAAAAATATATTCCCCAGCGCACACTCAAATTTCTTCAATTCCCACAATGTCACGAATCTTATTGCAAAAATTCGCTTGTTGGCGAGTTCTCATCTTACGTTTCTCAAGGTCGCAAGTATAAGATTGCCATAATCTGAATTACTGCCGATTGGCACAATATATACACATACTTATATACGAACCCATAGCCGAGGTATATGCCATTGTATATATATTTTTATAGCACACGATAATTGCGATTATGTGCGATTCCAGTAAACATATGAAAACAAATTTCAAAATTTGTAGTCAGATGACGCATCTAGTAATACTGCGTTATTTATACATTTAAATTTTATTTCATTAAAATATTTATTATTCATTTGTTTTGCACTGAAGCCTGTGCGCATACTTATAAGCGTGAGTGTGTGGCTACCGCATGAAAAATCTGTGCTCAGCTTTGCCTGAATTGCACAAAGCATAGAAATCAAATAGACTGAGAACTTAAGAGCTTGAGTCCTAATCCACTAGCTTTTGAGAACTTATCGCCAAGCAATTATCAATTATAGCCGTAATTATAGCTAATTATTTGTGAAGTCACAGCCTTATCGCTCTGCGAATTGCTGCCAATATCCATCGTATTCGTATCGATATGGATTCGCGCGTCGCTTCCTACACAATGATAAACAATTCCTACCTTTGAGCTCGATCCGCTGCTAAAAAGGCGAGGTGTGGAAGGCGCCTTCTCAAAGAAAACTTCAATAATAATAAAATAATATAAATGAGTTGTATAATGCTAATAGAATCCTATGTAAGCAAATGCTAAATTCAATAATGAGGCTGGATAGAGGCTATCGATCATGTATTTAAATACTCAACAAAGAGTTATAAACCTGAGTTGATTCTATGAAAAATCAAGTATTATTTAGGGAATCATTCGATTTCCAGAAAATGAAAACTTATTTGTGGTTTATGAGTGGTAATTGAGATATTGTAAAGAGCAATTGAAATTGCCCTCGCAACGATTAAGTCGATAATGTGTCTAATTCAGTGAGCTTATCATAAGCCCACGAGCAGCTCTTGAGGTTCAGGCACTAAAAATCCATAAATTGGGGAATCATGTATATATAATTGCTGCTAATCGTGAGCTAACTATTTAGTATGCGAACGGGCGATACGCATAACAGAAGTTTGATTAACCAGTGCCTGGATAGGATTGGGATTTCGAACAGTTCACCTAGTATTCTGTATTGAACATTATGTCGAGCTGCAGCAACGACAAAAACAACCTGAACAACGACAACGACGATGACAACGACAACGACAACGACAACACCATCATCAAGTGAGTTCGATGAGCACAACAAGTTCTCATTTGCTCTTATATGTGGAATGCGCGGTGATCTCTTGCTCTTTGCCACTGGGCTGTCTCTCTGACGCGCTCTCTCCTTCTGCGTCTCCTGCTGCGCGGCTCTGTGCCCGGCCAGACGTGCGGCGACCGTCGAAGGCGACAGTTGTGGTTGTTGTGTGTGTTCTCGTGTCAGCTGATGGCACATGTTGCTGCCTCTGACGTTGGCCGCCTTTCAGCATTTTATATAAGCATATAGAAAAAAAAAACAATACAAAAATCGAATACAAATATTCGCGTCAATTTTCATCAAGTGTTAATCAGCATAAATAATTGTGAGTGTAAATCATTAAATAGGAAAGAAATAAGAAAAGGATCGTTCATTGGCAACAGTTAAGTGCGAGTGCAAGTGCGAGTGTGAGTGTGAGTGTATTCAAACATTTTGTTTGGCTTCTTGTGTTGGCAGTTGGCTGCTTTCTTTCAACAACAATAAACACGACCGCAACTTCCTTTGCGTCTGTCTGCTCGCGCTGGTGTTTGTGTGGCAAGTTGCAGACGCTGTTGCAGAGCGTCAAGAGGCAGGTTATTGACTTCTTATGTTGCGGCCCTTGCGGCACATGTCGCACATTTAGCTTGCAGCATGTAGCTGTATCTGTATCTGTATCTGTCAGTTACTATAGATGGGATTGCCTCTTCCGCTTCGTTTCTCTATCTTCGAGAAAACCCAAATAAACGTTGTTGCTGTTGCTGTTGCTGCTGCGGCTGTTGTTGTCACAGTTGATTGCCGTCGCCTCGCCGATTGTTTGGATTTTCTTCCCATTTAGATAGCCTTTAAATAGAATTTTCTTTAGCCTCCCCCACACAAGTCATTTGCATGACTCGTTGGCTCCGATGCGTGTTATGCTTTGTTTATTTCGATTCAACTCTGTGGGCGTGACCACACAAAGATGTGTGTAAAGCATATGAATTAACAACAAACAACCGACACTAAGACCGAAACTCAAATTGAAATTGAAACTGAAACTGAAACTGAAACAGTAGCTGATTAATCCACTTGCTTGCTAAATTGATTAACCACACGTCCCAGCACCGCATCACGATGAGCTGCGTGCACTGTGCATTGAGTGTGCTCCACTTACACATTCATCCCGCTCCCGTTCCCTCTCCGTCTCCGTCTGCGATGCGAATTTGTTGTTGCCTTTGCTGCGTTTCGGTCTGACGGCCGCACTTAATCGGCGCAGCGCAGTTGGCCCCTGAGGGTCATGAGGCGCATTTCTATAAATGGGTCGCTGTCGCAGGGACCCCAATTGCATTTTGCCTGCACTTTAATCGTCAGCCACAAGCACAAACTGCCTCTTCACTCTCTCTCTCCCTCAATAAAAAAAGAAAAGAAATGAGAGCATCCAACACTTTTCTGTTTATAGGCTAAGCGAACTGCAGCCATTTGGCAGAATTCTTTGTATACAAATTTTGTAGTATTTTTTTAGCTATGCGTCACATTCAATTTGGTTTAGCACGGGCTGCACTTCAGAGGCTTTCTAGGAGGGAACTCTGCATAGACAGAGGTATTATGGAAAAGCTAGAGGTGAAAGCTTTTGTTAACTTGCCTAGCGCAGAGCTTAGAGCTTTTGACGCCTAAACTTAACTGAGATTCACGTGAATTTGTGTGCCAAGGCATCAATTTTGGCCTACTTTTATAGGGTATTCGAGATTCAATCTATCTGCAGCGTCGTCAAATGCTCAGCTACACACAGATAAGTCAAAGAAACGACATATAGCAGATCATTAAAGCTAAATATTATGCGCTCAGTTCGCTATAAATAAAAACGAAATCAAAATTTACAAAATGTCCCGGTTAATTTACGGTTGCTTCTTATGTCTAGAATCATTTCAGAAACGAATATTTGCTCAACATTTATTGTTTTCATTAGCTTTTTTCCTGTTTACGAGCTAAACGCCACATGGAAAAGCAGAATATTTTTGGGGCAACACATGTGGCCGCTATGCTCAGCTTGATGCTTGTTACAGAACTAAAACAATCGATGACAAAATCTCCCAAAAGATTAGGTTTGCAGAAAGAAAATGACGCTAGTCCTGATTGTGTTGCCTTATCACTTCAATGAATTTTCGCTCAGATAGGAAGAGGTTCTCGCCAACTCCGAACACATGTTAACGATTTCCCAATATGATATTAGTTACGAACTCATTTGGCTATCTGACGGTTGTTTCCATTCCAATGAGTCAATGGATTTTGAGTACTTTTGATTGATTCGCCCAATTTATCACAAAGGTGTCACTCGGCCTGTTTCGAGTGGAGTCCACTTGAGAGCCGCAGACATCGCCTGTTCAAGTCAACCGATTACCGTGTCTATAGATTTTCGGGTATTCAAGTGGGTGGTCCGACAAATCCCAACTATTTAATCGCTGATTGTGGCCAAAGTGACTTCCCGATGCCTGACTGTGACGGGTTCATATTTAGGCGTCATCACTGGACAATCAATTAAGTCAATTGCATAGCCGATGGTGCGATGGGGTAGCGCCATTTTGCACACTCACTCGATATTCATTATTCATTAGTCATTATTCATTTCAGCTGCAAGATGAACTCCAAATATGAGAACATGAAAATCATCTACAATCGCAGTAAAATTGGCTGGTACTGGGCACCGCTCTTTGTGGCCTTCTGGTTCCTGCTGTATTATTTGGTGGTGGTGCCCAGTTTCCACAGTATGCCGCCGCTGAAGACGGTGCAGGACGAGCTGCAAGAGCCGGGTCAGTTTATTGGCGAGCGTGCGGAGGGCACTCTGCTCCGGCTATCGAAGATTGGACCCAAGGTTGTTGGCAGTGCGGCCAATGAGCAGGTCGCCGTCCAGTTCCTGCTCAGCGAGATCAACGACATAATTGAAGGCGCCCGCAACGATTTATATGACATTGAGAAGGACGTGCAAATAGCATCCGGCAACTACTTGCTCTGGTCCATGGTGAACGTGTATCAGAGCGTGCAGAATGTGGTTGTTAAGCTGTCGCCCAAGAATCCAACCACTGAGGCGGCCCTGCTGATCAACAGCCACTTCGACTCGGTGCCAAGCAGTTCTGGTGCGGGTGACGCTGGCATGATGTGCGTCATCATGCTGGAGGTGCTGCGCGTTATAACCAAGTACGAAACGCCACTCACCAACACGCTCATCTTTCTGTTCAATGGCGCCGAGGAGAATCCGCTCCAGGGCTCACACGCATTCATTACGCAGCATCCCTGGGCACAAAATGTGCGGTAAGTTGGCCAGCGGCAAATAGTTTCTTACTTTAGTTATATTATCATCAAAACGCTTACAGCGCTGTGGTCAACCTGGATTCAGCTGGCAGTGGCGGCCGTGAGATACTCTTCCAGTCTGGACCCGATCATCCCTGGCTAATGAAGGTTGGTTCTTAACAATAAACTTTGCCTCTGATCATCTTTAACTACTTCAACCCCATTCAGTATTATGGCAAAAACATTGCACATCCATTCGCCTCGACCATAGGCGAGGAGCTGTTTCAGAACGGCTTCATACCCTCAGAGACGGACTATCGCATATTCCGTGACTATGGAAAGATTCCAGGTAAAACTGCAACTTATAATTTCTCGATGAAATCTCATAAGTCTTCTTACAGGTCTCGACATGGCACAAATATTGAATGGCTATGTTTATCATACGAAGTACGATCGCTTTAATTTAATACCCCGACGCACCTATCAGCTGACCGGAGATAATTTATTGGGCCTGATCAAAGCCCTGGCCAGTGCACCCGAATTGGAAGATCCAGCGGTGAGTCTTGGACCTTGTCTAGTTTTAGTTTAATGATCAAACATATTTTACTCAGAAATATGCTGAGGGTCACATGATATTCTTCGATGTGTTGGGCTGGTTCTTTATCTACTATCCGGACTACGTTGGCGTCATTATCAACATTTGCGTCTGTGTCCTGGTGCTCGTTACGATTGTCGTCTATATCTGGAGTATGGCCAGCAATACGGGCATGTTCAGACGGCGCATCTTTGCCAAGTTTGGCATCCTGGCGGCGCTACAGCTGTGTGGTGTTCTCTTGAGCGTGGGCCTGGTTATTTGTATAGCCCTCTTTCTGGATGCCGTGGGTCTTTCTATGGCCTGGTTCTCGCAGACGTGGATGATCTTCGGCTTGTACTTTTGCCCCATGTTCTTTGGTCTTGGCATACTACCTGCCATTTACTTTAGTCGCACCAAGGAGGTGAGTTTCTTAGGCCATTCAGTTTCAAGCTCTTCTTATTAACTATTTACTCAATTCACAGCACGGTCTTCCACTTGGATATGGCATTCAGCTGCTGATGCACTCGCATTGCCTAATCTTGACACTCATCACAATCATAATGATATCCTTTAATATACGATCCGCCTTCATTCTGCTCATTTGCATCGGCTTCTACACGCTCTCAGTTCTGCTCAATATGGCCACGTGTGCACATAAAACAAGTGAGTTAATTAATTATTAAGAAATCATATTTAAATACTTAAAATTGTTTACTTTTATAGATTTCCTGTGGCTAATTCCTCACTGTCTCTGTCAGCTGCTGCCCTTCATGTTTTACACCTATTGCTGCTATGCCTTTTACGTTGTGTTTGTGCCGATGCAGGGACGCGAGAGCGGCTCGAATCCGGAAATACTCATCGGGGGCTATACGGCGCTGTTCTGCTTGCTGCTGTCTCCCTTTATAATACCCCTACTATGCCTGTTCCGTAAATCAAAGACTATCATCTCACTCTTTGGCTTCTGTACGCTGCTCTTCATTATTCTGGCTGCCACGCCTGCAGCTTTCCCATATGTGGAGAAGACAGCCGCTCAGCGATTCTTCGCTGTGGTAATGCACATTGAACATGGCTTGGTCGTAATTTATTTAATTAATATATTCTAATTTATTTATTCCTCATACAGCATACGACCCGCACCTTCCACAATGGAGACGCCGCGCTTTCTGTTAACCACACCGATTCTGGTTACTATGTGATGCCCGTGGATCGGCATCCCAAATCGGTGGACAGCCTCCTCTTCGATGGAACCAACTTGACAAAGGCAGATCGTAGCACATGCGACACGGAAATTATGTGTGGCTTTCCCATTTACAGCTCACGTTGGGTGAAGGCAGTGTAAGCATCAGAGATTGCCCAACCAGATCATAATAAGTAATTACTCTTGCGCTGCTTACAGAGATAATAGCTATTGGGTGCCAGGTCCCGAGCCAAACAAAGACTATCTGCCCACATTGCGCATAATAAACAAAGAGAGCACCTCGAGAACGAACATAATATTCACTCTAGAGGTTGCTGGGCCGGATCACTTGAGCATATTCATCGACCCCATGGATGATGCGAAGCTAGTGGACTGGACCTTCACCAAGGAGCCGTTGGAGAAGTCCCTGCAGCCGCCCCACTACGTCTATTGGTCTTATGCATTGGATCCGACACCCCTGCGCTTCAATTTGGAATTTGAGGTAAGTTTTTGTGGAATTGCCTTTTGAAAGGAGTTAAATCTGACTTTACTACTTGTTAACAGCACGATAGTGTGGATTGGTCTGGCGCTACGTTCAGAATCGCCATCATGGGTCATAGAATACACGACGATATGTTTATAGACAAGGACTTTCGAGAGTTTTTGGCCAGGTTTCCGCCCTGGGCGCATGTCAACTCATGGATCGGCTCCTACAACAGCTGGCAACTCTAAGAGCAGCAGAAATATCTGATATTCACTCACTACTTATAGTTCGGAAATTCTGAACTGTTGTTAAGTTTTCGCATTCATCCATACTCTAGGCACAAGCGAACGTCCAACGAGCAAAAAGTTGTATTTAAATTATAAATTTAGAACCTAATTAAAGTTATCTCCCGTTTTTGTGCTCTATCTATCGGAAATAAGATTAAAATTGTATTTAAATATATTTTAAATAATTAATTAAGTCACAGAGCTCAGTTCAACTAATCGCCAGTCGTTTCTTTAAAAGATCCAACTCTCATACGAAGCGAACCAGTCGGTCGTGTATGTCCAATCGGGAAAAGTGCTAAGGAACTCCCGGAACTCGGGCGTGTAATGTTCCGGATGATAGAGGAAATGAACGCTCACTGCCAGCTTGAAGTATGGCCCAGCTGTGTTGGCTGCATCGTGCTCCAACTCCAGCCAGAAGTTGAATGGCTCCGTGACCATGGAGGAGACATGGTATATGAAATAGGGAGCAGTATGGCCATCCACCAAGAGGGTCTCGTCAAAGGACCAGTTGGTTATCTTCACTTTTTCCATAGGATCAACGTACATAACAATGCGATCGCCAGCCTTGAGGCTGAACTCGAATCGCTTTTTGTTCAAGCTTATGGATTGCCTTGATATTTCGGCGAGCTCTGTGGTAACGGGAAACACTGGAGCAGCACTATAAATCCAGCGTGCGGAATCCCTGGAAGACGGATTTCATGTAGACAAGAATATTGCAAATATAAATGAATTGAGACCTACTTCCAGTTGAGCCAACGTCCACTATAAAGCGGTAGACCACAGTAGGGCTCATTGGCACAGTTATTCTTGAGCCAGATCTCGGGCTCCACATTCTTAAGCGTTGTATCGTACAGCTCGGAGTATCGAGTATCCACGGGCTGTATATAGAAGCCATTCTCCTGTGTGATAGTGTCATCAAAACTGTGCAATGTGCGCTGAGTGTGCTGAAAGACACTTGGAGTTAAAACTAAGAACTTTGCGAGTCGAGCTAAAGAAACTTACCAGGACATAGTAACGCTGCGAGGCAACATCCTTCTTGAAAGGAAAACCCGCTGGTGTCGCGGCTAATATAATAAATATGATGATTAAGACACCAAACATTGAGATGAAAGTCTTCGATTTGTGGAATTTTTGTAAAATTGGTACCTGAAGAGAGGATAGGGGTAAAATTAATCTATCGGTTCAACTAGAAAACACCTTTAAGCATACTATGAATCCAGCAAAATGCATTGTCATTAAGGCAATGAAGGCTGCGATCAGCATATCTGGCTTGCTGTCGGGGCCATCGCGTCCCTGCATAGGCACAAATACCAGCAGAAACACATACATCAAATAGGTGTAGAAGAAGAAGGGCAACAGCTGGCACAACATATGAACAGTCATAAAGAAGCTCTCTGAAGAGAAGAATTCATCAATGGGTAAACTTACAAAATATATATATATATATATCACTTACTCTTGATGGTCAGTCTGAGGATAAACTGCACAATCATCGAGACTGTGTAGAAGAACAAGCCAATCATGGGAAAGAAGGCGGAACGTATGCTCAGCCCAGTCAGGAGAAGGCAAATGAAGACAATCAAAATGCAGTGGGCATGCATGAAGCAGGCAATGGTCTGATTGAGCTTCATGTATGACTTCCGTTTGGTCCAGCCTATGTAGTAGGCGGGCAGCAGGCCCAATCCCAGGAACATGGGGCAGAAGTACAAGCCGAAAGTCATCCAAATGCCATAGTACCACGACTCACCCAGGCCAACAGCACGTATGAAGACGGCCACGAGCAGGGTCAGTCCCCAAGCAATCACCACTGCTCCCAGCTGCACGAGGCAAATGATGCCGAAGCGCAAGGCCACAGCTTTGGGCGTGTCCACTACGTTGTCCTTGGTCATGAAATAGACGGAGAGTCCAATGCAGCCCAGAGCAGCCAGGGACACAACAATATTGATGGCAATACTGGCCGATTCGGTATAGACGACAATGAACCAGCCGAGATAGTCGAAGAAGACAGCGTGTCCTTCTTCGTGGGCAGCTGTGTCATCGAGCTCCGGTGCATTGGCTAGTGCCCAGGTCAATGCCAACACATTGTCGCCTGTGGACTGATAGGTGCCGCGCGCCAGATTCTTGAAGTTATCATATTTGGTATGGTAAACATATCCATTGAGAGCATGCGCCATGTCCAGACCGGGCACGTTGCCAAAATCGCGAAATATACGAAAGTCCGTGTCGGAGGGTATAAAGTTATTTTGAAAGAGCTCTTCGGCGAGGGTTATGGAGAAGGGATGTGGTGCATACTTCTTGTAGTAGGTCATCAGCCAGGGATGATTGGGACCCGTTTGAAACAAAACCTCACGACCGCCTGATCCCGTCGAGTCCAAGTTGATAAGCGCCCTAAAAGAGATCACTTAGTTAATCCAGGAGTATTTAATTGAAGAGACGGAGTCTACGCACTTGCAGTTTTTGGCCCATTTGTGCTTTGTGATGAAGCCATGGGCACCTAGCATGTTGGCCTCCTCAGCGCCATTGAAGAGAAAGACGACGGGATGAGCCAGCGGACGCTCAGACTGTGCGATGACGCGCAGAGTTTCCAGCATGATAACCACCATGATGCCGTCGTCACCAGCAGCCGGCGTCTTCACCTCCGAGTCGTAGTGTGAGTTAACCAACAAATAGTTGTCGCTGGGACTATCCTTTCGTGAGATCCGTACCACTACGTTGGACACATTGTCATAGCTGGTGGCCGCATCCCACAGATAGAAGGCGCCCGAAGAGTACTGCACCTCCAAGTCGATGTCATATAGATCTCTGCGCGACTGCTCCACAATCTTTTCCACCTCCCGCTTCACAAAATTAACGACGTGCACCTCGTTATTTATCGATCCAGTCATCTTGTTGCCAATCGCTGAGTACTCGGCCAGCTGAATCTTGGCACGCTCGCCAATAAACTCGTTCGGATGATTGGCTGCATCCCGGACATAAATCATCTTTGGATATGAGAAAAAGCTTGGAATGGCGGACACATAGAACAGTGTGAACCAGATAACGCAAAAGATGGGCGCCCCATACCAAGGCCACTTATCGCTTCTTTTTTTGCTGCCAGATGTTAAGTCAACGCTGGAAAAGGACATCTACGAAAGACTTGTAATTAGACCATAATAATAATACGAATGTCCGAAAGCCCTTCAAACTATTCTGTTAACTGCTAATCATTTTGATAGCTTTCCCATTAAACTGGCCTTTCGTAAAAGACTTATTATTCAAAAGAATTATTATTAGTAAGACTTAGACTTGAGAATTATTTTCAATTAGGTTTTTCTTAAGAGCTTTCCTTGGAAGGCTTGAGATTCGCGGAAATTATTAGTTCCGTCTCTTCCACTGAAACTTCCACTTTATTCGGCCATTGAAATGAAAGTTAAAAAATTACCTTTTACTAGATGAGATTTATTATTATTTTTGGCACTAAACAGAAGAGTTTGAACCGCAGCGTAACACATGAGTTGGAAAACTGACACAATTAATGGAATTCAAAGCAAACATTTCGACTCTCTTTCAGTAAGTTGGGGGCTTATCGCCGATAATGTCTTGTAGATTACGATTTGGCGATAACATAGGGCAATTTTGGGGGGTTTATGGTTTGATGACCAGCGGCTAGATTAAGCTTTATGTCGGCATATATCTTATTGCCGAACTAAACTAAAGGAAAATAAATATTTATAATGCTCGATAATCATTAGCTTAAAAAGGAAAAAACATTATTTAGAGAAAGAAAAGAAAAACAACAGAAAATACTTAGTCCAAATTAGTAAAACAAAATTCAGCTGAACCAGCTGAACATCATCCATATAAATAGCATTGAACGAACTGTCGAAGTCATATCAAGCTCAAAATTGATAAACTTTTCGAGTGTTTAAGGGGAAAATGACAGATTCAGGACGATACCGACCTAGCTACGGCGACTTTCAGTACTCGACTGAGCAGAGCACCCGATATACACTGATTCATCTGATTTTATTTGTCATTTTCTTGGCATGCTTATCGACGGTAGGCAACGTTTTGGTAGCGCAACAACAATTTTATTTTATCCGGGGTATCCGGAATTTATTTGAAACGCCGGGCCATATGGAGGATGGAGGCCACATAGCTTTCCATGACGTCGTTACAATTTCAGACTTCTGGGAATATTTGGAGTTTGTAGTCATTCCCATGCTTCATGGCGACGTATACAATCAATCTGCTCCTAATGCTCGTGGCATAATTAACAAATGGCCGATCTTGAGTAATCGCTTAGTACTCAATGAAAATCTACTGCTCGGATCGCCGAGGCTCCGACAGGTGCGTGTCAAAGAGGGCACCTGCCACGTGCACCGCTCACTCACGCGATACTTCAACGAATGTTATGCGCCCTACACGATGGCAGCTGAGTTCACTGAGCCGGTCTATAAGGGGTAAAGCTTTCGGATAGTTGCAGAAGTCCAGATTATAAATTTCCCATTAACGCACAGCACCAAGTTTTATACAATGAAGGAACTGCAGACCAATCCCATCAAAGGAACTCTACTGACCTATCCAACCGGAGGCTATGTGAAATTATTATCATACAGGGGGGACACGAGTCTCGCGATCATTCGCCATTTGAGAAAAATTAAATGGCTAGATCGTGCTTCGCGTGTTGTCCTGCTTGAGCTGAATATGATCAATTTGAGTTTGGACCTAATACTGTCCACTAAGTATTTCCATTTGCTATCCAGTAGCTAATCATAATGTTGATAACGACCTACAAACTGCAGATTAACGTTCGAGATTATGCCGACAGGCCTTCTAAATAAAAAGTACAAGTCGCAGTCATGCCACACAAATCTAATGATGAGCGATGGCATCGCAATAAAATGCGCCATTACAATCTATATAATTAATTTATACTATACCTATATTGAGATCAAAAAATTTGTTCGCATCGGCTTTAGGCGTTATTTTACCAAGTTTTCAACATATCTATTTTTACCTAGTATTTTCGTAAGTTCATTTCAGACCAATTTCCGCACATATATCTATGTATCTGCTAACCAATAGCAACTATTTTTTTCAAACAGATTTGTTATGCGTTGATTTATCTACATTTACTGTCGATGTATTATGCCGTAATATTTCACATTGCAGTTAATTCGAAAAATGTCTCTTATGTTCCAACGGATTACCTGTTCAATGTATTTTCGGCTCAGCAGATCCTAATCGGACTCTTGGTCTTTTTCTCCTGGAATTGCCTGCTGGTGTACATGGACTGTCTGCGCATCCTAAGAACTCTTGCCAGCGCTACGAAAATGGTAAGGGCTAAATTATAATCTGCAGCTAATTGAATGTTAAGCATTTAATCCGCTTTAGGCTTTAGCCGATTTGAGTGCATTTTTCATCATGCTCTCCGTGGCATTTTTGGGCTATGGACTCCTTGGCTTCTTCCTGTTTGGCCTTGATAATGGCAACTTTAAAGACCTCGGAAATTCCCTCTTAACAATGGTGCGCATTGTGGTTTACGATTTCAACTACTTCGAACTGGAGCAGGAGTTTCCAGTACTGGCTCCCATATACTTTGTGACTTACGTGATATTCCTATACCTAATTGTATTCGTAAGTAATTTAGTCTCGCATTGCCAGCTAATGCTAAATGATTTTTGTAGAATATGTTCATGGTCGTTATTATCATGGCCTACCAAACAGCCACAGAGATGGTCGCCTTCAAGCCCTCTTTCTTATTATACTATTTAAGAAAGCAACTTTATCGGATTAGCTGTGGTATTTGTAAGCCTGCCGAATATCCACAGTTGGGTAAAAAACAGGATTCAAGCAATAAGCTCAATTTAAAAGGATTACGCCAATTGTGAGTTTTAATCGAGACATATTTTAATTAACTTTTTAATTATTTAATATTTTTGATGGCCATTATAGGCAGCTCATCAGAGAGTATACGGAAGTTGAGTTCGAGATAAATATGTATTGAAAGGTATTTATTTGACTGAGTTTTTATTATATTTCTTGACTTTTTGCAGACTACATTACCGTCTGGACCTAATTGACGAAGTATTTCATAATTTCACTAATACTATCGACGATATAATAGGAAATGTGAAAAGTGAAAATAGGCATCAAGTGCAGAATCAGCAAAGTGAATTATTAAGTAAAAGCAATTGAAATTAAAATATTTGTTCTTATCAGAAACTGCACTCAGATTGCATACTAATAAACTAATATACTCGTTCACACCTGTGCACAAGAATGTAGTTCTAGCTAAGCGTCTAATCAGTGCTTAACCCGGCAGCAAAAAACATTTATAACTCAGGCCATATCTAAATGACGGCACTATGAGGTAGCAGCAATACGTCTGAATATCTTCAAATTCGGTTGCCGCTTGATTTTGTTAGTCATGCCATATACATATTTCTAGTTGGCTATCACATCCAAGGAATCCATATACCCCGAACTGTAGAATATACCATTCTTAGACAGTGATAGTCACATTAATTAGCCAGACTAACGGACAGACACCTTATCTAATTTCCTGTTTGGCTTTGTCATTTATTGCTTAAGCATATTTCATGTTTCGCTTTTTACCTGCATTACGTACAATATACATATTAAGTTTAATACTATTACATATATATATATATAGATATTGTATAGAACAGCTCAAATATGTTTAGTATAACCACGTCTCATAGGACGCCGGCCAGGGCGTTGCGTCCACATAGCTGGGAAAGCTATCGAGGAACTTCTTGAAGTCTGCTGTGTGCAGTTCCTTGTGGTGATTCCAATGGCCATGCAGGCCTAGTTCGAATGTAGGTGTCCTCCAATCGCCATTGGGTTTCTGCAAAGTATAAATATGATAAATTTGAGAGCGAGTTGCGAGAAGAGCACAGAGCATAAACTGACCTCAAGCTCCACCCAGAATTTCAGTGCGTCACTGTTGACGCCATACGAAAAGTAGATGTAGTATGGTGGCTTAAAGTTGAGACGCAGGGGTGCTTGGTGGAAAGACCAGCCAACAACTCGGGCGCCATTCTGTGGCTGTATGTAGATGCCCATATGATCTGGGCCAGTGAGTTCCATTTCAAAACGCATTTTATTAGCAGTCAGCTGCTTCTTGGAAACAACCTTAGCAGCTGGCAGTGGGCCCAGTACAGGTTCCGATGCGGGTATCCACAAACCATGTTCTCTTTAATGATTAAATGAGTTCATGTGGAATTGGCTGAGTTTAAGGCTTTGACTCTTACCTGGTCTTGTGCCAGCGCATGTTGTACATTGGATAGCCGCAGAGGGTTTCCTTTTTGCACTCGTCTTTCACAGATCTGGCCATAGTCATGTTTATAACCTTGTCTGCAAGAGTCAAATTCTTCAGATATTGTAAGAGCTCTTCTATCAATAGAATACCTACTTTTCACGGAGTAGGTGCGTCTGTCTTGTGGCATGATGAAGTAACCAGTTTCGGAGCGGCGAACATTGTTATGCTCATCGTGGAAGGTACGCTTGGCGTGCTGTAGGGATATGACAAATTGATTTCGAAGTTCCTTCTAGGATATCGCTGTATCCAACTCACCAATACTGAGAAGCGTTGCACACTTGTCTCTGGCCTGTAGGGGAAGCCCAAGGGAGTAGCAGCAATGATAATGCACAGCAAGGTGATGCCCAGCAGGCTACAGATAATGGTCTTCGATTTGCGGAACATGTGAAGCATGGGCACTATGAAACCAGCTACAAGCAGGCCCACTGCAACGCTGAAGACAGCTAAAATCAGGTCCGGGTTCAGCGAGTCGCCGAAGCGACCGAACATGGGAATAAAGGTGGCCAAGAAGCTGTGCGAGAAGTAAACAAAGAACAAAAAGGGAGGCACATAGCACACAATGTGCGGAATGATCCAGGCAACGTCTGCAAAAATGAAAAGAGAGCAAGAATTACGCCCAAGCCCATCGAGCCACTAACTGATTTAACTTACTGCGGCTGTGCAGATTGGTAGCCAGATTGAAGACGACGCCCACTGTGTAGAACAAACAAGTCAACATTAGGACGAATGCAGAGCGTATGCTGCAGATGGTCAGTATCAGCGTGAGCAGCGCCACGAAGAGGCAATGACAATGCATCAGCAGCTGGACACGTTGTCCGATCGGTAGGCGATCCTAGAAAACAGCGTGTGAGTCACAATTTACAATCAATCAATCATCCACTGTACTCACGGTCGAGGTGTAGTGGAAGTAGAGAGCAGGCACAATGCCCAAGCCGAAGAAGAAGGGACAGAAGTACAGTCCCAGGACCAGCCAGTTCTGTGTGAACCAGGAGAGCGGTATATGCACTAGGTCCATGAACACAGCAATGATAATGGGCAGAATAGCGCCCGCTATCACGCCCAGGATGAGCGCAGCAAACGTGTGCAGGGTGCGCTTGAGCAGTTTGCTGAGCTTGAGGCCCGAGTTGTTGGCCATGAGCTTGATGGCAACGGCACAGGCCACAATTGCGCCAATGGATACAACCACATTGAGAATAATGCCCTCCGTTTCGGTATAAAAGACCAAGAACCAGCCCATCACATCATAGTAAACGGTGTGTCCCTCGGCGTGTTTCTGAGTAGAGACTCAAGATGATTCCAGCTTGCATTTAAAATAGATGCTTTAGATATTACCGAAGTATCCTCAAGCTCCGGTGCACTGGATATCTCACGGATCAGAGCCAGGAGATTGTCACCGGTGTTTTGGAAGCTGCCACGTGGAATGATCTCAGCGCGATCGAACCGGGTGTGATAGACGTAGCCGTTGTGCTGGTAAGCCATGTCCAGGCCGGGCACTGCGCCATGATCGCGGAATATGCGAAAGTCCGTGTCGGAGGGTATGAAGTTGTGCTGGAACATCTCCTCGGCCATGGTCGAGGCATAGGGATGCTTGATGGCGCGGCGATAGCTCTTCATAAGCCAGGGATGATTGGGACCGGACTGGAAGAGAATCTCACGACCACCATTGCCAGCCGAGTCCAGGTTGATCAGCGCTCTGTCAATGAAACGAAATAGGATTTAGAGCCACTTCAGATGAGGAATAAGCCTTGATCACCCACTTGCAGTTCTTGGCCCATTTGTGCTGCGTGATGAAGGCGTGAGACGCCTGCAGCGGGTTCTCCTCGGCGCCATTGAACAGGAAGACAGCCGGATGTTTGAGAGCATACTTTGATTTGGCAAGGACACGCAGAGTCTCCAACATGATGGCCACCATGGAGCCATCATCGCCAGCGCCCGGGCCCGCTGGCACCGAGTCGTAGTGGCTATTTATCAGTACGTAGGTGGTGCTATTCGAGCCCTTGGGACTGATCTTCACCACAAAGTTCTGTATGCTCTGGTACATGTTAACTGCATTCCAGTGGATGTAGCTGCCGGAGGCCACTTGCACATCCACCTCGATGTCATGGACAGCGCCCAGCTCGGCGCGCACCTTTTGCATGGTGGACGTGATCACCTGAACGGATCCCATTTCATTTTCGCGGCTGCCCACCACGCGTGGTCCCAGTGCCACCAGACGCTGCAGGTTCAACTCGGCGCGCTCGGCGATGAAGCGTTCCGGGTTCTTGGCCTCATCTTTTATGCTGAGCGGGCGGGGCAGATGATTGGAGGCCGGTATTGATATGGCACAATAGATAAGCAGCCAGAAGCCGATGAACGCGGGCGCCCAATACCATTTGATTTTCTCACGGCTGACAAAAGCTCGTTCGCAGCAGTTGGCCTGCTGTTGGCGAGTAAAAAAATCGGCAGTAATGGGTTAGTGGTTGAAGTGGTTGCGGGCTTTTTGGGTGGTTCGTGATGTTTGTTCAAGATATGACTAGGTGAATCAGTTTTTAATTAAAGCATATTGAACACTCTTTGGGTCGCATATAATGTGTTAATAGTTCGATTTAATCCATCATGACTTTATCTTATCGCCGGTCCACATAGCTGCGCCGGTCCTCTGTGCAGCTGTTGCCACCGAAATTATTACCGCGATAAGCCCAAATGAAGGGTATACGACTGTTTCTCAACCCCGAAATGGCAATGGGAGTTGCTCCTGCCACAGAAATGCGACGGCTAAAATGGCAACTGTCTGATAAGTAATCGAGACACAGAACTCTTTCACATTGCACCACCCGAATTAGCTAATCTTATCAATAGGTATCTACAAAACACTTAAATGTACATTTGAGCACATTCTTTCGACACTTGTACTATTTGAAGGGCCACCCCTGAGTCCAGCTCACCTCGTCGTCTTCCAGATGCAACTGTCGCCCTGTCAGCAATGGGTCTGCATTGCTGGCGTCTGTTGTCGGCGTTATGACGCGTCGACGCAATTTCTTTTCACTGCTCATTTGATCTGTGCTGTTTGCTTCTTCAACCGGTCCCAACGAGCGTTTCTCTATACACAAGTAAATATATTATATACACAAGCGACCTATGCTCTCGCTCTCTCTTGCTATTCCGTTCTCTCGCTCTCTTTGTGTGCAGTGCGAACTGCTCGAAGCGCGAACCAGAACGAACCGTTCGACTTGTTTAGAGGCTCGCCACTGATTGACGGACTGACGATCTACCACTCGTAACGTTTGGGCAACGACTGAACCTAGGGAACTGCTTTGACAAGTTTTGCAGTCGATACCGATATACGCTTATCTTATCTGAATGGTCTTTGGTTCCCTAAAAGACACAGCTGTGCTGCGCTACACAGTGCAGCATATGGGCCTCCATGAAGCTCGAGAATCGAAAGCCTTGGCATATTTATTAAACGTGATTTATTGCAATAGCAAACTCCAATTCAGATATGTACCCGGGCCATTTTGAGTTGGTATTCATACTTTAAGCTATCTTTTTTCCATCTCTTTTTGGGATAAACTGTTTGAAAAAACAATGTAATATGTTTGCTCATGGCAGAGTTTTGTTTTCGGACTTTAGTAGATTAAAAGTCCAGCCCGTTCAGTCATTAGTTGGAGCACACAAGTGCGTATCGCATATTGCGATGCAGCACGTCAGAGTGAGACTAAGTTGTGTAACTACAATGCCATGACCTATGCTGTGGCACGTCCTGCACGAACATTGGGATTACCAGCAAAAGTTTTGATTGTTTATAATTTGTACCTTGGCAACTTTATCCTGTGCTTCACTGCACATTGTAACTCGTCCACTGGAACGCTTAAAATGTATATTGACTGCCACCGCTGCTTGTGGCTCCAAAGTGCGCCCTCGACTAATCCCATCAGCATATCAAAGTCTCTGTTTAAGCGTCAAGCCAAGCCATCACTTGACTACGCATGAAATGAGAAGGCGACACTTCTTTAATTACTCCCTTGACTCGAATATCTGTGCAATCCACTTAGCGGCTGGCAGCCCATATTGTACGTGTTTACTTCTCAAATGTACATATGCCTAAATAAATAATACGATTTGTTTAATATTCAATGAGACATCGATGAGCTCTGAGTACGTTTGGCCACGAAATTAGAGACACGCAAATATGATGCTAAATTTATAAATAAGAAATTTAATTTATAAAAGTATGCTACGGTACTTAAGACTAGCACATTTGAGCTACAACAAACTGCAGTCGACTTTACCGCTTTAAAAATAAATGTATATAATATAAACAAAAATAAATAAATCAAATAAAAAATGAAAATATAAAATATATGCAAAATTAAATTCATAATCTAAAAGCTTCCCATTCAAGCCGACTTCTTCCAGTTAGACTCCAGCCAGTCCCATGCTCTGGCCTCCTTCATACTCAATTTAAATTCAAATATGTTTTATTTTTGGAATTTGAATAAATAGATTTAAAAATAGATTGCAATGACCCGAAATAAAATCTTTAATTACTACATAAATAGAATTTGTAATATTCTAGCTGTTCTTACCTCAGCAATTTATGCAGCATACTTTCAAACTCCTAATTTAAAAATAATTCTCTTAAATTACTAAACACAATTAAAAACATAAATAAAATGCCACAAAATATTTTTGCATACTTTTTGGCTTTATAATTAAACAGAAATGCTTTCTCTAGTTTTGAGAACTTGTTGCTTATCAAAAAACATAAGTCTAATTGGCAAACTTATGACTATATTAATATAACAAGTTTGTTTTCATTGTCACCTTGCTTAATTGCACACCGAGAACATTTGCATATAAAAATATTACGTATACCCACGCACGTTGCTGCCCTCTACTAGGAATTGCACTAATTTTCTTGCATTCCACGGAACTGTGTCACGCCCTTCTGACTCCCCGTGCAAATACGAACTGATGCTGTCGGTGGACACGCACTTGACAGAGGCCTAGGACGCGCCTACGCACACACACACACACACAAGTATGGCGTCCCGCTTGGAATTGAGGACAGAAAACGTCGAACCAGCAACTCGCAAATTGAGGGCGGGCGGGTGTCGATCCACTTGCTAGTGTCATTCAACCTCAGTGAAAAGAAGACACACAGACACACACACACACATACATACACAATTGCAGTGTTGGTTAGTTGTAGCTGTACTATTTTACTCTCTATTTATGTTTGTGCGCGTGTGTGTATGTGTGTGTGTGCTTCATATATTCATTCATTCATGTCTTGTGGCCCACAAATTCGTAAACAAAACGTTCATCCGAATATTGGTCAAAATGAAATCGATAAAATGAATATCTGCGTTAATAAATATGTGAATAACTCTGATGAGCAAAGCGCCAAGCCACGGCCCAACTGTCGACAGCCTGATGATGGGTCATCAAGCAAAGCCCAGATTGTTCAGTCAAGACTTTTTATTAAAATATTTTTTATTTATGCAGGCCTCTGTTTGAATTCGAAATGCTTTGGCACAATACGCGCAGGCGCTGCCTCTCCATTTGCCTGATAGAGAGTGAGAGAGAGAAAGGTTGAAAAATGCCGGCAAGCAGCCGCCGCAGTAGCAGCAGCAGTAGCACCAGCACCAGCTATCCCATGCGACGCCTGGGCACAACCAAAACAAAGCCCAAAAATATGTGTCAGCTGCTTTGCTTGTGCTTTTCTATCCTGCTGGGCTTTCCACTCAAATTCGCGCTGTTTTTCCGCTGCCTGCTGCTGTGTCGCATGCTTCGCCATTGCTCGTTGCCAGCACACACACAAACACACACACACACACACACCCACACACACATACATACATATACGCTTATACTCATGCTTGGATATGCGTGGCTCGGCAGTTTCATTTGATATTCAGTTCAGTTAGTCGTAGTTGAACGGTCGTAGCTTTTGGTCGTCTCGTCTGAGCAGCTCATCAAGTTCTGGCAACGCAACGTATGAAAAATGTGCTACTGAAACGCCAATTCCCTATACAACCAAAGTAAGGCAGCTACGAGTGCGTGTGTGTCTCCGAGAGTAGTGCGTCCTCTTGTGCTAGTTTGTGTTTATTGCCGTAGCATAGGCCGCAAAGTGATGCGGCGGCCTAGCTAAAAGAAATTATATAATTTTTATAAACCACATCTAAATTCTCCAAATCCACAATTGAGTTGTGTTGTAGCCGCTGCCAGAGTAGCCGCAAATACGAGATAACTAATCAATCCCGAACTCGATTAATGCCCGACATGCTCCTATCTCCGCAGTGTAGCATACTTTTATGCGCCCGCTAAAACATGTGAGTCCCGGTTGTTGTCTTTGCTAAACACTAAACACTACGGCTAGGGCGAGGGTCCCCCGCACGTATTGTTTTCCTGTTGTATTATATTCGTATTTTCTTTTTGTTCCTATTTCATGCGTTTCCGTCGGCGTTTCCTTTTCTTTATTGTTTTTTCTTTTTTCTGTGGTGGCTTACTTACTGACATTTATACCTAGTAACGGCGGCGGGTATTTGAGAGTAGCTAGCTCCTAGTCATATAAATTTGATATGGCCTCACATAATTATCGCTTTTATTTACCAGTTTCGAGAATTACTTTTCCTTTTATCCAAGGTACAATAATAGTAATGCAACAATAAGTGTTTTTTTGGAAACTTGTTACGAACGTGAAATTAAATTGCTGTGCGGGGTAATGCGATTTGATTTGTGACGCGATAACGTAAGGGTATTTAATAAGGTTTCATTTGAGCGCGCCTAATGTCCTTAATCATGGAATACTTGGCACATTTGTTGTTATAGACCATTCACATGCTGTGCATTCGATGAGTATGATGATATCATTGATAGCATTCCATTGCGATGAGCCCGCTGTTTGCCAATTAAAGCCGGCATCAAGCAGGTCGTTGACCAAGCGCATTATCATCACAATATAATGGTATTATACGTGATTATAACCATATGTTATCTATGGCATACTTACTCATATGTGCGTCATTCTAAATACGTGGCATAGAATCTTGGGCATGGCAAGTGCGCCTTTTGTCGAGAACCATAACAAATAACAACGAAAGCACAAACACACAAATACACGTCCCACATCGGAGTTTTGTGGTCACTGTGTACGGCCGGACACAATGACACAAATGCGGCTAACAAAATAGGGAAGCGAAAGTAAATACGAAGAAAGATTTTGGCAAAAGAACATAGAACAAAAAGTCGCAACAAATTTTTCATTCAAGGCTTGGAAAAACCCACAGATTTTTCTCCCACTGTTGTGACAGGCATTTTAATTTGTGTGGACTTTCCTATTGCTTTGAGGACATTTTTGATATTTGTTCGGGCTGCCAAGTTCAACAAAAACTCTCTACAATTAATTACTGTGGCGCCTGTTTACTTTGGCATTCATTAGTCGCGTTCTAACTTAGCAGGCAACCTGATTAAATTTGAATATCCTGATAGATGTGGCGCACGCATCTTTTGTCACCAGACAGCAGAAAATGATTTTTGAAAAAGGCTTTCCGTACGCCTGAGTTATTTTTACATATTAGTGATTCCGAGAAAAATGAAAAGCGTTTGCGTAAGGGTTATGCGAAATTCAATCGCGAATGTGAGGGTATTTAATGCGTCAGTAAGCAGCTTGTGCGTGTACTCAAAGTCGAACGCAGCTGTCGGTTTTGAGCATCAACCATCAGTAATACGTATACGCACCGTGGTATGGGCCCGCCGAAGCATTCATGTGGACTGTAGACTGTGGGTGGCAGCGGGTGCCATTGCTTTTTAATGAACTCATGTGAAGCAATCGCAGATTTAGCACTGATTTATGAGTAGATATGTGACGCCTAGCAGGTGCACATCAATCAGGGCACATCAATCGGGAGCTTCAGCTATGCATCAGTTGCCCCGGTAATTGGCACGGATTTGCCCTAATCTAGGCCAACAGGATTAGCCTGATTGCCAGAATAATTTTGACAGACTCTCCAATTGCCATGGATGCCACGGATCCCATGGCTGTGCGTGGCATCGGTTTGACCCTTTAATTAAAACTCTCCGGCAATGGGCAATGAGGCAACATTTAATTGCATTGCGTCCAGTTTTCAAATTAATTGTTACGCCCAGAAGGATCTTTATTGCAATTGCTGCTATTTAAGGAAAATTTCATTTTCTCAGCTGAGTACCAAAAAACAAAAAGAGAAAAGCGGCAAAATGAAACACAAACGCAACGCTGCATTCAGTTTGCGCTTTTCTCT